CAAATACAACCGTTTCTCTTTTCCAGTGATGATAACATGGATGTCTCATGGTAGAGTGGGGTATGCAAAATGGGTCAACTTTGAACACCTTTTATCTCCTGAATTTTTTGGCATTCAGGTCCAAAAAGTCTGTTTCTGACCACTTGTTCCATGGACAAACATGTATGGAAAGTTTTGTTTAAATCAAAAGGGATGCTGTCAAAAAGTGATGGAATTCAAATGGATTTACCCAACTTCACCTTCTCTCTGTCCCCTTCATCAAAATATAACACTTTATTTGTCACATCCTTCCGAACAATACAGAGAGAAAAAAAGAGAAATAATAGAAAAATAATAACACGAGGAATAAGAATTGATAACTTGACTATATACACAAGGTACCAGTACCGGGTCGATGTGCAGGGGTACAAGGTAATTGAGGTAGATATGTACAGTGCATTCAGAAATTATTCAGACCCCTTCACCTTTTCCACATTTGTTACGTTACAGCCTTATTCTAAAATGGATTCAATTGTTTTTTCCCCTCATCAATCTACACACAATACCCCATAATGAAAAAGCAAAAACTGTTTTTTTGCAAATGTATTGAAAAATCAAATACATTTTTGGCAAATTTATTTGATAAAAAACCCTGAAATATCACATTTACATAAGTATTCAGACCCTTTACTCAGTACTCTATTGAAGCACCTTTTGCAGCGATTACAGCCTCGAGTCTTCTTGGGTATGACACTACATGCTTGGCACACCTGTATTTGGGGAGTTTCTCCCATTTCTTCTCTGCAGATCCTATCAAGCTCTGTCAGGTTGGATGGGGAGCGTCGCTGCATTGCTATTTTCAGGTCTCTCCAGAGATGTTCGATCAGGTTCAAGTCCGGGCTCTGGCTAGGGCACTCAAGGACATTCAGAGACTTGTCCCGAAGCCACTCCTGCTTTGTTTTGGCTGTGTGCTTAGGGTGTTGGAAGGTAAACATTTAACATTTACATCATTTAGCAGACGCTCTTATCCAGTGCATACATTATTTTTATTTTTTTCATACTGGCCCCCCGTGGGAATCAAACCCACAACCCTGGCGTTGCAAACGCCATGCTCTATCAACTGAGCTACATCCCTGCCGGCCATTCCCTCCCCTACCCTGGACGACGCTGAGCCAATTGTGCGCCGCCCCATGGGTCTGAGGTGAACCTTCGCCCCAGTCTGAGGTCCTGAGCGCTCTGGAGCAGGTTCTCATCAAGGATCTCTCTGTACTTTGCTCCGTTTATCTTTGCCTCGATCCTGACTAGTCTCCCAGTCCCTGCCGCTGAAAAACATCCCCACAGCATGATGCTGCCACCACCATGCTTCACCGTAGGGATGGTGCCAGGTTTCCTCCAGACCTGACGCTTGGCATTCAGGCCAAAGAGTTCAATCTTGGTTTCATCAGACCAGAGAATTTTGTTTCTCATGGTCCGAGAGTCCTTTAGGTGCCTTTTGGCAAACTCCAAGCAGGCTGTCATTCCTTTTACTGAGGAGTGGCTTCCGTCTGGCCACTCTACCATAAAGGCCTGATTGGTGGAGTGCTGCAGAGATGGTTGTCCTTCTGGAAGGTTCTCCCACCTCCACAGAGGAACTCTGGAACTCTGTCAGAGTGACCATCGGGTTCTTGGTCACCTCCCTGACCAATGCCCTTCTCCCCCGATTGTTCAGTTTGGCCGGGCGGCTAGCTCTTCTGACGCTTGGTATAGAGGTCCTGGATGGCAGGGAGCTCGTCCCCAGTGATGTACTGGGCTGTACGCACTACCCTCTGTAGCGCCTTGTGGTCGGATGCCAAGCAGTTTCCACACCAAGCGATGATGCAGCCAGTCAAGATGCTCTCAATGGTGCAGCTGTAGAACTTTTTGAGGATCTAAGGGCCCATGCCAAATCTTTTCAGCCTCCTGAGGGGGAAGAGGCGTTGTCGGGACCTCTCCACGACTGTGTTGGTGTGTGTGGACCATGATCATTCCTTAGTGATGTGGACACTGAGGAACTTGAAGCTCTCGACCTGCTCCAGTACAGCCCCATCGATGTGGATGGGGGCGTGCTCGGCCCTCCGTTTCCTGTAGTCCACGATCAGCTCCTTTGTCTTGCTGACGTTGAGGGAGAGGTTGTTGTCCTGGCACCACACTGCCAGGATTCTGACGACCTCCCTGTTGGCTGTCTCATCGTTGTCTGTGATCAGGACTACCACCGTCGTGTCGTCTGCAAACTTAATGATGGTGTTGGAGTCGTGCGTGACCACGCAGTTGTGGGTGAACGGGGAGTACAGGAGGGGACTAAGCACGCCCCCCTGGGGGGCCCCCGTGTTGAGGGTCAGCGTGACGGATGTGTTGTTGCCTACCCTCACCACCTGGGGGCGGTCCGTCAGGAAGTCCAGGATCCAGTAACAAAGGGAGGTGTTTAATCCCAGGGTCCTTAACTTAGTGATGAGCTTAGAGGGCACTATGGTGTTGAACGCTGAGGTGTAGTTAATGAACAGCGTTCTCATGTAGGTATTAATTTTGTCCAGGTGGGAAAGTGCAGTGTGGAGTGCAATAGAGATTGTGTGGATCTGTTGGGACGGTATACGAATTGGAGTGGGTCCAGGGTGTCTGGGATTATGGTGTTGATGTGAGCCATGACCAACCTTTCAAAGCATTTCATGGCTACAGATGTGCGTGCTACAGGGCAATAGTTATTTAGACAGGTTACCTTGGCGTTCTTGGGTACAGGGACTATGGTGGTCTGCTTGAAACATGTATACTGAACAAAAATATAAACGCAACATGCAACAATTTCAAAGATTTTACTGAGTTACAGTTCATATAAGGAAATAAATCAATTGAAATGAATTTATTAGGCGCTAATCTATGGATTTCACAGGGGCGCAGCCATGGGTGGGCCCGGGAGGCATAGGCCAACCCACTTGGGAGCCAGGTCCACCAACTGGGGAGCCAGGCCCAGCAAATACGTTTTTTCCTACAAAAAGGGCTTTATTACAGACAGAAATACTAATTAGTTTCATCAGCTGTTCGGGTGGCTAGTCTCAGACGATCCTGCAGGTGAAGAAGCCGGATGTGGAGATCCTGGGCTGGCGTGGTTACACGTGGTCTGCGGTTGTGAGGCTGGTTGGACATATTGCCATATTCTCTAAAACGACGTTGGAGGCGGCTTATGGTAGAGAAATGAACATTCAATTCGCAGGCAACAGCTCTGGTGGACATTCCTGCGGTCAGCATGCCAATTGCACGCTCCCTCAACTTGAGATATCTGTGGCAATGTGTTGTGTGACAGAACTGCACGTTTTAGAGTGGCCTTTTATTGTCCCCAGCACAAGGTGCACCTGTGTAATGATCATGCTGTTTAACCAGCTTCTTGATATGCTGCACTTATCAGGTGGAGGGAATATCTTGGCAAAGGACAAATGCTCACTAACAGGGATGAAAGCAAATTTGTGCATAACATTTTTGAGAAATAAGCTTTTTGTACTTATGGAACATTTCAGGGATCTTTTATTTCAGCTCATAGAACATGGGACCAAGACTTTACATGTTGTGTTTTATATTTTTGTTCAGTATAGGTATTACAGACTGGGTCAGGCAGAGGTTGAAAATGTCAGTTAAGACACTTACAAGCTGGTCAGTGCATGCTCGGAGTATGCGTCCTGGTAATCCGTCTGGCCCTGTGGCCTTATGAATTTGAACCTGCTTAATGGTCTTACTCACATCGGCTACGGAGATCGTGATCACAGTCGTCTGGAATGGCTGGTACTCTCATGCCTGGTTCAGTGTTACTCGCCTCGAAGCGAGCATAGAAGGTATTTAGCGCATCTTGTAGGCTCGCGTCACTAGGCAGCTCACGGCTGGGTTTCCCTTTATAATGATAGTTTGCAAGCCCTGCCACATCCGACAAGCGTCAGAGCCGGTGTAGTAGGATTCGATCTTGGTCCTGTATTGACGCTTTGCCTGTTTGATGGTTCGTCGGAGGGCGTAGTGGGATTTCTTATAAGCGTCCGGATTAGTGTCCCCCTCCTTGAAAGTGGCAGCTCTAGCCTTTAGCTCAGTGCGGATGTTGCCTGTAATCCATGGCTTCTGGTTGGAATATGTACGTACGGTCACTGTGGGGACAACGTTGTCGATGCGCTTATTAATGAAGCCCGTGACTGATGTGGTAAACTCCTTAATGCCATCGGATGAACCTTGGAACATATTCCAGTCTTTGCTAGAGAAACAGTCCTGTAGTTTAGCATTCGCTTCACTGAACCACTTCCTTATTGAGCGCGTCACTGGTACTTCCTGTTTGAGTATTTGCTTGTAAGCAGGAATCAGGAGGATAGAGTTATGGTCAGATTTGCCAAATGGAGGGCGAGGGAGAGCTTTGTATGCATCTCTGTGTGTGGAGTAAAGGTGATCTAGATTTTTTTCACACCTAGTTGCACAGGTGACATGCTGGTAGAAATGAGGTCAAACGGATTTCAGTTTTCCTGCATTAAAGTGACCAGCCATTAGGAGCGCCGCCTCTGGGTGAGCATTTTCTTGTTTACTTATGGCCGTATACAGCCTGTTGAGTGCGGTCTTAGTGCCAGCGTCGGTTTGTGGTGGTAAATAGACAGCTACGAAAAGTATAGATGAAAACTCTCTTGGTAAATAGTGTGGTCTACAGCTTATCATCTGTCAGTCAGTGTGGAAGGCCTCTCTGGTCTTGTCAGTGTAAATGTCAGAGGCTTTGTTTGCTCTGTGTCTTTGCTCTGAGTGTGCAGCCTGGCAACAGGCGGTCTCTCTCGTCAGGAGACCTGCCTTGATAGTCTCTTGCCCAGCGATGCACCAGAAGGGTGGCAAGAACCCCCTTAGCAACTGCTAAGGCACAGCACAATGAGCACCTAGTTAACTAGTTGGGCAAGATGAGCACAGATGAGGTGCTCTAGTCCTTGTTGTAGCTACTAGGTTAATACTAGGTTATGCACTCTGTTGCTGTTGTAATAATTCCCATCTCGACTATGGCTCATCTACTGTGTTTTGTGTGTTTTTCTTCTCAGCTCGAGATGCAGACGAACGGGAGAAGTGGATCCATGCCTTAGAGGGGACTATTCTCCGTCACACCCTCCAACTGCAGGTAAGTCACTCACTCACTAGCTTCACTCTTGTAATACTGGGGGTACTAGTCCCAAGCCCTTGAGTTCGGCTAAAGAGGAGAAAGATTTTGCTCAACCTTTTTATTTGAGATAAGCTTTCTCATATGATTGGGATAACTCTTGCTGTTGTTGCATTGTCAAAAAAATTAATAATCCAAGTATGTGTTTTAACCTTTTAAAGAAGGAACATTATGTGAACATTAGTTCTTCAATTTGTTATTTTGATTACCTAAGACCACAGGAAATAATAGAGGAACTGTTGAGAACATTGAGCAGTAGCAGTTTGTTTCACCTTTTGGAAGCATGTGTTGTCAAATTAAACTTTCATGCTATTTGTTGAGGTCTTTTGGATGCAGGAAATTGGCATATCTAATTAATATCATGCCTCTGTCAGCCTCATCCCAACTAGTAGCACTGGGACACTGCTGGCAGGCTAAAGCACTCTGGTTCTAATCAGTGCAAGGGTTAAGAAGTCCTCTGAGAATAGAAAGAAATTAGTCTAGACACAGTAAGAGTGTCCCTGTGTGGTTAGGAGCACAGGGAGCACGGTGTGGTTAGGAGCACAGGGAGCACGGTGTGGTTAGGAGCACAGGGAGCACGGTGTGGTTAGACTGTTGGCTGGCGATGGGTATCATGTTTATCTATGAAAGCCTGTTTGTAAAGAGTGCCTTGTATTAGTTGCTCTCTGAACTGCTAATTTCCGGCTCTTATTTTGATTTGTGCCCTTTGTGGCTAACAAATATAGGCCTACTTTCTCTCACCACCCTTCATTCTACCCTCCAGTTGTTTATGTACCTTCTGTTCTTCTTTTCTTCTCTAACCCACTCCTCCCCTCTGCTACCCCTCCCTCTGCCTCACTCTCTCCGATCCCCGCCCTCAGTGTAAAAAAAACACTGCTGACTGGCTGCCTGCTTACAAACACTGTGTAAGTGTGGAGTCATAGCGGCATCATGTGACCTGGACCGAATCGGAGCCCTGCTTACTCTATCAGCCAGACATCTGCCCCGCAGCTTTATCCAATCAGAGCAGCTGTTGTTGCTTGTCACATGGGCTTGTGCTGCCTTTTTTCTCTCTTTTTTTTAAAAAGAAAGTATTTGCTTCCTGTCAGAGAGGATCCTGGATTAACTTTGCCTGCGTATGCTGCTGCTCAGCTGATGTAGAACGTACTGTAGATGTACCAGACGATTCTGAAGTGTTGTTTCTGCTGGCAGTCTGTAGGAGTGGACAGTTGTTTGTTTGCGTAAGAGAGGAGCTTTAGGGTCAGCTTTGGCCTGTGCATTTTGACGAGGCATGTCCCTCAGGGCTCTGCGTTCTGTGAGTACCACACTGGGGGGAAATGGTTGGTTGGAGTACAAAGATGCAGTTCCTAACTGGGTCATGCTGTGTGGAAAGCCAAATGGGGAGGGGAGGGGGTGGGGGTCTGAGTGAAGGGTGGGCTAGATTGGTGAGCTTTCAGGTTTCTTATTTCCAATGTCTGGTGGTTAGTGGGGGTGGGTGTGGAGGGATTGTCTGGTTAGAGGAAGCTCTATTTGGGAACAGATTGAGTGAACATGCCAAAGCTGCGGTCACTAGCCTACATGACCGTCCTCTGGGTGTATAAACTGCTCTAGTCCAGCAGAAAGATCCCCTCCATCATGGTGATATGGACTTGTGTTGACATAACAGAAATAGAGAGCAATATTGACTCTTTTTTTCCCTCTGTGTTTGTTTGTAATGTTAAAGGCTTTGTCCCTCTGCGATTATGAGGTTAGGGTCATATTGATAGCATTTTCTTTAACCGTTTGAACCTCAAATACAACAGGGACCCGCTCAACAGTTTTATATGTAAATAGTGTATGATAGAACTATGTGAAAATTGGGATGGAATGATTTTGATCACTGGGGTAAAGAAATTACTCTAAAAGTCTGACATGAATAGGGGGAAACTCAAGAAACTGTTTCATGTTATATTTCATGTGTCTTTGGATGCAGGTGTTAAAACAATACAGCTTCTCATAGGTGTAAAAATCAGTCCATGTTGTGTGAGGCCTTACCCTCACACCTAGCCAGCACTATTACTGTAGTCAACATAACCATAACCATGAGCATGCATTTCCCCGCAAGTGGGTTGAAGTCGCTTTCAAATTCAGAACCTACAGTTGTGGCCAGGATTTTTTTTTAATTAAGTAGATTTGATTTCCTGGCTACCCATCCACATCGCTCCAGCCAAACGCCTCGCCCACTAACGTTTCTTCTGCACGATGAGTCTGGATTTGATCTCCTCCCCGGCATCTTCTCGAATGCGAACGCATTCAAATCGTTCTGATTGGTCCCAGAAATCAATTGGTTGGGCCAGAGCCTGAACACATGTGGGTAAAGCGGTGTTTCGGAAATAGTAATTGGCTTTTGATACTCTGATTGATTAGAGACGATCCAATTGCTAATGACTTGTTTTTACAAAGCCCCTTACTTTGATGTAAGCAGAAACGACTACGAAGGTAGTCTCAGACTGAATGTATGTAGTGATAGGGTAACAGAATTAAATTCAGGCAGAGTCTTCAGGCAAGGATTTGATATCCGGCATTTGTATTTATTAGGTTTTCTCTTTTCTGCCTCTTCAAATTTCGTTGATAGAGGAAGAACAAGAGAGACATCAGACATGTCTGTTTCTTAGAAACAAACATGAAGCTGTGTGGATGTCTGCTTGCCCACACACACACACAAAAACACCCATGAGAATCCCAATGCCCTCACTGCTGTGACTGTGCCCACTTAAGGTTCTTAGAGAGGAGACCGATGTATTTTTTTGGTTGCCCCCCAAGCTCTAAAGAGCACTAATGCTAGCCTCATCTTCCCCACAAATTGAAAGAGGACTATTCTTAGCTAAGTGCCTGTTTTTTATTATTTGCTCAGGTACCTCTTTGGCCACCAACACTAAGCAACTTCCTTCTATATTGATAGCAAACTACCTTTGACCCTAAAGGAGTTAAAAAAAAAAAAAAAGGCCAGACTTTGGTCTCTATAAATAAAGCTTGCTAGGTTTTTACAGTTGACACTTTAGACAACGCTGGGGTTAATGTGTGTTGATGGCTTTTCTTCACATCCCTGTACGATACACTTCAGTTGAGAAACAGGTGTTGTCCATCTGTCGAACCATAGGACACGCTAAGACCAGAGCAGCACTGAGAGAGGGGAGTATATGATTTACTAACTGTCGAGCAAAGTGGTTATGGATATGTTTTAAGAGTTGTGGTATTGTAAGGTAAGACTGCTTTGGTTAAGCATTAGTTTTGAGGGTTTTTGAGGTTGTTGGGTATTTCATTTCTGTATTTTAGCCTAGTTAACTTCCAGGTAGTGAAGGGATTGTTCTTGATTTGTCATCAGCAGGCATGGTCAGGCAGGCTGGCAGGCAAAGCCTTTTATGTCGCCTTTAAACAATGCTAGTTGAACTATTCGTATCACTCTACTTACAGTACAATGCTGGAAGCTTCTCCCAAACAGTTGCTGTTTTGTGCTGCTACAACCTGCTTTTTCAAAGCCCCACCAGGAGAATTTTTAACTTTTTTTAATCTGCCAACAAACTTTCAGAATAGAGGCACTGGCAGAGGAAAATTCTTTGTCCAAAATAGGTTACCAAATGGTAGCAGAAAACTGTCAAACTGTGCTGTAAAGTTAGACTAAGAATGTTCTGCTGTTTTTTCTATTTTAGGAGGCAGAGACAGGATTTGTTCCAAGTGTCCAGGACTTTGATAAGAAACTTGCGGAGGCTGACGCATACCTACAAATTCTAATTGATCAGTTAAAGGTGAGGCTTTTCCACATCTGGGTGACTAAGTATGACAGTGACTCTAATAATAACGGTGACTGACTCGTCACTGCATCATCGATGAATGTGTTTTTATTCAGCTCCTGATTTGAGTGTATCCCCTTCAGCTCCTCATGCATCTCCTCTCTTCCAGCTCTTCGATGAGAAAATCAAGGATTGCAAAGAAGATGAGTCACGCAGAGTGAGTGACATCTCAAAGAGAATATTTTCTGTCAGTCTCTGTTTTAGTAGCTGTGATTCACTTCCTTATTGAGATCATGAGTTTTAGTTTTTGGTCAGTTTGGAACATTTAAACTCTGTTATTTAATATGGTGAAGACCATCACCTATTATGTTGTGATGAACATAGGACACAACTATAGTTGGAGTGAAATCATTGTTCGGCTGGTCTAATGCCATGATTGTGAAAGCGTTTGAACAAAGCATGTTTCTGCGTTGGTTTCACAGGTTTCACTGTGCCAATCTTTCTCAGTCAATGATTTACCTAACTTTGAGTCATGAAGTCTAGTTAGGTGTTAACATAAAGTCTGAAGGGAAACAGGCATTTTTAATCATGTTTTTCTCCTTTTAAGAAAATTGAAAATTTGAAGGAAACCACATGTGTAAGTGAAACCCATTTTTAAAAGTCCTTATTTTCAGAATCTCCTCCTGTCTGAATTTGAGTGCGGTGTTTCATTCTCTGTGCTGTTTCTCTTTTCAGAGTATGGTAGAGTCCATCAAGCACTGTATTGTATTGCTGCAGATTGCAAAGGTAAAAAGGACTCATTCATTTGACTGTGGTGGGGCTCTAATTGCATCACTGTCATGTCATTGTTGTGAGATCACATCATGGTGCACTGCTTGTTTTAGCCATGCCAGTAGTTCTCCACTTAGCTACAGCCTGGGTTGTTGTTTATTGTGGGCAGTTTGCTACATTCCATTAGGTTCCATTTTGAGGTTTTGGAGAGGTGATTCTCACATACACTCGATAATCTTAATGCTCATAATGCTTTTCTTGTGTTGGTGTTAGAATTACAAATGCTCTGACTTTCGAAATAACTTGATGGTTGCTTGAAAGACAAGCTGTTAAGCTCATATCACCATTACATACAAAGAGTTGAACATTCCTCAAGTAATGTTTTCTTCTCAACATTTTAAGGATCAAAGTAACGAACAGCAACACGCAAACGGACTGATAGTAAGTTGCGACGTTCTCTGTCCATTAGAAATATTGGGATCAACCAAACCTCTATCCTTCTTTTCCGATTAATTCACGCTAAACTATAGAAAAAAAGACAAATCAGATATGTAAAAGTGCATGCCATTTGATTAGAAAAAAAGCTTTATCCGGTATATTGCTCTTTCCTTTGCCACGCCACTATCCCCTTTTTCAGCTGAATATCATTTGTTTTTCTGTTGCTGATAATAGTGAGGAACTTTCCTCTTTACCACTCCTTTTAGACACAGAACATCATTCTGCTTCTTTTATTATTTTTCTCGCCATCAATTTTTTTCCTTACTGTGCATGCCTATTGAACCATCAAGGACTAATAGATGTCAACCAATCAAAGGCTGTTTACTGGCTTTACTCTCTTCCCATTCATATTTTTAAGTCGGAATCCCATAGGATCAGCCCGCCAGGCAGGTCTTGTGACAGTAATCTCTCTGGCCATTAGCCTTACACATATAGACCCTCTTCTAACCATGCCTTAAGCACTCTCTAGCTCTAACCCCTTCCCTCAGCCTGCACTAGAGGCATCCTTTGCTGTTGATTTCATCTCTACCTAGCGAGGCCACACTGGTTCCACCACGATGGAGCAGCAACATTTCTGTAATTGGCTATAATTAGGAGTGGCTGCCTTACTATCCAGAAAGCATGTGGACAGCGGGAGGGGGGAGTTAAATCTCCCAAATCTCACACCGACCCCAGTTCTAAAGAGCAGAGAGAGGACTTACTAAACTTCACTGCATGCCTTAATTTCCTTGACTTGTTTCATATTTCCACTTTCCTGACTGTAAAGATCCTTAGTTGAAGTAGTGACTTCTGTCTGTTCAGTAGAGTAGTGTGAAATCTTCCATTCTGCACAGTGCCCACACTGATTTTCAGAGCACATTCTCCTTCATTCTCTCAGTCATACCTCAGCATGCTGCTCGTACCACACTGTTGTGTTCAGAGATTGTGGAGGACTTGATGATTTCTGACTTCTCCTCATGTTCTGCCTCTTGCTGTTGACAGAGTTACAGGCACAGGGTCAAAGGTATCGCTGACCCATAAAGCTATGGCAGCAGTGTACTTTGTATAATGTGTGTACATCTTTTAAAGAGAAATCGAAAAGGTTAGACCACAGTTAAATATAACTAGGATTAAAATCTGTGGGTTTCAAATCACAGGATAACTTTAAAAGATAAGTTATGCCATCACATTCTATAGCTCGCTGGAATGGGTTTTGTCCTACATTTTGCAGGGCTGAAAATACGCTTGAGATAGTATTAGGCTTTACTGTGTTGTGATATACAGTGCCCTCTGTAATTATTGGGACAGTTAAACATTTTTTTGTTTTGGCTCTGTACTCCAGCACTCTGGATTTGAAATGATACAACGACTATGAGGTTAAAGTGCAGACTGTCAGCTTTAATTTGCAGATATTTTCATCCACATCGGGTGAACCGTTTATTACAGCACTTTTGCACATAGTCCCCCCATTTTAGGGGACCAGAAGTATTGGAACAAATTCACTTATGTGTATTAAAGTAGTCAAAAGTGTATTATTTGGTCCCATATTCCTAACATGCGATGATTACATAAAGCTTGTGACTCTACAAACTTGTTCGATGCATTTGCTGTTTGTTTTGGTTGTGTTTCAGATGATTTTGTACCCAATAGAAAATAATGGTAAATAATGTATTGTCATTTTGAAGTCTGTTTTATTTTAAATAATAATAGAATGTTTCTAAATACTTCTACATTAATGTGGATGCTACTAGGATTATGGATAGTCATACACTTTTGACTACTTTAATACACATATACAGTGGGGGAAAAAAGTATTTAGTCAGCCACCAATTGTGCAAGTTCTCCCACTTAAAAAGATGAGAGAGGCCTGTAATTTTCATCATAGGTACACGTCAACTATGACAGACAAAATTAGAAAGAAAAATCCAGAAAATCACATTGTAGGATTTTTAATGAATTTATTTGCAAATTATGGTGGAAAATAAGTATTTGGTCAATAACAAAAGTTTCTCAATACTTTGTTATATACCCTTTGTTGGCAATGACACAGGTCAAACGTTTTCTGTAAGTCTTCACAAGGTTTTCACACACTGTTGCTGGTATTTTGGCCCATTCCTCCATGCAGATCGCCTCTAGAGCAGTGATGTTTTGGGGCTGTCGCTGGGCAACACGGACTTTCAACTCCCTCCAAAGATTTTCTATGGGGTTGAGATCTGGAGACTGGCTAGGCCACTCCAGGACTTTGAAATGCTTCTTACGAAGCCACTCCTTCGTTGCCCGGGCGGTGTGTTTGGGATCATTGTCATGCTGAAAGACCCAGCCACGTTTCATCTTCAATGCCCTTGCTGATGGAAGGAGGTTTTCACTCAAAATCTCACGATACATGGCCCCATTCATTCTTTCCTTTACACGGATCAGTCGTCCTGGTCCCTTTGCAGAAAAACAGCCCCAAAGCATGATGTTTCCACCCCCATGCTTCACAGTAGGTATGGTGTTCTTTGGATGCAACTCAGCATTCTTTGTCCTCCAAACACGACGAGTTGAGTTTTTACCAAAAAGTTCTATTTTGGTTTCATCTGACCATATGACATTCTCCCAATCCTCTTCTGGATCATCCAAATGCACTCTAGCAAACTTCAGACGGGCCTGGACATGTACTGGCTTAAGCAGGGGGACACTGCAGGATTTGAGTCCCTGGCGGCGTACTGTGTTACTGATGGTAGGCTTTGTTACTTTGGTCCCAGCTCTCTGCAGGTCATTCACTAGGTCCCCCCGTGTGGTTCTGGGATTTTTGCTCACCGTTCTTGTGATCATTTTGACCCCACGGGGTGAGATCTTGCGTGGAGCCCCAGATCGAGGGAGATTATCAGTGGTCTTGTATGTCTTCCATTTCCTAATAATTGCTCTCACAGTTGATTTCTTCAAACCAAGCTGCTTACCTATTGCAGATTCAGTCTTCCCAGCCTGGTGCAGGTCTACAATTTTGTTTCTGGTGTCCTTTGACAGCTCTTTGGTCTTGGCCATAGTGGAGTTTGGAGTGTGACTGTTTGAGGTTGTGGACAGGTGTCTTTTATACTGATAACAAGTTCAAACAGGTGCCATTAATACAGGTAACGAGTGGAGGACAGAGGAACCTCTTAAAGAAGAAGTTACAGGTCTGTGAGAGCCAGAAATTTTGCTTGTTTGTAGGTGACCAAATACTTATTTTCCACCATAATTTGCAAATAAATTCATAAAAAATCCTACAATGTGATTTTCTGGATTTTTTCTCTCTCAATTTGTCTGTCATAGTTGACGTGTACCTATGATGAAAATTACAGGCCTCTATCATCTTTTTAAGTGGAAGAACTTGCACAATTGGTGGCTGACTAAATACTTTTTATCCCCACTGTAAGTGAATTTGTCCCAATACCTTTGGTCCCCTAAAATGGGGGGACTATGTACAAAAAGTGCTGTAATTTCTGAACGGTTCACTCGATATGGATGAAAATACCCTCAAATTAAAGCTGACAGTCTGAACTTTAACCTCATATTAATTGTATAATTACAAATCTAAAGAGCTGGAGTACAGAGCCAAAACAACAACAAAAAATTTAACTGTCCCAATAATTACGGATGGCACTGTATGTAGTTAGATATTGATTAGGTAGAACTAAATTATCCAATATTTACCGGAAGCATAGTGAAAGGTAATTGATCTTTCTAGTCATTGGCAGTGTGTATTTTATTTTGTCCTTGTAGTCTGCTCCGTTAAGTGCTACTGCCGGTGTAGAGCAATGTGTGTTGCAGATGTACAGTGAGGGAAAAAAGTATTTGATCCCCTGCTGATTTTGTACGTTTGCCCACTGACAAAGAAATGATCAGTCTATAATTTTAATGGTAGGTTTATTTGAACAGTGAGAGACAGAATAACAACAAAAAAATCCAGAAAAACTCATGTCAAAAATGTTAAATTGATTTGCATTTTAATGAGGGAAATAAGTATTTGACCCCCTCTCAATCAGAAAGATTTCTGGCTCCCAGGTGTCTTTTATACAGGTAACGAGCTGAGATTAGGAGCACACTCTTAAAGGGAGTGCTCCTAATCTCAGTTTGTTACCTGTATAAAAGACACCTGTCCACAGAAACAATCAATCAATCAGATTCCAAACTCTCCACCATGGCCAAGACCAAAGAGCTCTCCAAGGATGTCAGGGACAAGATTGTAGACCTACACAAGGCTGGAATGGACTACAAGACCATCACCAACAGTTGGTGCGATTATTCGCAAATGGAAGAAACACAAAATAACTGTCAATATCCCTCGGCCTGGGGCTCCATGCAAGATCTCACCTCATGGAGTTGCAATGATCATGAGAACGGTGAGGAATCAGCCCAGAACTACACGGGAGGATCTTGTCAATGATCTCAAGGCAGCTGGGACAATAGTCACCAAGAAAACAATTGGTAACACACTACGCCGTGAAGGACTGAAATCCTACAGCGCCCGCAAGGTCCCCCTGCTCAAGAAAGCACATATACATGCCGTCTGAAGTTTGCCAATGAACATCTGAATGATTCAGAGGAGAACTGGGTGAAAGTGTTGTGGTCAGATGAGACCAAAATGGAGCTCTTTGGCATCAACTCAACTCGCCGTGTTTGGAGGAGGAGGAATGCTGCCTATGACCCTAAGAACACCATCCCCACCGTCAAACATGGAGGTGGAAACATTATGCTTTGGGGGTGTTTTTCTGCTAAGGGGACAGGACAACTTCACCGCATCAAAGGGACGATGGACGGGGTCATGTACCGTCAAATCTTGGGTGAGAACCTCCTTCCCTCAGCCAGGGCATTGAAAATGGGTCGTGGATGGGTATTCCAGCATGACAATGACCCAAAACACACGGCCAAGGCAACAAAGGAGTGGCTCAAGAAGAAGCACATTAAGGTCCTGGAGTGGCCTAGCCAGTCTCCAGACCTTAATCCCATAGAAAATCTGTGGAGGGAGCTGAAGGTTCGAGTTGCCAAACGTCAGCCTCGAAACCTTAATGACTTGGAGAAGATCTGCAAAGAGGAGTGGGACAAAATCCCTCCTGAGATGTGTGCAAACCTGGTGGCCAACTACAAGAAACGTCTGACCTCTGTGATTGCCAACAAGGGTTTTGCCACCAAGTACTAAATCATGTTTTGCAGAGGGGTCAAATACGTATTTCCCTCATTAAAATGCCAATCAATTTATAACATTTTTGACATGCGTTTTTCTGGATTTTGTTGTTGTTATTCTGTCTCTCACTGTTCAAATAAACCTACCATTAAAATTATAGACTGATCATGTCTTTGTCAGTGGGCAAACGTACAAAATCAGCAGGGGATCAAATACTTTATTCCCTCACTGTACCTAGCTATGTATTATGTTTTAAGACTGGCACCATTTTGTCTTGACCTGTACAGAGCACCATCAACCCAGTGGATGGGATATTTCAGCCTTTGGACACTTCTCTAGTCAACTTAGCCATGCCAACACAGACCACCCTCCCCACAGGTACAGTATACATAGAGCCATACACACAATCTAATCTACAGTCCTATCAGGAAGATTTGTCCCTCAGAATAAAAATATCCCTTTGAGTCCACATACTGATATTGCATACAAAACTGACAATTTGATTTCATGGACATAGATGAACATTGGATTTCATACTTTCAGATTTTTGTACCTGATAAATGTTTATTTCCTGAAACACACATCTATAGTGCCCCCCTATTTCTCAGCATGTGTACTTCCCAATGTAGGGCAATCTAAATTCAGCTTTCTCTGAAATTGGACACAAAAATCCAATCCCAAGGTCTAGACCCAGTGTCAGCAAAGTTTGGTGACATTAACATTTTCACAGTCACAGGTTTATATTAAACTCTGACTGCTTTGCTGTTTAAAAAAAAAAAAAAAAAAAGCTTGCTCCCTCACAGGTCTGTAATAATGTTGAGTCTGTGGCATCATAAAGCAGTGTTGTTCTAATGACAGAGCTTTTTCCTTTTTCTTGTCTCCTTTCTGTAGATGGCTCCCAGATGTGTAAAGGAGAACAGCGGCCCTCCACTCTATCAGTGGGGCCTGTTGTCACGGTGATGGGCAGCCTGCAGACTCCGACCCCCAACAGCACAGGTCAGAAGTCATCTCACTCTAGTGGTCAGGTCACCAATACTTACAGTGCCTTCAGAAAGTATTCATGCTCCTTGACTTATTCCACATTTAGTTGTGTTACAGCCTGAATTCAAAATTGATTACATTACCCCATTTACTGAAAATAAAATACTGAAATATCTCATTTACATAAGTATTCACACCCCTAAGTCAATACATGTTAGAATCACCTTTGGCAGCGATTACAGCTGTGAGTCTTTCTAGTTAAGTTTCTAAGAGCTTTGCACACTTGGATTGTACAATATTTGCCCATTATTCTTTAAAAAATTATTCAAGCTCTGTCAAGTTAGTTGTTGGTCATTGCTAGACAGCCATTTTCAAGTCTTGCCATAGATTCTCAAGCAGATATAAGTCCAAACTGAACATTCATTCTTCTTGGTAAGCAACTCGAGTGTAGATTTGGCCTTGTGTTTTAGGTTATTGTCCTGCTGAAATGTTAATTCATATCCCAGTGTCTGGTGGAAAGCAGACTGAACCAGGTTTTTTCTCTAGGATTTTGCCTGTGCTTAGCTCCATTCAATTTATTTTTTATCCTGAAAATCTCCCCAGTCCTTAACGATTAGATTATAAGCATACCCATAACATGATTCAGCCACCACTATGCTTGAAAATATGGACAGTGGTACTCATTAATGTGTTGTATTGGATTTGCCCCAAACATAACACTTTGTATTCAGGACAAAAAGTGAATTGCTTTGTCACATTTTTTACAGTATTACTATGGTGCCTTGTTGCAAACAGGATGCATGTTTTGGAATATTTTTATTCTGTACTTCCTTCTTTTTACTCTGTCAATTAGGTTAGTATTGTGGAGTAACTACAATGTTGTTGATCCATCCTCAGTTTTCTCCTATCACTCTGTAACTGTTTTAGAGTCACCATTGTCCTCATGGTGAAATCCCTGAGCGGTTTCCTTCCTCTCAAAGGGATATTCAATGTCTGCCTTTAAAAAAAAAGAATGTATCCATCTGCCAATAGGTGCCCTTCTTTGCAAGGCATTGGAAAACCTCCCTGGTCTTTGTGGTTAAATCTGTGTTTGAAATTCACTGTTCGACTGAGGGATCTTACAGATAATTGTATGTGTGGGGTACAGAGATGAGGTAGTTATTAAAAAATCATGTTAAACACTATTATTGTACACAGAGTGAGTCCATGCAGCTTATTATGTGGCTTGTTAAGCAAATGTTTTACTCCTTTACTTATTTAAGCTTGCCATACCAAAGGGGTTGAATACTTATTGACGCAAGACATTTCAGCTTTTTTTAATTTTTAATAAATTTGTAAAAGTTTTGAAGTACATAATTTCACTTTGACATAGGCCAGTGACAAAAAAATCTCTATTTAATCCATTTTAAATTCAGGCTGTAAGAAAACAAATTATGGACAAAGTCAAGGGGTGTGAATACTTTCTGAAGGCACTGTAACTAGCAGCTGTACTTGGACAAACATTTCACTCTGTCTCCTAGAACTTGCATTTAAATAAATAAATAATATGCCATTTAGCAGACGCTTTTATCCAAAGCGACTTACAGTCATGCGTGCATACATTTTTGTGTATGGGTGGTCCCGGGGATCGAACCCACTACCTTGGCGTTACAAGCGCCGTGCTCTACCAGCTGAGCTACAGAGGACCACTATTTAGGGCTTGAGTATCCACTCAGTGGGGATGTCACGTCATAATCACCACACAAATAAAACAGTATTTACTTTTTTTTTATTTACTCATTGTATTTTTCAAAATGGGTTTTCATTAGGTATGTGTCCCTTGATAGAAACCGCTGTTAGCAACAGGAAGTTTTGTTTTACTGCTAGAATGTCTGGGGTATATCGGAAGCTAGGAGAGCACCTTAGGTACTTTCTCCAAATGTCATTATTCCTCTGGCTTGGAGGGTCCTGCCTGTTTTCAATCCTGCTGATGCTGCTGAATAAATGCTGAGCTGTGCACTAAGGAAGAAGCCTGGGAGCACACATTGCACTGCAGGGGAGATTATGCAAGGAACAAACTCCTCATGGTTCCCTAACAATATGGGAACAATAAGAACAGACAAATGGTGTCCATGTGATCACTGAGAAGAAAGAGGCTGCATCCAATTTGTAAGTCGCTCTGGATAAGAGCGCCTGCTAAATGACGTAAATGTAATAGAGCCTCTATGTATGATTTAGTTCAAAGCAGTTATAATTGTTTATTTACAAGAGTAAACTATTAAAAGCCATTGTTGCTATACATGGTTTAAGCCCGTCTCAGCTGGGATCCCCTGCTCACCACCACCCCATTTTCTCTCTCTCTTTCTCTCTGTCTGTCTGTGTTTCAGGGAGTGGCCCCTCGGCGGCCAGCAGTAGCATTGCCTCCCCCAGTCACATGACCATCACCTCCCACTCGGTCCCTGACTTCTCCTACTCCAGCAGTGAAGACGAGTTCTATGACGCTGACGAGTTCTCCCAGAACAGCACGTCTCCCAAGCACCTCCTAGAGTGAATATCTACTGTCTTTATCCATCCACACAGCAGTTTACTGGGGATTACAGGGACCTAGGACAGGGATGGAAATGGTCCACCTGACCACATCCTGGCACTCTCTTTATTTCATGATTTTATTGATCCTTTGTTGTCATTGTACATTTCTGAGTTGTACTTGTTACTTATGGCAATTTCCTGAAACTGGTCTGATTCAACCCCATGTTGAATACTTGATGGGTATGGGTAGGGCTGTGGCTGTCATTACATTTTGTCAGCCGGTTATTGTCATGCAAAATACTGCCGGTCTCACGTTAAATTACCTTTAATTAACATAAACACGTTTAGCATCTCCATGACTCCATGCGTACTTTACTAATCTTGTCTTTACTAATATGTACAATTTATTTAAATTTAGAATGGCCCATTATCAAATGGGCAGGAACGGGCACGGGCAAAAATACATGTCATCCGTATGCGCTCGAATAGGTGGTTCGTTTTTCAATCATGCTGGGTAGGCTACTCCGGTTATTTCACTCTACACATCAACCACTGCTTGAGGAGCATTGCGCGACAGGTGATATTCCACCCAAACTCTGTATGCGATGGGCTCTACAACCCTGTTCCTGCAGCTAGCCAGGGCCTAATTTGGGAAACCAAGTGAAATCTGTTCGGGAACATCGGTAGTAACATGTTTTCACAACTAAACATATTTCATAAAAAATACATTTAAAAAAGCCCTATTACTAGGCTATTCAAAATCAAATACAAATTCACTATAGTTGTAGGCTAACTCTGTAAGCCGCCCTGCACAATCAATGAATCAACAGCATCGCTTAAGCCTACACGTTCTCTCCCAGACTCATGGATAGAAAGTTTGGAGCGTAGCATAAGGTAACCAGTCCATCCAGTATGCATAATAATGCAGTCCACAGTCAAAGGCGATTACAAAAAAATATTGAATTTTGGAGTATAGGCTAGACCAATTATGTACCAAAGACATCTTAAATACACTGCTCAAAAAAAGAAAGGGAACACTAAAATAACACATCCTAGATCTGAATGAATGAAATAATCTTATTAAATACTTTTTTCTTTACATAGTTGAATGTGCTGACAACAAAATCACACAAAAATGATCAATGGAAATCAAATTTATCAACCCATGGAGGTCTGGATTGGAGTCACCCTCAAAATTAAAGTGGAAAACCACACTACAGGCTGATCCAACATTGATGTAATGTCCTTAAAACAAGTCAAAATGAGGCTCAGTAGTGTGTGTGGCCTCCACGTGCCTGTATGACCTCCCTACAACGCCTGGGCATGCTCCTGATGAGGTGGCGGATGGTCTCCTGAGGGATCTCCTCCCAGACCTGGACTAAAGCATCCGCCAACTCCTGGACAGTCTGTGGTGCAACGTGGCGTTGGTGGATGGAGCGAGACATGATGTCCCAGATGTGCTCAATTGGATTCAGGTCTGGGGAACGAGCGGGCCAGTCCATAGCATCAATGCCTTCCTCTTGCAGGAACTGCTGACACACTCCAGCCACATGAGGTCTAGCATTGTCTTCCATTAGGAGGAACCCAGGACCAACCGCACCAGCATATTGTCTCACAAGGGGTCTGAGGATCTCATCTCGGTACCTAATGGCAGTCAGGCTACCTCTGGCGAGCACATGGAGGGCTGTGCGGCCCCCCAATGAAATGCCACCCCACACCATGACTGACCCACCGCCAAACCGGTCATGCTGGAGGATGTTGCAGGCAGCGGATGTTCTCCACGGCGTCTCCAGACTCTGTCACGTCTGTCACATGTGCTCAGTGTGAACCTGCTTTCATCTGTGAAGAGCACAGGGCGCCAGTGGCGAATTTGCCAATCTTGGTGTTCTCTGGCAAATGCCAAACGTCCTGCACGGTGTTGGGCTGTAAGCACAACCCCCACCTGTGGACGTCGGGCCCTCATACCACCCTCATGGAGTCTGTTTCTGACCGTTTGAGCAGACACATGGACATTTGTGGCTTGCTGGAGGTCATTTTGCAGGGCTCTGGCAGTGCTCCTCCTGCTCCTCCTTGCACAAAGGCGGAGGTAGCAGTCCTGCTGCTGGGTTGTTGCCCTCCTACGGCCTCCTCCACGTCTCCTGATGTACTGGCCTGTCTCCTGGTAGCGCCTCCATGCTCTGGACACTACGCTGACAGACACAGCAAATCTTCTTGCCACAGCTCGCATTGATGTGCCATCCTGGATGAGCTACACTACCTGAGCCACTTGTGTGGGTTGTAGACTCCGTCTCATGCTACCACTAGAGTGAAAGCACCGCCAGCATTCAAAAGTGACCAAAACATCAGCCAGGAAGCATAGGAACTGAGAAGTGATCTGTGGTCACCACCTGCAAAACCAGTCCTTTATTGGGGGTGTCTTGCTAATTGCCTATAATTTCCACCTGTTGTCTATTCCATTTGCACAACAGCATGTAAAATGTATTGTCAATCAGTGTTGCTTCCTAAGTGGACAGTTTGATTTCACAGAAGTGTGATTGACTTGGAGTTACATTGTGTTGTTTAAGTGTTCCCTTTATTTTTTTGAGCAGTGTATATTCTTACTTTTTTTTGCAGTGCGTAAAATTATTATTTTAATTGTTATTTTTTCGGCCTTGAGGTCACATATAGGCCTATGCGTATACATAAGCTTTAATATGCGTATGGATGTTTTGAATGAATCATCACCTTAGAAAGCACTGTCCATTTTGTTGTGTTAGGCTTTGAAACAACATCCACAACGACCATGGTTTCAACCTGTTGTTGAACTTCTTCAAATGTTAAAAGCACATACTGTTTTGATTGTGTTTTGATGTGATTTTTGATTGCATTTGCATTGATGTCAGAGTGGTTAGAGGGACAATAGAGCCCTGAGTACCAGGCCATTAGTGACCTGTTGATCGTTAGGGAGTTGGGTACTACCAACACATATCTAGAGTGCATAAGAGGAGATTACCGTGACTCAACAGTCACGTGGAATTCTACTGCGGTCATAACTCATTACTTCCGGTGTGGCGGTAATACGGTCACCGCAACAACCCTAGGTATGGGAAAATGCAACTCATCATAAGCTGATTGTGTTTTTCTAGAGGTGTGTTTTAATCCTGTGCCTTTACGGCATATATTTCCTATTATGTAATCAGTTATTTCTTTCTCTGCATCCCTCCACCTTCATCTAAAGTGGCGCAGTGGTCTAAGGCACTGCATCGCAGTGCTAACTGTGCCACTAGAGATCCTGGTTCGAATCCAGGCTCTGTCGCAGCCGGCCGCGACCGGGAGACTCATGGGCGGCGCACAATTGGCCCAGCGTCGTCCAGGGTAGGGGAGGGAATGGCCGGCAGGGATGTAGCTCAGTTGATAGAGCATGGCGTTTGCAACGCCAGGGTTGTGGGTTCGATTCCCACGGGGGGCCAGTATAAAAAAATATATATATATATATATGTATTCACTAACTGTAAGTCGCTCTGGATAAGAGCGTCTGCTAAATGACTAAAATGTAAATGTAAATCTCTCCCTCCATTTTTTTCTCTGTCAGTCCCTCTAGGCCTTCTGCTGCTTTGCCTCACAGCGATGACGGAACAGTGCTGAAACGACCAGACACTAACGAGTCCCTCGACTCCTCCATGTCTAACGGCACCACTGATGCAGGTGATACACGCACAAACGCACATTGCCCTACTTATCCTCACACCTGTCTACCCCCAACAATAACCTACAGTGAGCTGCAAAAGTATTGGGACAGTGACACATGTTATTGTAATGGTGAGAGGTTAGCATATCGTCTGTAACTTTCGCACTCATCATTATTCACAATTCATTCAGGACTATCTGTTATTAATGGTAGCATCCACATTAATGTAGAAGTGTTTAGAAACCTATTCTATTCTTATTTACAATAAAAGTGACCCCAGAATGACACAATACATTATTTATCAATCATTTCTATTTGGCACAAAATAATCTGAAACACAACCAAAACAAACAGCAAATGCATCCAACCGATTTGTAGAGTCACAAGCTTGATGTAATCATTGCGTGCTAGGAATATGGGACCAAATACTAACTTTTGACTACTTTAATACACATACAGTGAGAGAAAAAAGTATTTGATCCCCTGCTGATTTTGTACGTTTGCCCACTGACAAAGAAATGATCAGTTTATAATTTTAATGGTAGGTTTATTTGAACAGTGAGAGACAGAATAAAAACAAAAACATGATTTAGTACTTGGTGGCAAAACCCTTCTTGTAGTTGGCCACCAGGTTTGCACACATCTCAGGAGGGATTTTGTCCCACTCCTCTTTGCAGATCTTCTCCAAGTCATTAAGGTTTTGAGGCTGACGTTTGGCAACTCGAACCTTCAGCTCCCTCCACAGATTTTCTATGGGATTAAGGTCTGGAGACTGGCTAGGCCACTCCAGGACCTTAATGTGCTTCTTCTTGAGCCACTCCTTTATTGCCTTGGCCGTGTGCTTTGGGTCATTGTCATGCTGGAATACCCATCCACGACCCATTTTCAATGGTTATCACCCAAGATATGACGGTACATGGCCCCATCCATCGTCCCTTTGATGCGGTAAAGTTGTCCTGTCCCCTTAGCAGAAAAACACCCCCAAAGCATAGTGTTCTTGGGATCATAGGCAGCATTTCTCCTCCTCCAAACACGGCGAGTTGAGTTGATGCCAAAGAGCTCGATTTTGGTCTCATCTGACCACAACACTTTCACCCAGTTCTCCTCTGAATCATTCAGATGTTCATTGGCAAACTTCAGACGGGCATGTATATGTGCTTTCTTGATCAGGGGGACCTTGCGGGCGCTGCAGGATTTCAGTCCTTCACAGTGTAGTGTGTTACCAATTGTTTTCTTGGTGACTATGGTCCCAGCTGCCTTGAGATCATTGACAAGATCCTCCCGTGTAGTTCTGGGCTGATTCCTCACCGTTCTCATGATCATTGCAACTCCACAAGGTGAGATCTTGCATAGAGCCCCAGGCCGAGGGAGATTGACAGTTCTTTTGTGTTTCTTCCATTTGCGAATAATCGCACCAACTGCTGTCACCTTCTCACCAAGTTGCTTGGCGATGGTCTTGTAGCCCATTCCAGCCTTGTGTAGGTCTAAAATCTTGTCCCTGACATCCTTGGAGAGCTCTTTGGTCTTGGCCATGGTGGAGAGTTTGGAATCTGATTGATTGCTTCTGTGGACAGGTGTCTTTTATACAGGTAACAAGCTGAGATTAGAAGCACTCCCTTTAAGAGTGTGCTCCTAATCTCAGCTCGTTACCTGTATAAAAGACACCTGGGAGCCAGAAATCTTTCTGATTGAGAGGGGGTCAAATACTTATTTCCCTCATTAAAATGCAAATCAATTTATAACATTTTTGACATGCGTTTTTCTGGATTCTTGTGTTGTTATTCTGTCTCTCACTGTTCAAATAAACCTACCATTAAAATTATAGACTGATCATTTCTTTGTCAGTGGGCAAACGTAGAAAATCAGCAAGGGATCAAATACTTATTTCCCTCACTGTATAAGGGAATTTGTTCCAATACTTTTGGTCCCTTAAAATGGGGGGACTATGTACAAAAGTGCTGTAATTTGTAAACGGTTCACCCGATATGGATGAAAATACCCTCAAATTAAACTGACAGTCTGCACTTTAACCTCATAGTCATTGTATCATTTGAAATCAAAAGTGCTGGAGTACAGAGCCAAAACAACAACAAATGTGTCACTTTCCCAATACTTTTGGAGCTCAATGTATTTCTCTGTAACAACATCACACATTCTGTTCCTTTTTTGGCTGATGTTTTCTTTCGTAACAGAAAAGAGGATGTCAGGCTGTCCTGAATCAGTGGTGGCTGGTCTACTGTAGGTGTTTTTAACTCTCTGCTGTCTGCTCTGGTCAGATCAATTTGACAGCCATGATGATGAGGCGGAGGATCAGGGGGAGTCTGTGGAGGAGCACAAGAGTGTCATCATGCATCTGCTGTCCCAGGTGCGACTGGGCATGGACCTCACCAAGGTAAGAGCTCTGTGTGTCTGTCCGTCCTGTCACTCTCTCTTTCTCTCTTGCTAACTGTTTCTTTCTCTTTCCCTCTCTCTCTCTCCTCAGGTGGTCCTCCCCACATTTATCTTAGAGAGGAGGTCTTTGCTGGAGATGTATGCTGACTTCTTTGCACATCCGGATTTGTTTGTCAGGTACATCACTTCAAATTCTCTCCAAATGTACCCAAAAAGAAGGAAAACATTTTGTTTCAGAATCCCATCCATGGCATTATAACCTTTGATCCAGTGGTGTGACGACTGATGTTCTCATCCCCAGTATCGCGGATCAGCTAGAACCCAAAGAGCGCATGGTTCAGGTGGTAAAATGGTACATGTCAGCCTTCCACGCAGGGAGGAAAAGCTCAGTGGCCAAGAAGCCTTACAACCCCATCCTGGGAGAGGTCTTCTTCTGCCACTGGGACCTGCCTTCAGAGAGTGAGGAGCTCACTGCAGTGGTGAGCATTGACAGAGCAGCCTTGACCGAGCCCATTGTACCACAATAAAGACTGACAATTTATATTGATATGATTTGATTTTTAAACTAGTTTTATAATACTATAATCAGTGTAAAGTTTTGTGATACTGAGGCAAGTTTTTTAATTTGTTTCATCAATTCTTTACTGATAAATAAATGCTAACCACCGACCCCTCCTCCCACCCCTCAGGAGCCATCGTCAGAGGGTCCAGTGCCATGGTCTTCAGCCAACAGTGTGTCTTTTGTAGCAGAGCAGGTCTCTCATCACCCCCCTAGTGAGTCTCCCCACCCCGTCAACATTAGACAGCTGACACAGAACCAGAGCCATAGAGTTAAGTTAACTGCTATAACATGTTTACTGTACTGTTGCCTTTCCTCTTCCTTGTAGTTTCTGCATTCTACGCAGAGTGTCTCAGTAAAAAGATTCAGTTCAACGCCCACATTTGGACCAAGTCAAAGTTCTTAGGAATGTCAATTGGAGTCCACAATATTGGCCAGGGTAAGAAATCTCTTCAACCAATCTCTACCAACGGTAGATGGCTCACATCGTCCATAAACGTGTGTGCTCACACACTTACAAAAACCTTATGGTCTTCTGTGTATTCTGAAGTGTGTGCTTCCCCATTTCTCCTGTAGGCTGTGTGTCCTGTCTGGAACATGACGAGCACTACATACTCACCTTCCCCAATGGCTATGGCAGGTAGGCTCATGCTTTTAAAAGTGAATAGCACACACACTCACACTCTCTCACGTTTGTGGTTCTGGAAATAAAAGCCCCAGTTCAATTAAAAATAAGTTAACTCCAGCACAGTGCACAAAATGTACTGTATGTTAAGTGAGTGTGTATAAATGGGTATACCATGTTATCTGGATTCCCTGACCTGACATGTAATGGGGTGTTCCTTCTCTCTTCAGGTCGATCCTGACCGTCCCATGGGTGGAGTTGGGTGGAGAATGTAACATCAACTGCTCCAAAACGGGCTACAGTGCCAGCATTGTGTTTCACACTAAGCCCTTCTATGGTGGCAAGAAGCACAGGATCACCGCTGAGATCTTGTAAGGAGGATTTTCTTATTTTTAATCATGCATGTAGTGTTAGCCTATTATTGCTTTATTTACTGTGCTCATAGCAGTATATGGAAATCAGTTTTTGTTGTGATGTTAAAGATGCGTTCTAAAGGTTTTGGATAATTTCAGCCAGTAGTTTTGAAAGTAGCACCCACAAGCCAAAACAGGTCCTCAAAAATGTTTATTATACAATGCATTTGGAAAGTATTCAGACCCCTTGACTTTTTCCACATTTTGTTACGTTACAACCTTGTTCTAAAATTGATTAAACTGTTGTGTTCCCCTATCTACACACAATACCCCATAATGACAAAGCAAAAACAGGTTATCAATTTTAGCAAATATGTAAATGTGATTTCTGTTTTTTAAATTTGATATAAGTATTCAGACCCTTTACTCAGTACTTTGTTGAAGCACCTTTGGCAGCGATTACAGCCTCGAGTCTTCTTGGGTATGACGCTACAAGCTTGACACACCACCTGTATTTGGAGAGTTTCTCTCATTCCTCTCTGCAGATCCTCTCAAGCTCTGTCAGGTTAGATGGGAAGCGTTGCTGCACAGCTATTTTCAGCTCTTTCCAGAGATGTTCGATCAGGTTCAAATCCGGGCTCTGGCTGGGCCACTCAAGGACATTCAGAGAATTGTCCCAAAGCCACTCCTGCATTGTCTTGGCTGTGTGCTTAGGGTCGTTGTCCTGTTGGAAGGTGAACGTTCACCCCAGTCTGAGGTCCTGAGCGCTCTGGAGTAGGTTTTTGTACTTTACTCCGTTCAACTTTGCCTCGATCCTGACTAGTTTCCCAGTCCCTGCCGCTAAAAAACATCCCCACAGCATGATGCTGCCACCATGCTTCACCGTAGGGATGGTGCCAGGTTTCCTCCAGACCTGACGCTTGGCATTCAGGACAAAGAGTTCCATCTTGGTTTCATCAGACCAGAGAATCTTGTTTCTCATGTTCTGAGAGTCTTTAGGTGCCTTTTGACAAACTCCAAGCGGGCTGTCGTGCCTTTTACTGAGGAGTGGCTTCCGTCTGGCCACTACCATAAAGGCCTTATTTGGTGGAGTGCTGCAGAGATGGTTGTCCTTCTGGAAGATTCTCCCATCTCCACAGAGTAACTCTAGAGCTCTGTCAGAGTGACCATCGAGTTCTTGGTCACCTCCCTGTCCAAGGCCCTTCTCCCCCGATTACTCAGTTTGTCCGGGCGGCCAGCTCTAGGAAGAGTCTTGGTGGTTCCAAACTTCTTCCATTTAAGAATGATGGAGGCCACTGTGTTCTTGGGGACCTTCAATGCTGCAGAAATGTTTTGGTACCCTTCCCCAGATCTATGCCTTGACACAATCCTGTCTCGGCGCTCTACGGACAATTCCTTCGTCCTCATGGCTTGGTTTTTGCTCTGACATACACTGTCAACTGTGGGACCTTATATAGACAGGTGTGTGCCTTTCCAAATCATGTCCAATCAATTGAATTGACCGCAGGTGGACTCCAATCAAGTTGTAGAAACATCTCAAGGATGATCGATGGAAACCGGATGCACCTGAGCTCAATTTCGAGTCACATAGCAAAGGGTCTGAATACTTATGTAAATAAGGTATTTCTGTTTTTTGTAATACACTTGCAAAAATTTCTAAAAACCTGTTTTCGCTTTATCATTATGGGGTATTGTGTATAGATTGCTGAGGAAAATGTATTATTTAATCCATTTTAGAATAAGGCTGTAACGTAACAAAATGTGGAAAACGTCAAGGGGTCTGAATATTTTCCGAAGGCACTATATATTTCAAATGTGTTTGTTTGCAGTCCTCCCAATGACAAGAAGTCATTCTGCTCCATTGAAGGAGAGTGGAATGGAGTGATGCACGCTAAGTGGGCATCTGGGGTGAGTTCAGTTTGAAAATGTGATCTCTGCTCGATATCAATGAATTTTTGTTTTGTTTTTGTTTTTTACCTCAAACACTGAAGGTTGACCTCTTACATTAAAATCAAAATAGAAAGTGTTAATATTTTAATAGACACTTTCAACCCTAACTTACTATCTCTTGAATCCAGGAAAACTCCTTGTTCATTGACACAAAGAAAATGGGCTGTATCAAGAAGAAGGTGAGGAAGTTGGAGGACCAGCTGGAGTATGAGTCCCGCAGGTGAGAAGCCTCTCTCTTTGTATTTTCATGGCCACAGAAGTGCATTAATAAGTAGCTGTTTTTCATTTGTTCTGTCCAGTCCCCTTTCTGTTGATGTGGGGGTAGTAGCTCCTGTCATGGCATACAGTTTAATTGGGCTATCAATCCAACCAGGCATAAAATAATCTGATTTAACAATATATTTATTTTGTTTGGTCTGAAACCTCAAGTCCCTGTTTGTGTTTTACCCTCAGCCTGTGGAAGGATGTGACGGTCAGCCTGAAGTCGAGAGACATCGATGCAGCAACGGAAGCAAAGCACAGGCTGGAGGAGAAGCAGAGGGGGGAGGCCAGGGAGAGGAAGGAAAACGAAATGCAGTGGGAAACTAGGGTGAGTGTGCCTATTCTTATCACACATCTCCAGAGCCCTGACAGCAATATTAACGGCCACCAGTCCATATCAAGGTTAATAGTTCACAGTAATGATGATTGTACATAGTTTAATATGTAGATGGAAAGTATATGACTCATAGGGTGCCTCGCTTACTTGTCAAAATATTTGTGTTAATTGCAGATGCAAATGTTAACCTGTACCTTTCGATTTTTGAAAGAAGTATTGTAGTCCCCACTGATTAAGTCTCTGTTTACTCCCTGCAGTTGTTCCATGAGGATGGAGAGTGCTGGGTCTACGATGAGCCTCTACTGAAAAGAACTGGATCACAGAGGCACTGAGGCCACAGATACAGATCTCGGAGTCTTAATAAGAACTCTTTTTCGAACCACTTCTTATCCAAGCCTTGGAATGACTGATGATTGAACATGTACACAGCTTTGCATTTTCAAAGTTAAAATGGAATGAAATTAAGAAGAAACATCTACGATGTAAAAAAGAATACTCCTTGTTTTCGCCAACCCCACCGCCTCCACCTCTCCATCCCCTAAACGACTAAAAGAAGCATAATAACAAAACCAGTACCGATGCCCTTCGGCTACACAAACAAGCCCTCACAATCTGGCAGGAGGATCCCACGAGGGTATGTCCTTTTCCCCGAGGGGGAGGGTGTTTTGATTGAACAATCCTTGAAAAACAGCGTTCTATATCTCAGGGAAACTGGTGACTGAGGAATGAAAGCTGTACCTCCGGGAGTTTGACAGCCTTATGGTGGAATCACAAGGGGGAGAACTTGGCTTGCCTACAACTAGCTACAGCTGTTTATATATAGATACATATGATGAATATATATATTCTTTTTTATTTCCTTTCTCTTTCCTTATGGCAATAGTAAATATTTGAGGATATGAACTCTATGGCAACACATCAGGAATCATTCCATTTCCCTTCTACATTTGTCCCCTCTCAAGTTCGTCGACATTGCCTTTCCCCATGTACTAACTCCACCATCTAGTGTGTGTTTATCTTCTCAAGAGGACCAGAAGAACCCAATAAGTATGCATTTGCAAGATAGACGGAAGGTGGAGTCGAGGAAGAGGACTTGTCTCCATGTTGATTATTTTCCCTTTTGGCATTTATGAACAAATGTATGTTTTTTTGTTTTGTTTTTCAGATGATTGGGTAACATGTTAAGGAGCTTTAATGAGAGTAGGTTTTATTGAGTGCTGCTAGAATGTCCAAATTTGGTTGAGGGTGCAAAATGTGCTTTCCAATTGTTGTTCAATAGGAAAGCATATAATGGTCTCATGTCTGCTTTTAAAATAAGGGTTGATTCCCCATTCAGTTCAACATCAGTTTAACCTCAGTAAGCTGATGTTTGGATAAGTACCTAAAATAAAATATAGATTTTTCACTTGAGCATATGAATCATTATATATGTTTCTGGATATTCTTCAGCGAACCCATTACGTACAATATTGTCAGCTAAAGTCATCTGTTCATGTTTCCCTCAGAAGACGTTTTATCAGTAAGCAAGGCCAGGTTATACAGTACATGAATTTACATTTTGGTCAGTGGAAAGGAGTTGTGATACAGCGACCGAAACCATATGTAGCAATATAGAGCACATTCCTGCTGAATACACGCATGCAATGATTGCCTGTGGTGAAAAACTCAAATTCAGGTGGATTTTCATCCTATTCTCTCTAAAGTAGGTAAATACTGTATATTCTAATAAAATAGAATTTACAGAGGTTACAAACTTAAAAGCCATTATTTTTTCATGTTATGTCTTTGTAAATTAATATTGAATTGAGGCCTTGCCATACATTTCCACATCACTCAGTATCGCTTCAAACGAGCAATCAAAACAAAATGTATTTTTTATTTCCTTCAAATCATAACCATTGATTGTATCACATTTTCATGTTTATTGATGCATATTATTAAATCTCCCTGAGTTTACCTCTGTTTAGTGTTTGACACCCTTCATTGAAAAATATTGTGGTTTAAAGGCGCTCCATTGTCAATCTGTCGTCTTCATTGGCTATGCAGCATTTCCAGGTGATATGGCCTCTGCAGAAGTTATGGCTTCATGCTTCGCGGAGCAGCGTAGAGCTGTTGGAAGGAAATGAGTTTGTTTATACTGGACCTCCCGCCCCTACTTACCGTCTACCAATCATGTCAATGCGGAGCTATACAGAGACCTCCGCATTGTTACAAAATTTGTGCGGCGCACAGCGATGCGGTGTGAAGCTCAATTTGGACTCTGCATGCCTCCAGAGGCTTCGCAATTGCGTCACACAACATTTTTCTGATCGCAATTGCGTCACACCACATTTTACGGAACTCGGATCAAGCATAAATTGGCTCTAAATTCTGCACTGCCAATGCAGAGAACAGATTGACCATGAAGTGTCTTTTAGTTCGTCACATTATCGTTGGTTAATGGGGTCGTACCCTGAGATTCTCCGAGCCAATCCAGAGAAACACAAAATCGTGTTTGGCCAATCATAGTAGACGATGCTGACTTTTCCCATAAATCAATGCGAATGGATTCCATTTATATTCAGCCTCCACGGTGCTTTTGGTCTCCTTCGCCTCTCGGATCCTACAGAAAGGTAATAATTGTAGTTTGTATTGTATAAGCTGAGTTTGTATTTTGTAAAGCACATTCTTTCATTTATGTGCAAATGTTTGTTTGCCGTCTTCCTTGATTAGCTGTGTCTGTTAAACGTGTCAATCTTGCGTAAGGATCTAGTTGGTCGTTTTGCGCTCGCTAGCGACAAGGCAAAACTCCACCACGTGTGTGTCACATGTCGAGAACAAGTATTAGTCTCCATTATCAAGCTATCACAATTGTCTTCTAATAGTAAACAAGTTAATACGTAAACTAGTGCACGGTTTAATTTAGAAAGCCTAATTAACTACAACGCAGGAAAGTAGCCCGGAATGCTAAGCCTCCCATGCTCACATGATGAATTAAGTGTTGGTAGGGACATCTGAGTTACATTGAGGAAACGCCAACCGTTCTGACTGTATGGGATCAAATGTTATTGATTTGTATCAATGTTACTGCGCTTTGATAGTTAACTGCCATTGTCTCACACATAATATATCATAGCAATTGTCGCATGCAAATTAAATTATTCAAAAACATTGGGAATCTCACTGAAAAAGAATGTTTTTACTGATAGTGTAGTTTAATATACTTAAACTGTTCCTGTCTCCCTGAGCCCAAATGTAATGTCTTCTCTGCAGATGGCTTACACGGTGGGAGTGCAATTATCAGAGCCTGTTATGGTAAGCTACTTTGTGCACTCAACCAACATGTGCCTACTATATAATCTGATACAATGATGACTGCATAGTTCAGCAGATAAATGATGACGAGTACTAAGCATTGTCTTTCGCTCCTATCTGATGTGTTGGCTTGATTAGGTCTTTGACCCCTCACTGCACAGGGAAGTGTCTTAACTTTGTATTTTTTTCCCCAGAAGGCAATGGAAATGACACACTGGACAAGGTTAAAATGGTTTGCTTAAGGTAACATATTTGACACTGACTGTATTGTTCAGCTGATTCTCCATGACACTGTATTTTGCACCTGTCTGATGTAGCCTTTAAACTGACTAGTCATTTGTTGCTATACAACTTTAACAGTTTCTCTTTACAGGACTCTTTCAAGTGTCCTGATGACTAAATGGTATGACAGGATCCTAGTGGCTGAATGAGGTAAGCTACAAAGATACCATATGAACTGACAGTAAAAGGCAGTGCAATCTGAAAGGATGACATTGAATCAGGTCTCTGATCTTGTTGAGGACATATTGTTACACACTCTGATCATGATTGTGGTGCTTGCGTTTTGTGGTGTTGGAAACATTGAGCATTTTTATTAAACATAGTTTATTTTCAGCCCCAGTAGATGCAGAACAATGATCTGGTGTGGCTAGAAGCATGACGCAATCTGAAAAGATACCATTGAATCAGGTCTGATATTGTTGAAGAGATAATATTGTTACACTGATCTGAGATTGTGGCCCTTGCCCATCGCTTTCTTGGTAGCCGTGGTCATTTTGATGATCCATATTTAATTTATTTGCAGAAGCGGTGGAAACAGGCATGATGGCTTGGAAGTTGTGGCGCTGTCCCTGTCAGGTTGGTATACATGCCTTTTGTGTAATACACAACAGGTTTCAGTGACGCTTATGTCTGAACTTAATTTATGTTGACTTGATCATAACTGAGTAACCTGGACATGCATTGTATCATTACTGCCCCCTGATTAACTTAACTCTTCTCTAGGTGACTGGATGGTGAATTCACAACTAACTTGTAGTGTGGCTGTTCAGAACAAGGTAAGCATGATGCCGTTGCCCTTTATTTGCTTTATGCACCTGTGATGATGAGATTCTGCCAAATGATTACTCTGATTATACCCCTACCGTTCCATTTATATCTGAGGTTGTACACAACAGTTGCTGAGTTTGTGGTTGTGCCTACATTTCGCTTAGTCGTTTTTCCTTTTCTCCTCAGAAATGGGAGGGCTATCGGAAGGTGCTGAAACACTACCATGGGAGGCAGCAGTCTGTTGGTTTTTCTCCTGATTGTTTTGGATGCATATGTGCACTAATTGTCGTCTCTGTTAGAATGTTTCACCTGTGCTGGTGTTTAGGACCTGCTGGCCCAGTGACTCTTGGGAGAGCTACACTTCACATTAGCTGGTGCGACTTACTGCTCTTCCACTTTTAGGTACCCAATCAAAACCAGAAACTGGTGTTTTGGTCCTTATTTTAACTGTCAATTTGTGGATTTTTAATTAGTATTTTCTTAGGCAAATCTAGTGGACCTCTATTGCAGACTAGTGATTTTAATCTAGTAAGACCTTAAATGTTTTGGTTACAATTGTCAATAAAATAAATGAATGAATGAATGCATGTCTAACATGTCAATGTTGGAAATTAATTGATGGCAAATCGGGGTGTTTTCCATATGGATTAATTTGGATGTTCAGTGAATTCTTTGCTTAGTAAACCATTGCATTTGGCGGTCAATTAATGTGAATAAACATTTACGTTATTCTTACTTTACATCTCCCTTTACTTTGTTACAGAGCTTTTTTTTTTATATGTACAAACATTGGTCAGTGATGTGGCTTCTGCAAGGACATGAACTGAATGTTGCTAGTCGACGTTAGCTAATCAAGTAACTCTAGCCCAGACCTTAGTTGCGTTGCAGCTTCCGGTTTCATTTCCAAAATAAAATTAGTCGTTTTAGAACTGCATTCAATAGCGACGTTATATCAGTAGATGGCAACGTATAGGCTTGGGCCTTCAGTAAATGACTTGTGCGAATGATGGACACAGAGCCTTGTCTAGAATAACTACCTGAGCTGCAAAATAGAAAGTAAATATAATTTAGGGTAGGCATTTTACGATATCTAAATATGCCATGCTGTTGTGTTAATGGCCATATCATTGCGTTTGTATAGCCGTGTGGGGCTACTGTGGTGATCATGTAACCGAATCACTTTTATTTTAAGTATTTGGGCGCACAGACTGAAGGCCTTATTAGGCATTTAGACTGGAATTCACTAATACAATGTAGGCTTGTTATAGCCATTTGCATTGCACAGCCCCATCACGCAAGAATTGAGACAAAACAAAATATTGATGTCTTGGCTAAAACCGGTCCTGAGCGAAATTGCCAAGGGGTCTCAAATGGTCAAGAATATCTATAGCCTATTCTTATTGCCAGATCAGTTTTCCCTATCAGCCACTGCACGTGCTTTAACTATTTTGGCCTCTTAAGGGAAGCCCTATAAGCTATAAAAACAGTTATAAAATTATTCAGCGAGACACCAGTACCCAAAATTATGGCAGCAAGTTGAAGGCTTTTTTTTGGGGGGGATAGGTCTAAATTACAAATGTCATTGTTAAAGAACTTTGTAGAATTTAGATCATTTTGAATACACACATGGATCTCAAACAAATGGATAAGACTGTTCCATTCTCTTTTTAATTTAGTTCCTGTTGCAACTCAGACAAATTACTGACTGAACTGAAGGATGAATTAAATGTTGGAATGGCAGGTTGCACGCATCATGCCTACATTAGGGTATTATGGCTGCATGCCTCCAGAAGGGCATCTTCTGAGGCTGAGGAGTGCTTTTCTGAAGGCGCATGGAGATCAAGCTCTTCCAACTGGGCAGCAGTGTCGTGATGGAGGGAATAGCTTATACGGATAATACCTAAAACCACTGCAACAGAGTTATTGTGAAGTGTGGGAATAAGCTTATGCCAGATTTAGCGAATGCCAAGAGTGTGCAAAGCTGTCAAGGCAAAGGGTGGCTACTTTGAAGAATCTAAAATATATTTAGATGTAACACTTTTTTTTGGTTACTACACGATTCCATGTGTTATTTCATAGTTTTGATGTCTTCACTATTATTCTAAAATGTAGAAAATAGTAAAAAATAAAGACCCTTGAATGAATAGGTGTGTCAACTTTTGACTGGTACTGTATGAAATGAGTAAAACCGTATGTACACATGACTAAAGTGACCATTGCATTATTGTGACCAGTGATTCCATGTCTATGTACATAGAGCAGCAGCCTCTAAGGTGCAGGGTTGAGTAACCGGGTGGTAGCCAGATAGTGACCTTGACCAAGTTCAGGGCAGGGTACTGGGTGGAGGCCGGCTAGTGATGGCTATTTAACAGTCTGATGGCCTTGACATAGAGCTGTTTTTCAGTCTCGGTCCCAGCTTTGATGTACCTGTACAGCTAGTGCTATCTAGACTTGCACTGGCAAGCAAATCCATTACATTAGCTACCTAAATGTGAAGTAAACTCAACTAAGGCGTAATATAGAATGGAGACTTTTAACTTGAAAACGTGCAGGTGACCTCTTTCCGGTTTCCCTTTTTTATACTGTGTTATGTTGGTTCGCGTAGCACTCCTCACAGGCCGTTTGGTGTACGTTTTTTTTGTTTGTTGGTGAGATGAAACTGCCAAAACTCTGAAAGGTATTATTGTACATCATAATTGCAACACAATATTTGTTCTAGCCTGAAATGTTAGCCCGTAATCGTAACATGGTGTTTGTATGTTCACGGATTAAATGTAACGTTTACGTTTCATGTTTCACGCATTTTCTTTTCTTACTATCCTAACAATTTACGTATGGATTTTCTAACGATACGTACGTTCAATCTTTTGGCAGATATCTCGTTACATAGTATGACAGGTTTGAATGGACAGATGATCGAAGATCGCCGCCATTGAGGACCCCTCTCTGATAATCGCAAATTTACGGCGTCACTGATGTTCCTCTACCCACTATTGCCCATATTTTGGGCTGTTTCTGCAAAGGCAGATTTATTTCAATTTGACAGTATTTCAAATGTATCTACGTATTATTTCAATTATATTTATTGTAATATATGGGAAGGGGAGTGTCAACCGACTCAAGATGATGCGACTCAGCAAGGTATGGTGTTTTTTATTTCCTGAAAATTTAAATTGTTTTATTATTCTGCAGAAATATCCAAATTGAGACCGTTTTCTCAACAGTCTTGGTGTAGTCAGATCGATTATGTCGGATCTATAACCAAAGAAACAGACGCACTGGAGCTTGTAGTTGTCCATAGGAACAATTTGTAAGGCATACATTCGTTTTTACACAGGACAAACTTATTTATATTACAATGTAGAAACTGTAAGCAACGATGATTAGCCAGTTTATTCAAACATAGAGGGAATATCTTATTTCATTTATGAACCAGTGATGATATGAAAAAGTGTTAGTCTTTTCCTTGCAAACTTGCCTTGAGATTAAATTATAGTGTTGTTTAATTGATTGCAACAGCTATGTCTTTAATACTGCATTAGATATTTACACTGTACATTTGTGTGCCCATTTCAGTACCTACTAGGGACCTGTGGGCAGCATTCCCTCAAGACTATATCAGTTTGCTGTCACGGTGGTATTGCAGCCTGGGACAGTGCTGTGAATCAGGGGATTGTCGGATAACAAATAATATTACAGGTATGATGAAGTCATATTGAGGCAATATTTATGTGCATGTATGTTCCACCAGCTATGTCATTTTTGTGCAGTCCTCATTTTGATGTTCTGTTTCAGGTCTGGCTAGTGATCTACAGCTAAAGCTTCATGGGCAGCACCTTGCCCAATCAGTGGTTCTGAAGGCTGTGCAAGGCTTCATCAGTAACCCTGAATCCAATAAGCCATTGACCCTCTCCTTCCATGGCTGCTCTGGCACGGGCAAGAACTTTGTGACCCGGATTGTAGCTGACAACTTGTACCGGGAAGGGGTGAAGAGCGAGTGTGTGCGTCTGTTCATCGCCCCATTCCACTTCCCCCATGCCAGACTGGTGGACACGTACAAGGTGAGCCTAGCTCTTGGTACAGACACGACTCCTCTCTGCCAGGAACATGTGCAGAACATAACTATGTTGGGTATATGGGATTATATAATACATATTTTGAGACCCTGTTTTATTGCCATGCATTAAGGACTAGCTAAATGTCTAGTTTAAAAAGAAAATGTAAATGTTGACATTTTCCAGGTCACCTCCTAAATAAAAGTTATTGGAACTCACACCAGCTAGGCAACCTTCCAACCAATTGCAAATTCAATGTTAAATAGCATAATACATACTATCACTATTTCAAAATGATAGTGAAGCAATTGATTAAATTACACAAATCGATCTCGACCAAAGCAGGAATTAAACAAATATACAGTATTATTTCCAAACTCAACAAATTATCACAAAGAGTGCCATTTTTAGTGGATAAAAACATGTAGAATAATACATGGAATGCATGTGCATATTTTAACCTGTCTTAAATGAGAGAGTGAGAGGGGATATTTTTGTGCTCACCATAGCTCTCTCTTTCCAGGGCCAGCTCAAAGAAGCTATCCGGGACATGGTGCTGCGTTGCCCACAGACACTTTTCATCTTTGATGAAGCTGAGAAACTGCACCCGGGCCTTATAGATGCCATCAAGCCCTATATGGACCATTATGACAATGTGGATGGGGTCAGCTATAGGAGGGCTGTCTTCTTATTCCTCAGGTTAGCCATATATACCCTTTCAATCATTGCAATGTCTCTTCCACTAACTAATGTAAGGAAACTCAACTGTCTTAGTCATGGGTAAATGTCTCAGAGATTTTTCCTTCACCAAGATATGTTGTAATAATTATTTGTAGTAATATTGGTGGGACCACCATCAACGATGTGGCCTTGGACTTCTGGCACTCAGGGCAGAACAGAGAGGACATTGGGATGGAGGACTTGGAACACCGGCTACGTGCTGAAGCTATGGATTCTCAAGGTACCAACAGTGGCTTTACAATCATTCACACTCATTCTCAGCATTTACATATAGTGCATTCGGAAAGTATTCAGACCCCTTGACTTTTTCTACATTTTGTTACATTACAGCCTTATTCTAAAATTGATTAAATTGTTTTTTTTCCCCCTCATCAATCTATACACACTACCCCATAATGACAAAGCAAAAACCATTTCCTCAGTACTTTGTTGAAGGATTACAGCCTCGAGTCTTCTTGGGTATGACGCTACAAGCTTGGCACACCTGTATTTGGGGAGTTTCTCCCATTCTTCTCTGCAGATCCTCTCAAGCTCTGTCAGGTTGGATGGGGAGCATTGCTGCACAGCTATTTTCAGGTCTCTCCAGAGATGTTCGATCTGGTTCAAGTCCGGGCTCTGGCTGGGCCACTCAAGGACATTCAGAGACTTGTCCCAAATCCACTCCTGCGTTGTCTTGGCTGTGTGCTTAGGGTCGTTGTGCTGTTGGAAGGTGAACCTTCGCTCTCAAGCAGGTTTTCATTAAGGATCTCTAAGTACTTTGCTCCATTCATCTTTCCCTCAATCCCCACTAGTCTCCCAGTCCCTGCCACTGAAAAACATCCCAGTCCAAACATCGCTTTGTCATTCTGGGGTATTGTGTGTAGATTGATGAGGGTAAAAAATTATTTAATCAATTTTAGAATAAGGCTGTAATGTAACTGGAAAAAGACAAGGGGTCTTAACACTTTCCGAATGCACTGTAAATACATTTTCACAGAGCAAGATTGAAGATGCCTTTCTCATGAACACTACTACACTGTTAACACAACAACAAATAGTTTGCAAAAAGACAGAATACAGATTAGAAACAGATTAAAACATTTTGAATTCCATAACATTTCAGTGCAACATGTTTCGATGTAAATACCTTTCTGGAATTGTGGATTAACCCATTTGTCTGCTTTACAGGAGGCTTTGCACAGAGTGAACTGATGTCAGGTCACCTTATTGACTTCTTTGTGCCCTTCCTACCTCTGGAGTACCGTCATGTCAAGCGCTGTGCCCGTGATGCCTATGCAGCGCGGGGTCTGGAGCCAGACGAGGGAACGCTGGACGAAGTGGCAAAGGCCATGCTATATATACCCAAGGAGGAGAGGCTATTCTCTGCCCAAGGCTGCAAATCAATACCACAGAGGATCAATTTCTTCCTACCCTAAACAGACTAATGCAATCCAGAAAACACATGAACAGGGTTTTAGCAAAAAGGAAAAAGTATGTCCTGCCGACATATTGAACATTCTTGCAATGGCACATATCGATCAGAAATGTGGTATGCCCACTCCTCACCCTACACTACCAAGAAAGGAAGCATAGGGCATCTTGCTATAGTAACATTCAATCTGATAACAAAATAAGGGATTTTAGCATGCATTATTCAACTTCCTCATTAGGCAATTTTTATACACTGATTTTAGGTCAAGCTCAGGTCAACTCGAGTATTAGTATTTGCATGTACACTACCAGTCAAAAGTTTGGACACACCTACTCATTGAATGGTTTTTCTTTATTTTTACTATTTTTTACATTGTAGAATAATAGTGAAGACATCAAAACTATGCCTTGAGAGAATGCCAAGAGTGTGCAAAGCTGGCATCAAGGCAAAGGGTGGCTATTTGAAGAATCTCAAATATAAAATATATTTTGATTTGTTTAACACTTTTTTGGTTACTGATTCCGTATTTGTTATTTCATAGTTTTGATGTCTTCACTATTATTCTACAATGTAGAAAATTAGTAAAAAATAAAGAAAAACCCTGGAATGAGTAGGTGTCCCAACTTTTGACTGGTACTGTATATCTTTTTATTTTGTTGGCACTGATGATATATTACAACTATCTGCTTAAGCAGTGGCAGGCACTTTCAGTGCAAAGGAGGAAATACTGTATATTACAGTAAACCTAGACTAAATATAATGTAACTTTCTAAAGGCATTTTAATGATTAATATATAATTGTATATAGATTACTTGTTTTACAGGTGGATTAAATATTCACAGTTTAACAGTGTGACATCACTTTAAATTCATTTCAGGTTTGAAGAAAGTAGGCTTGATGTGCAATAATACAGGCAACCGCTTATATTGTTGAAATGGTTACTGAACTACAGTGCATTCGGAAAGTATTCAGACCCCTTGACTTTTTCCACATTGTTACGTTACAGCCTTATTCTAAAATTGATTAAATTGCTTTTTTTCCCTCATCAATCTACACACAATACCCCATAATGATAAAGCAAAAAACTTTTATTTCTGCAGATCCTCTCAAGCTCTTTCAGGTTGGATGGGGAGCATCGCTGCACAGCTATTTTCAGGTCTCTCCAGAGATGTTCGATCTGGTTCAAGTCCGGGCTCAGGCTGTGCCACTCAAGGACATTCAGAGACTTGTCCCGAAGCCACTCCTGCATTGTCTTGGCTGTGTGCTTAGGGTCATTGTCCTGTTGGAAGGTGAACCTTCACCCCAGTCTGAGGTCCTGAGTGCTCTGAAGCAGGTTTTTATCAAGGATCTCTCTGTTCTTTGCTCCGTTCATCTTTCTGTCGATCCTGACTAGTCTCCCAGTCCCTGCTGCTGAAAAACATCCCCACAGCATGATGCTGCCACCACCATGCTTCACCGTAGGGATGGTGCCAGGTTTCCTCCAGACGTGACGCTTCGCATTCAGGCCAAAGAGTTCCATCTTGGTTTCATCAGACCAGAGAATCTTGTTTCTCATGGTATGAGAGTCCTTTAGATGCCTTTTGGCAAATTCCAAGCGGGCTGTCATGTGCCTTTTACTGAGGAGTGGCTTCCGTCTGGCCACGCTACCATAAAGGCCTGATTGGTGGAGAGCTGTAGAGATGGTTGTTCTTCTGGAAGGTTCTCCCATCTCAATAGAGGAACTCTGGAGCTCTGTCAGAGTGACCATCGGGTTCTTGGTCTCCTCCCTGACCAAGGCCCTTCTCCCCCGATTGCTCAGTTTGGCCGGGCAGTCAGCTCTAGGAAGAGTCTTGGTGGTTCCAAACTTCTTCCATTTAAGAATGATGGAGGCCACTGTGTTCTTGGGGACCTTCAGTGCTGCAGATATTTTTTGGTAACCTTCCCCAGATCGGTGCTTCGACACAATCCTGTCTCTGAGCTCAACGGACAATTCCTTCGACCTCATGGCTTGGTTTTTGCTCTGACATCCACTGACAACTGTGGGACCTTAAATAGACAGGTGTGTGCCTTTCCAAATCATGTCCAATCAATTTAATTTACCACAGGTGGACTCCAATCATGTTGTAGAAACATCTCCAGGATGATCAGCTGGAAACAGGATGCACCTGAGCTCAATTTCGAGTCTCATAGCAAAGGCTCTGAATACTTATGTAAATAAGATATTTATGTTTTTAATAAATGTGCAAACTTTTCTAAAAACCTGTTTTCGCTTTGTCATTATGGGTTGTTGTGTGTGTACAGTGGGGGGAAAAAAGTATTTAGTCAGCCACCAATTGTGCAAGTTCTCCCACTTAAAAAGATGAGAGAGGCCTGTAATTTTCATCATAGGTACTCATCAACTATAACAGACAAATTGAGGAGAAAAAAATCCAGAAAATCACATTGTAGGATTTTTAATGATTTTATTTGCAAATTATGGTGGAAAATAAGTATTTGGTCACCTACAAACAAGCAAGATTTCTGGCTCTCACAGACCTGTAACTTTTTCTTTAAGAGGCTCCTCTGTCCTCCACTCGTTACCTGTATTAATGGCACCTGTTTGAACTTGTTATCAGTATAAAAGACACCTGTCCACAACCTCAAACAGTCACTCTCCAAACTCCACTATGGCCAAAACCAAAGAGCTGTCAAAGGACACCAGAAACAAAATTGTAGACCTGCACCAGGCTGGGAAGACTGAATCTGCAATAGGTAAGCAGCTTGGTTTGAAGAAATCAACTGTGGGAGCAATTATTAGGAAATGGAAGACATAACAAGACCACTGATAATCTCCCTCGATCTGGGGCTCCACGCAAGATCTCACCCCGTGGGGTCAAAATGATCACAAGAACGGTGAGCAAAAATTCCAGAACCACACGGGGGGACCTAGTGAATGACCTGCAGAGAGCTGGGACCAAAGTAACAAAGCCTACCATCAGTAACACACTACGCTGCCAGGGACTCAAATCCTGCAGTGCCAGACGTGTCCCCCTGCTGAAGCCAGTACATGTCCAGGCCTGTCTGAATTTTGCTAGAGTGCATTTGGATGATCCAGAAGAGGATTGGGAGAATGTCATATGGTCAGATGAAACCAAAATAGAACTTTCTGGTAAAAACTCAACTCGTCGTGTTTGGAGGACAAAGAATGCTGAGTTGCATCCAAAGAACACCATACCTACTGTGAAGCATGGGGGTGGAAACATCATGCTTTGGGGCTGTTTTTCTGCAAAGGGACCAGGACGACTGATCCGTGTAAAGGAAAGAATGAATGGGCCCATGTATCGTGAGATTTTGAGTGAAAACCTCCTTCCATCAGCAAGGGCATTGAAGATGAAACGTGGCTGGGTCTTTCAGCATGACAATGATCCCAAACACACCGCTCGGGCAACGAAGGAGTGGCTTCGTAAGAAGCATTTCAAGGTCCTGGAGTGGCCTAGCCAGTCTCCAGATCTCAACCCCATAGAAAATCTTTGGAGGGAGTTGAAAGTCCGTGTTGCCCAGCGACAGCCCCAAAACATCACTGCTCTAGAGGAGATCTGCATGGAGGAATGGGCCAAAATACCAGCAACAGTGTGTGAAAACCTTGTGAAGACTTACAGAAAACGTTTGACCTGTGTCATTGCCAACAAAGGGTATATAACAAAGTATTGAGAAACTTTTGTTATTGACCAAATACTTATTTTCCACCATAATTTGCAAATAAAATCATAAAAAATCCTACAATATGATTTTCTGGATTTTCTTTCCTAATTTTGTCTGTCATAGTTGATGTGTACCCATTATGAAAATTACAGGCCTCTCTCATCTTTTTAAGTGGGAGAACTTGCACAATTGGTGGCTGACTAAATACTTTTTTCCCCCACTGTATGTATATTGATCAGGATTTTTATTTATTTAATCAATTTTAGAATGGAAAAAGGGAAGGGGTCTGAATACTTTCCGAATGCACTGTAAATAGTCTTGAGTATTCCACAAATATGAACTACATTTGTAAGACGTTAGTATAATATTTGTGTCCACTACATTTATTTTGATCTTGAATTATTGACTGTTTCATTTACTTGATTTAAGTTATGTTATTCCAACAATGCTTTGATGTGTTTTTTTTGTCCAGTGGAATGTGTTACTTGCACAATATAGCCCATAGTGTAACTTATAATTAGCAAGTACATTCATATCAGCAAGTTTTTATAAATGTTCCAATGTCTGTACATGTGCTGTGACTGTTTTTTCATCAATATAAAAATGTGTTAGCGTATTGACTGCACAGCTTTGGTTTTGTAAGAAAATGTGAAGTTGCATTATGAATAGGATATGACTTTTAATTTTGTGCCCTCCTCCATAATTTCTGCTATTTAATGACCCCTGTCCATATCATTGTGTGTGTGTAAAAAAAAAAAAAAAAATTGGTTAGTTGCCTAGTGTCACTCAGACCAGGCAAACAAAGTGGCTGCAAAAGACAGGGCAAGTGTTCTGTCCCAGATGGACTTGAAGTTACTTTAGACTGATAAAGCATCCTTGATTAATTTGAGTCGATTTACTGTTGAATCTAAAACCTGCATTCATAATCAATTGTGGGCTGATTATTTCACCTCCGTTGGTTCGCATCAGCATGCTTCAGTTCGGCTGGCACCTAGCCGAAATCTATGGAGGTAAAGTAGTGACTTAATTATACAAGCATGTAAAGTATGATTTGCACATGTAAAATATGAGTTGCACCTCTATACTGAGTTTTGTAGTTGCAAAAAATATTTGCAAACATTGAACTTCTTTTGTGTATAAATACAACAACACTTGTAAACATATAAGTTGATATGTGAATAAATTAAATAAGATTTGCAAGCATGCAACAAAATTTCAGAATGAATGCCATTAATTTACTAACCTTGCGACTGGTGAATCTTCTGTGAATCAAAACTACATTTGTCGAAGTTGAATCTGTGCACTCAGAGTTATGGCACAAATTGTGTGACTAACCTGTGCCAAAGGTTTTGCAGTTGTAAAAAAAAAAATCTACAAGCAAGCAGCACAGAAAAACATGAGCTTTGGTGGACATGGCTTTTCTTCCGAACAATCAGGTGCGTTTACGTTTTACAGGGTTCCGGTCTGGAAGCACGCTTTCTACTGTGCTAAATATGGATCAAATTTGTTACAGTTACTAGATAGCTAGCTAAATGATATTCACAGAATTTGAAAGCTACAACAAGGCGTTGGTTATTTAAAGTTATAAAGTTATTTATGCAGAAGTTTGATCTAGTGGATATATGGAGAGAGAAGTTTCCTCTTGAGAGATCCTATACCTGGTGTAACAAAACATGTACTAGACGTTCATGTATTGACTATTGGATGGTTTCAGAGGGCTTAAGAAAGGATGCTTCTGTTCATATTCTTGACACGCCTCTAACAGACCAAAGAGCTATTTGCATACAAGCTTCAATATTTCTCTGTAATGATAGTCAATGCAAAGCTTCATACTGGAAACGAAATAGCTCCATATTAAAACATTAAATAGTCAAATTTGATATCATAGGTTGCATTATACATTTTTGGAATGAAGTCCAGAGTGAAAGTCTCTATAGGACAAACTGCGAACTTCAAAAGTTTGAAATTGCTAAATATTTAAGAAAATATAGCCGTGATCATGCAAAGATTCGCTCTTCCAGAGACGACCTAATAGTCTTTCGGATACGGAAAAAGCTGAGTTAATTAAGCAACAAAATTAACTGGGTGAAATTTACAAGGTTAAGGCAGAGGAACAAGTTGCTTGAAGAACTGCTTATTTTTTCAGACTGGAGAAATGTCACTCTAAAAGTAACTATTCAACAGTTAAAGGTGAACGATATGATCTCTGATGATCCTAGGACAATTGCCAACTACTGTGCCAATTTTTACAGGAACTTACTGTACAGTATATACCTCTAGGTACTGTGAGGTGTATGCAGCTCTGTTCTTTGATTCTCTTGGAAATGTTATCTCTATTGATTCTTCTGATCAAGAATTATGTGATAATCCCATCTTCTTAGAGGAAATTATAGAGGCTATTGATCACCTTTAAATTAACAAATCCCCTGGGGTTGAGTGTATTACTGCAGAATTCTACAAAGTTTTTCTGAAGAATTGGCTCCCTTTCTATTGGAAGTGTACTCTGAAAGTATAGTCAATTAAGCACTCCCTCCCACTCTAACGCAAGGTTTAATTACTCTAACTCCTAAACCTAAAAAATACTTGTTACTCATTGATAATCGGCGTCCAATTTGCCTTTTAAATAACGATTATAAGCTAATGGCATGTGTCCTTGCTAAATGATTAAGGGCTGTTTTGGATGCCATTATAGATGAGTCCCAGTCAGGGTTTATGAGAAATAGACACATCTAGAATAATGTCAGACTGATATTAGATATCATAGATTACTCAGATTTGGTCTCTGATGAGAGTTTTATACTCTTTTGGGATTTTTATTAAGCCTTTGATACAGTAGAACAACTTTATTTTTCATGCCCTTAAAAAATGTGACTTTGGAGATTTATTTTGTCAAACTATTAAAGCTCTGTATACAAATGGTAATAGCTCTATCAAATTGAAAGCAGGTACCTCTCAAAGGTTTGAATTTATGCAGGGTATCAGACAAGGGTGTCCAATTTCACCTTATCTCTTTCTATTAGCCACACAGCTTCTTACTTCTCAAATTAAGACAAGTGTTTTAAAGGGTATTTCTATTGCAGACAGGAAGATCATTATTAGTCAGTTAGCGGATGACACCACCCTCTTCTTAAAGGATTCCTCTCAGATTCCAACTGCGCTTAATAGGATTCATTAATTCTCTAAAGCATCTGGTCTGTTGCCAGTTAAAACTGTGATATGCCCTCAATCTCTGACATCCCAGTTAATATAGGATACGGGATACAGTCACTTATCTGGGAATTATGATAACTAAGAAACAGAAAGCTAGATGTTTACTGAACTTTAACCCTATCATAGAGAAAACTCAAAAGAAACGTAATCACTGGGTACAAACAGATTTATCTCTGAAGGCTAGAATATTGCTCACAAAGGCTGAGGGTATTTCCAGGCTCACTTACGTTGCCTTATCATTACATGTCGAAAATAAGATAAGCAAGAACATAGATAAGATCCTTTTTTATTTTGTATGGAAGAACAGGACACATTATATCAAGAAATCTGTCATTATGAATACTTATGAAGAGGGTGGTCTCAATTTGAATAACACTTTCAAGATTAATTGGATTAAGCAATTCCTGCAGAATCCTACCTCTATATGGAATTTTAGCTCTCAGTATGTTTTTTCTCATTTAGGTGGCCTCAAATGTATCCTACTGTGTAATTACAATATTGAAAAAATCCAGACTAATTTATTTAATTTCCATAAACAATCCCTTTTAGCATGGGCTTTGATCTACAAGCACTATTTTTCTCCACACAGATATTTTATCTGGAACAATAGAGATATCTTATACAAAGGCAAGTCCTTGTTTTTTGAGAAAAAAAATCAAAAACAATTATATATTGGTGAGTCAACTGTTCAATGGTAAATGTATTTTATTTAATTATGCTATTGATAATTTCAAAGGAATTTGCTGTAGTTTTTGATGCAATCCCCTCTGGAGTTATTGTACTTTTTAAGGATGTGGCCAAATCTATCCCCTCTTCTTTACATTCTCTTGATCCAGCTGACTCAACAGTAGGCAATATATGTTTCTCTCCTTCTGTTTCGAACAACAATAGGAAAAAACGTGCCTTATTTCAATGTGATGTTGTTTCAGTCCTATATGTCATGTCTTTCTAGAATGGCCTTTTAAGAAATGTTAATTAGAAAAATGTTTGGTCTCTTTCTCAGAAGTCTCTTTTAACTAATAAGATTAAAGAAGTTTATTATAAATTAATCCACAAGTGCTAACCTACTAAACATTATCTTGATAAGTTGTAAAAAATACATTGATGTGTCTTGTACCTTCTGTAATGAACAACCGGAGACTGCTTTACATTTATTTTGGTATTGCTCTTATACCCGGAAGCTGTGGCAAGATATCTGTAGATTTGTTTTAGATCATATACATGCAAATTTTTCCCTTCTACTTGAAAATTGGATATTTGGTTTTTACAAAGTATTGTAAAGTAAATGTATATGCAAAGCCTTTCTTCTTAAGTAACCTCATTGTTATTTTAGTTGAATTCCATATTCATGAATGTAAATTTTTGAGTGAAAAACCTCTGTTTATTATTTTTGAAAATGAAATTGAACAATATATAAACACCATTTATTCTTTTCATAACAAAAAAGCAATCAAAACGTTGAATGTTTGTACGTTTTACAAGGTCTTTATATAATGTATTGTCTTTATTCCCCTGACTGTTGTTTGTAATGTTTGAATGCTCTGTTGTATCCTCTGTTTGTTTTTCTATAGTGTATATTTTTAATTGCTTTACAAAAAAACAAAAATCTACTTCTAGAATGACAGAAGGTGCACTTGATTTATCTCATCTGGCGCGCCGGGTGTGTGGAGTGTTTTTTTTACCCATTCTACTCTATTCGTGCAAACTCCGCTCTCTCATCCGGGGCGCCGTACGAGAGATAAAGATCGCCTACTCATTCCGCTACTGAGGGGCGTGTGTGAAGCAAACGCGTGGTCAGCTGGCATTGGCTGAAACGATTTGTCCTATGCTTTTTTCAATTAATTTGATTGGTTAAAAGTTGTTACGCTCCCTCCTCGAGCTGCTATCCAATGAAAAACATACATCTGTTCGGAAGCGAGAGGAGACCATCAGCAGCATTTAGGGCAGTACAGCATTTGAGGTCAGGATTTTAACGAATATAGCACATAACTAGCCATAGCTAGTTGTACTGCTTGATTCAGTGTATATAGAATTAATAGTATTTATTTACAAATAGCTAATTTACTTTTCTATTTTAGAGGGTGTCTATTTAGCAAGCTGAAATGACAACCCTGTCGATGCTTTTGATGGCCATATCGGTCGCATCAATATTTGCTGAGTCCTCCATTTATTTCCGAGAACAATTTGAAGATGGGGGTAAGTTATGAATACTGTTAAATAGCCTTCCAGACTGTTAAATAGCCATCACTATCACTTTAGAGGCTGCTGCTGCCTATTGAAATCACTGGCCACTTTAAGAAATGGAACACTAGTCACTTTAATAATGTTTACATATCTTGCACTACTCATCTCATATGTATATACTGTATTCTATAATATTCTACTGTATCTTAGTCCATGCCGCTCTGTCATTGCTTGTCCATAAATGTGTATATATTTTTAAATTCCATTCCTTACTAGATTTGTGTGTATTAGGTATATGTTGTGAAATTGTTAGATATTACTGCACTGTCGGAGCTAGAAGCACAAGCATTTCACTACATCCGCAATAACATCTGCTGAACACGTGTATGTGACTAATACAATTTGATTTGATTTGAATATGTTGGATGAGGGTCGCAGAGACATAATTTAATAGCCTGCTCACTTCATGCAATATCAGCTTGACATGCTCAAAATGTCATTCACATTTTAGATTACATGTTCTGATTAGTGATTACTCATCCAAAACACCATCAATGGGTTGCATGCACTGCCTCAAAATCATTTCCCCAGATCAACCACACAGGTACTTAGCCCTTGCCAAGTGCCTCTGCCCCCATTGCTCAGGTGACTTAAACCTGATTTTGTATGAACATTTCGCAGATGCCTGGAAAAGCCGATGGGTAGAATCCAAACACAAGTCAGACTATGGAAAGTTTGTTCTCACTGCTGGGAAATTCTATGGAGATGTAGAGAAAGACAAAGGTGAGAAGAGATCAAAGATGCCTCTGTCATTTGTCCATTTAGCATCCAGCAATATAATCTAGTGCATCTAGCAGTTTCTCAATAGGTTGACACTTGATATGAGTTGCCCTTGGGTTGACCTGAGTATTTCTTGTACGTTTTAACCATTTCAGGCCTTCAAACCAGCCAGGATGCTCGCTTTTACTCTGCATCCTCCCGCTTTGAGTCTGTCAGCAACAAAGACCAGCCACTGGTAATCCAGTTTACTGTGAAACATGAACAGAACATTGACTGTGGTGGAGGCTATATCAAGCTTTTCCCAGCTGATCTCAACCAGGAGGAAATGCATGGAGATTCCACATACAACATCATGTTTGGTGAGTATCTACATTATCCTATTTGTAACTGAAAACATTGGAGAGTAGCATACATATGTTATGGTGGGATGGACCACTTGTCACATTCCATTCTATTTTGAGAGTCCTCTAGGTATTATTCCCAGTGTTGGACTCACTGTCTCTGTCTACTTTACACCACATACTATTGGCTGTGTGAAGTTACATTCCTGTGGTTGTGTTTTGTCTGTCTTAGGTCCTGACATCTGTGGTCCAGGTACTAAGAAAGTTCATGTGATCTTCAACTACAGAGGCAAGAATCACTTGATCAACAAAGACATAAGATGCAAGGTGAGAAGCACTTTTGTACTTAAGCAATTCTGCTATATTTTCTGGTCAATGCTAACAGTTGTATTTGTCATCTATGAGCTTCACCATCTGTGTTATCTATAGTGAAAATTTTTGCTGTCCCACCTTTTTCTCAGTAATATGTTTTAATAGTATTGGACTTAAAGAAGATAAATTATTACTTTGTGTTTAAATGAATGCAGTAACTTGTTTTGTGTGTTCCCTAGGACGACGAATATACCCACCTGTACACACTGATAGTCAATCCGGATAACACCTACGAGGTGAAGCTCGACAACAAGAAAGTGGAGTCTGGAAGCCTAGAGGAGGACTGGGACTTCCTTCCCCCCAAGAAGATCAAGGACCCTGATGCTGAGAAGCCAGATGACTGGGATGAGAAGGAGAACATTGATGATCCTGAAGACATTAAACCAGAGGTATATTTAGAAGACACTCTAAAGAATGCATCAGAACACAATTTAGTTTTCTGTAGAAAATGCAGGTGGCTCCGTGCAAAGGATATTATTAAGCTGCTGTTTCCTTTAGGACTGGGATGTGGCTGAGAACATCCCTGACCCTGATGCCAAGAAGCCTGATGACTGGGACGATGAGATGGATGGTGAATGGGAGCCTCCCATGGTCACGAACCCTGACTATAAGGTAGGCCTCCATGGTCGTTTGTACTCATGGCCACAAGGATTAGGTGTAAATGTACTACACTAGGCGAGATGTGCTCTTGCCATTTTGACTAAATTGTTTCTATTTACTTGGATACATAGTGGGAAAAAATGTGTTTGCATTGGGAACTAACCACTTTCTGACCTTGTTGTTCCCAGGGGGAGTGGAAGCCCAAACAGATAGACAATCCTGCCTACAAGGGGAAATGGGTGCACCCTGAAATTGACAACCCTGACTACACTGCTGACCCTGAAATCTACCAATATGCCAGCATAGGGGTGATTGGATTAGATTTGTGGCAGGTAGAGTGACTGACTCTGATCCTTGATTAATGTTCGATGCTGTGTAATGGTTAACTTTTACTATTCTTTTGACTGTTTTGAGAATGAAAAGTGAATGTTTCTTTCCATTATTTAAATCTTAATCAATGACCTTTTCATTATTTTACAGGTGAAGTCAGGCACTATTTTTGACAATTTCCTCATCACCAATGACCCAAAGCTTGCAGAAGAAGTGGGAAACGAGACATGGGGTGCAACAAAGGTTAGTCGATGGTCTCTTTTTAGTGATTTACCACCAAAACTTTACCAGTTATGTTTAGATTGAGTTGCCATATAGATGCCCTCTCTAAAAGGTGATGTGTGCAGTGTCTCCTACCCTGTCAATAACTGGGCTTGTTTTCGGTCTACACAGGACCCTGAAAAGAAGATGAAGGACAGTCAGGAAGAGGAGGAGAGAAAGAAACGTGAGGCAGAAGAGACAAATAAAAAGGAGGCAAAGGAGGATGAAGATGAAGATGAAGAGGACGAGGAGAGAGAAGAGGAAGAAACAGACTCTAAACACAAAGATGAGTTATAAACTCAAACAGGAACTTCTGAAAAGGAACCGTGTCTACTATGAGCCATTGGAGCAAGGCTGAAGACTGGACTTTGTTTTGTTTACATGACAACTGAATGGGCAAAAACTAAGGACCGCAATTATTTCTTATGTTTCCATGTCCTATTGATAAACTATGGGAGTTCAGATTTGTCAAGGTTGGAGATTTATCTTTAGATTTGAGACAAGCATTTTTTAGCAGTGACATTATACCAGTAATTGTTTTTGAAAGTGAAGTTTCAGAATGTAATCTCATCTCTGAAAACAATGTTCTACTGCTAACCACATTGTTTCTTAACATTTCCTGACAATGTTTACCTCAAAATGCGTTTTGTTTGTCTGATTAATCTGACACATTTTTGTTGTCTGTGCTACCCGATGTCTGGTAGGTGCTTGTACCCCAAACATGTATATGGCAGGATGGAATATATCCCACCCCTTTTTGTGTTTTGGACATGGTGTGAAATTCTAATGCTTTTTCTTTTCTGCAGATCATTTTCAGTACTTATGGTGTGCTTGACTTGGGTCACTGTGTACTGGGTAGGCAGAGTTTTCACAAACTACTCAAGCAAACTCAAGCTACCTTAAATCAAATGCACCTTTTTTCTAAATTGAAAATAACAAAGATAATCAGACTGCATACATACAGCTGTTAAGATATTCTTAAACACTAAGAAGGAGGGACTGATGGATGTCCATTTATATGGTCATCTTGGGGGCAATGTCATTATGTTGAGTGTTTATTTTGTTTTTGTTTTTCTGGGGGGTTTTCTCTGGTTTTTAATGCAAATGTTTCTGCACTGCTGTACCCTCAATACTTTTCCAATGCTGATTGGAAGTTTACTCTTTTGTGAAACATTTTATAGTATGTATGGGGAGGATGATTTTCATTTTATTGTGGAAGAAAGAAGTTCTGATACAGATTACTGTCCAATAATGAAACATAAAGGAAGTTACTCAATTATTGTTGGTTTCGCCTCATTCTTATTTATTGTAATGAAACAGGCAGGGAGCAACCTTCTAGCCCGAAGACCAGCGCGCCATCGACTGTGTCCCAAAACTATGCTCAGGCTGCAGAGTCGATATCCGCGCTTATAAACCCATGGTCGTTACACAACTCCCTCCTTCCAAAGTGCGCGTCCTCGCGCTAGCCTACAGCTCAACGTCTTACAGGAACGCGCTCACCGGCCAAGCACACGCACGTTCGTGGATGCAAGGTCTGATCACTTCTGACACCAAAATAATGAAACAGGCAGTGAGCAGGTCTCGAACCCCCAACCTTCTAGGGCGAAGTCCATCGCGGCATCGACTGTGCCCCAAAAGCATGCTCCCGTGGCAGAGTCGATATCCGCGCTTATAAACCCAGGGTCGTTACAATTTTCTATAACGCTCCCCGTGTGTGTTGCTTAATTTGAGCAGGGTAACTGATAATGTGAGATCATCTGGGCAATTTGACCCTACCGGTGGATAATTTTGCAGCGTTGTAGCCAGCCATTCATTACACTGGCATAAATTCGTTCACATTCACATCAGCGCACTACTGCGGGCGCCGCACCATCTGACGTAGCTGAGTGAACGACCCATTCCAGTACAAAAACTCCAGTGCCACGTTTTAAAGCTTCATCTAATATATCGCAACGCAGAATGAAGTAGTGGGAACAGAAACACTATGGCTGCCAGTCTCTCCCTGACTCAGGTAAGTCTTTTATTTCAAAACGAATGGTGATTAGTGTGTAGGTGCCTTGTCCTTATTGGGCTAATTCATTGAAGGACTGTAAGTGGATTTGGACATATTAAAACTGGTGTGCCCCGCGGTCTCTTGAATTATTTGGAAGTTCTCCTTAAGCTATGACTGGGTAAAGTTTTTGCCTAACCTCTTTGGGGACTGCGTAAGGGCGTTGCTAGCTAGGCTAACATTAGCTGCCTGTTGTGTCAATTTTGGAATGGTAGGATAGCTACAGTAGCTAGCTATAACTTTTGCGTAGTTTGTTTCTTTTGATTGTATTCACTGTTCACTACATTACCTAGCTAACTTTGCATCTTGAAATAAAGGTGCTCTCAATAAGAAAACGTTCCTTTTGCATTTACTCGTGTGTTGTTCGAATGTCAACATTTATTTGCGATAGTAACGTTAACGTTAGCTAGCGAACTGTTTGCACTCATGCTGTGTGAGCCAGTTAGCTTAGCAAAGCTAGCTACCAAAATAGTTGGCTTGGTAACGTTAACTAGCTGCAATCCACTTTACTCGCTGGGTAAACTAATGTTATTATTGTAACGTATTAGGTAGGGGATATAAAGTCAGCTGTCCTAAATGACAGTTGTATTAATTCATTAAACTGCCAATACAAACTAACTTTAACTGGTAACGTTAGCTTGCTGTCATCATCAGCTAGTTAGCGAGAAGAGGAAGTAGCCGCATGTTGTCCTATATGCCAATGGCCAACTATGTTGCAGACGACCGCTATGCTTTATTTATCACATTGATATTTAGCATTGGTTTTCTGGCTAATATTAAGTTGTGATAGTGGACATTATTCGCCAGTGTTCTACTGGCTAAGCTAGCTAGTAAGTTTAGCCAACATCCTGACTATACTCAAGGTGATATTGTTATTCTCAAAGCTACTATAACGTAGGTAACTACATATTTTGATTGAATAATGACTGCATTAGCTATATGTCACTAACTAGCTAGCTAAGTTAGTATGCACTGATTCACATCTTTGTCTTACGTTATGGGATATTACCATTCCTCAAAGCAGTGACATGTTTTTTTTACCTAGGCTGAGCTATACCTAGGCAAAAGACTGGGGTTGGTTACTACAGTTGGTGCAATTTCTTGGCAGCTGTGCTGTGTGGGAATAAGGGATTGGACAAGAAAATACTCCAAACAACAGCACAGTATAGCTAGTATCTGCTGCAGTTTTGTGAAGAGAATGATTGTGAGTGTTCACTGCTGTGCAATTAGTCACACAAAGACTCCGTGTTTAGGCAGCCAACAGTTCCAGGCACACAATTGTTTCCAATAGAAAATGGCGGTGGGGGGGCTGGGAAATATATAGTGAATAATGGTCAGATTATGAATTGACTATTGAAATAGCATGCAATGTCACTATAAGCATTTCAATGAGTAAGCTAGATCTAGATGTTTTATATAGCGTTTCGGAATCGTCTGACTCGTCTATAATATTGCAAGGTGGCAGTTTGTAGAAATGTTACATTTATTAGTCAGCTGTTCCTTGAAAATGTTGTTGTAAAAGTGCAACAGAGAAGAGCACAGCCAATATTGAGTCTGTTCACAGAGAAAGCTCTTACTGGTAGAAGACCCCCATGCACCATCCCATCTCATGGTTTTCTTTATTAGGAGACATTTGTATCATAACAGAAAACAAGATGGGATAGTGCTCTTCTATTTCATATGATCATTGGCAGATGACTGTCTTCTCATGATCTGATTTCATACGTAGGCTAGACCCTATTTGTTTGATTCATTGTGTAAAATATGTGCTAGTGCAGGCTACTTGTTCAAAAGGTTGGTTGACTCATGTTACTGAGGAATGTGATTATCATTAGGATTTCATTTGGTGGTACGATTGATTAAAAAAAATCTATGATGTTTATATGTAATTGTAATGTATGTGTGTTTACGTCTATAATTTGTTTGTCTATGTTTGTAAGTTGTTACGTCTGGAAACATTGTTCCGCTGCTGCTGTCTAGTTTGGATGAGGTCTCTCTTGAAGTAGATTTTTTTTTTTTATCTCAGTGAGACTACCTGGATAATTAAAGGTTAAATAAAAACTTTGTTTAGCCTGTTGCTTGGACTAGGCATTCCACTTTTCAAACAACTTGGTTTCAAGAGGCACACGCACAGTACTGAAGTACACATTGCCAGCCTATGGATGTATTAGCCTGAATGTCATTCAAACACTTACATGGTAGAGTAACTTGAAGAGACACACTGATTTAACTATTAAGATGAACATGATGCAAAATGCTCAGATTAAACATTGATTTCCTATAGAAATAGGCCTATTCCCATCTGTAATGTATTAGCCTTGCTTTTTGGAAGCTGCCAGGGCCATGTAATACAGGCTTGGCCAGAAATCAAACAACCACTTGTGGATCTCAGCTAATGGGTCTGCTGTGAGTGTACTATGTTCTAGATGGTGGTCTGGTTATTTAACTAGCTAGTGCTTGCACATTGATATGTAGGCCTGGCTTTATTTAATGGATTATATTTTTCTACTCAGAATTCCTATGCTGCTTAGCTTTTGCAGTTTGGTTGGTGTTGGCCAAATGATTGATGATATGAAATGTTATGATTGGCTTGCTTGAAGGGTGTAGTCTGGCCCTTTTTATGATCATAAAATGTGTCTCATGGAGCATTTTATGTCTATCTCCACAGCTCTCAAGTGGAAATCCTCTCTATGACAAATACTATCAACAGGTAAGGCGTCATTTGAAGGTGTCTTTTTGTGAGTCCTTGGGCGAATTCCATGATGTACTAAAGTAGTAGTACCTAGGTTTATAAGTGGAGTAACAGAGAAGCTCTCATCTAGATGCTCTGTCAGGGCTGTTCAGATGAGAGAGCACCAGATAGAATGGGAAATGCTGTGCAGCATTAGCCAGCAACTGCAGAGCTGCGCTGAACATGTCTCCAGGCTTTTCTCCACTCTGTGATCTACTCTGTGCAAGAGGAGGCTTCTTTATGAATTAATGATAACTCTTTGCTAACCCTGTCATTGCAGAGGCTCAAAGAGGGCTAAGTGAAATGGTAGACACTACAATGGGGAAAATGTGATGGATTAAGGACTCCCATCAAAGTATTAGCCTATACTTAAGCATACCTGTTTATTACATAATCAATGGAATTTAGTCTTATTTTGTATTGCTAAGTCAGCACAAATTAGCTATAGATCTGGTGCTTTTACTGGCTAATTCTTCTTTCTAGTGTTGACTTGTTTTGTCCTGTGTTGTAGGTCGACCCGTCTGGTAGTGGACGGGTGGCAGCTGCTGATGCAGCCTTGTTCCTGAAGAGATCAGGCCTGGCAGACCTCGTCCTGGGCAAGGTAAGATACTAGATGACACAGCTGATGGCCAGACACCAAGCTATGGCACTTACCCAGTATGGTTGTATGCGGGAATCCCTATATGACTGATGTAATTGAAGTGAATTAAAATGTCTTCTTAGATCTGGGATTTGGCAGATTCAGAACGCAAGGGGTGCCTTAACAAGCAGGTAGGCCAACTGTTACTTAGTAGATTTACAATGTCGTGTTAGAAGTATTCAAAGATTCCTTGTAGTAAGACAACCAGAATACACTTTTTGTGTCTGCACCCATCAGCAATTCTTCATTGCTCTCCGGTTGGTGGCCTGTGCTCAAAATGGACTGGAGGTGACACTCAAGAGTCTCAATTTGGCAGTTCCTCCCCCAAAGTTTGTGAGTACAATCATCACTGAAACCCACAGTCTCTATTCAAGAAACAGACGTTTGATTTAATAGCATGTGAGCTTTAAAACAGCTAAAAAAAACGCACCTTTGTTGATGATGCAAACTCTTTTCCCTTTTTTTTTTATTCTCCTCAGCATGACACAAGCAGCCCACTTCTACCTGGGGGAGTGTCCATTGACGGCCCATGGGTGGTCAAGGTGAGGGGAAACCTATCACTATTTCTTAAAAGATGTAACCTGGTAATTTTGTCCTGGTCCGTAATAATGAAAGCAGAAACAAACCACGTGGATGACACATTTAAAAAAAAACATCTACCTCTTATTCAAATCCGTTTTTCAAAGCTATTTCAGGGGGGTTCTGAGCCTTGCAAAATCCAATTAGATTACTTTTATCTAAAGTGTAAATTATGCTTGAATCATGCACCTATACCGTGTCCCTGTATGACTTTCCAGACGGAAGAGAAGCTGAAATTTGATGCCATATTCGACAGCCTCTCCCCCGTTGGTGGAATGCTCTCTGGGGAGAAGGTCAAACCAGTGTTGCTCAACTCCAAACTTCCAGTGGATGTACTGGGAAGGGTAAGCCTAACATACAGTATCTACAGGGCTCATAATGAATGAGTTTTGGTGGCCATTAAAGAGTAAATGCACGTGTGCCCACTGGGGGGTGGTCTTGTGTTAAACATTTCTGCTGCTTTTCCAAGCTTGACTGGGATGGTTATTTGTGACAACATTGATCAGCTTTTTAGTCCATGATTTGGTCTATTTTACTGACTTTATGCATATTTTTTAAACTTATTGTTTTATGTACTGAACGCCCCCCAAATGTTGCAGGTATGGGAACTGAGTGACCTAGACAGAGATGGTATGCTCGACCGAGATGAGTTTGCTGTGGTAAGAAATAGATGAATAATTCAAGTGTAATATAAATATTTAGTGTGTTCAAAGATGAAATGTGGACTATTCTGTAAGATTTAGTGTGTTGCTGTGTGCTTCTAGAATAGAATATGTAGTTTGTCAACATTGGACTTCCCTGATCTTATATTGAAACAGACATGATAGGCAGATTTATGTAAGTGAATCGTGTATTTATGAGTGTATGTTCTCCTTCATTAGGTCATGTACCTGGTCTACAGAGCTCTGGAGGGGGAGCCCGTGCCCATGTCTCTGCCTGCTACCCTTGTGCCACCCTCCAAGAGGAAAAAGCCCCCGGTCTCTGTACCCCCTGTGATGCCCCTTTTACCCTCGCCTCCCTCTATCAAAGAGAGACGCTCCTCCCATTCCGGGTCCAAAACCCTGCCCTCCAAACCAGCAGCGACCCCAGTCACAGTGAGTACAATATTCATTCTAGTATGAAAGTGAGGCGGAAAGTAACATCTCTGTAACAATCCTGTCCCCTCTGTCTCTTTTCAGTGGGCTGTATCTCCTCCAGACATAGCCAAGTATGACGAGGTTTTTGCAAAGACCGATCTTGACATGGATGGTCTGGTGTCTGGGCCTGAAGTCCGAGATATCTTCTTAAAGACTGGCTTGCCCTCCGCCACACTAGCACGCATCTGGTAAGACATATCAGGACATGTTTAGTCTTAATTCAGGCGACAGACTCTTAGATAATATGGGGTGCCTGCACTTGCGTTTACTAATTCAACCTGGACATTGGTCATACAGGGCTGGTTTCTGGACCCAGAGTAAATTCATGGACTGAAAAGCTAGTTCAATTAAGATTTTCTATTGAGCAGAACTAGGCTTAATATGGGTCTGTGAAACCAGCCTATAGTTTGTCAATATTATGCCCATTGCCGCAGGGGTAAATGGATCTTTCTGTTGTAAAATGTGGTCATCTGTGTTCCACAGGGAGCTCTGTGACATTGGGGACATAGGGAAGCTTACCAGGGAACAGTTTGCACTAGCGCTGCATCTAATTAACCAGAAACTGACCACGGATGTGAACCCACCCCAGAACCTCTCTCCTGAAATGATCCCTCCCTCAGACAGACTGAGCCTAGCAGCCAAGCAGGTAAGACTCAGCTCTTTCATCCTGCATGTTGTAAACCGGTCTTAGACATCCAATAATCATAAAGGGTGAATATCTTATTTTTATCCGGTATATTTCTCTATGAAGAATGGCTAGGACTATTTTGATGAATAGGCTACTTAATTGTGATGCAGATTTGATAACTTCTATTTCCTGATGTTTTACTAATACTTTCCTTCCCTTCTCCTGTGGTGTGGGTTTTTGTGTTCTAGCTTGCTGCTGTGTCTCTGACCCTGTCTGTGTATGCTGTCTCTTTGCGTTCTTCCTCATGACTCATGCATTGTACACAAGGTGGGATCTCCCTCTAGCTGGGGACTCTCCTGAGTGTTGGCTTCACTGTCTCCCCCCCCTTAGCCCCTGGCAGTGTCATCCGCCCATGTACCAACCTCATAATATTCCCTTTGCTTTCCTCCTAGTTCAAGTGGTAGTCATTTTAGTGCCCTCTACCATTTGTGTTTCCATGTAGGTGTGCTTTCAGTGTTCTCCCCCGTTCAGTTTCTTGTATGGGTCATTTTGGGAGGCTCATATTATTCCACATCATGTTTGCCATTCCATTAAGTTAATGTTTAGACATTGTTCATATGTTGCAGTGTATGTATGGTCAGTAAAGCCACACTGATGTAAATGTAAACAAATCGTTAGTTTGTTTTCTGCTTTCAATGGTCTCTCCCCACCAGAGCAACGCAGCAAATCTGGCAGCAGACTTTTCTGCCATCAAGGAACTGGACTCGCTCAGCAATGAGATTGTCGATCTACAAAAGTGAGTGGCAAGCAGAGTTGTAATCATCCATGTAACTGTATTTGAGGGATGGGTTAGCTCCGGCTTTGTGTTTGACAAGAGTTTGTTGGTGTGTTGGAGCATGTAACTTCCCCGCATTTAAGGTTGCCTCTGCTATGACAGCCAAGGAACTGGGCCTTGCTCTGTCTCACATTGGAATATTTCAGGGAATACATGGTATAGTTGTATGTTGTAAGGGGAGTCTTGAGAAAAGAGAGACACACACAAGTTCTCCACTGAGGTATGTTTGCTGTCTGCAGAAAGAGCAGATGGAGGGGAGCTGGGAGGCTGACGAGCTGTCCAGGGACTCATAACATGAGTGAGGAAGGGAGCCTTCTAGCAGGGTCTCAAGAGGTTCTCTAGCTCTCTCTTTCTCTCTCTTTGTTTGTGTGTGATGAGGGAGAACCACCGGCTGAAGGGGAAGGCAGGCAGAGGGGTTTGTTAAGGCAGCTCATTAACACTGGGATAGGCTTTTCCTCTGTTTGAATGTTGAGAAAGTGCAGCATATTTTCTCACCTGCTAACAAATCCCATAGCTGCCCCACTACAGACATAACCGCAGCTAGATATGGTGGAAGTAAGTAATGGATCATAGATTTAAACTGACTGTCTGAAACCAGCATTCTGTTATTTTTGGCTGACAAATTGGAAGAGGTGCATGGGATGTTGTCTACAGATGTTCTTTCTGGATGGTTGCCTGGGCATCTAAATATACAGTCCGTTAAGTTAGTACTCCTGACGCACACGTCGCCTACCTCACTTTAGCTCATCTCTCAACTGGTCCTGCACTCTACATGTGTGGCTGTTTTGTATCTGGCTGCCTTTTTTGTTTCAACATTCTTCATGTTGAGCAAAACATTCTATTATTGATTATATTTAATTAATATGAACAATGGTAATATCTATTCTGTTGCACAGTTTTGCCTTTTGGCATCTTAGTGTTCTACCTTGCTAAATGAATGGCTTTATTATTGTCAGTTGATAAAGATCCAGGAGGATTTGGACTTGTTAGGGAGAGCAGATAACTGAAGAGGCCCTGCCTATTGTGCACATTTTCACATCCTCTGTTCCCTCCCTTTTTACCTTGTCATCTGACCGTGCAGGAAAGGGATGGGAGGGGTAGGTGGGAGGATGAACTGACAGGGAAAGGAACGATATTCATCCCTCCCTCTCTCCACTGAATCACTGAGACTTCCTCCAGGCAGCCATCTGCACACACAGTCCTGCCCCTCTCTCTTCTCCTCTGCTCTCCCATCTGCCAGAACAAACACCGACACACAGAGACCCTCTCTCGCTCAAGGCTGTTGCTGCAGGGGTTGGTTGGTCGGTCGGTGTGTGTGTGTGTGTGTGGTCTGCTACAGTAGGATCAGGATGGTGGTGCAGGGAGAGGAGCTGTCATCTGGGGAAGGTGGTGGTGTGGTAGCCTGGCTGGGGGTGCCCTCGGTCTCCACGGTGATTAAATACTCATGTCTTCTGTGCTGGTCTTCCAGGGAGAAGAGCTCTGTAGAACAGGACATTAAAGAGAACGAGGAGAGCATCAGAGAAAGGACCAGTGAAGTCCAGGTACAGTAAACCTGCTGCCTACATGCCCCTCAGCTCTCTCACTACCCTTAGATTGTTTCTTTTCATTTCATCCACTTGATGACTATTGTCTGTAAATTCATTTTCTATATATATATATTTTTTTTGGTCAAATGTTACAAAGCTGTAACATTCTACTATTTAGCTGCTCTTGTTGAATTTGTCAGCGGTAGTCTGCATGATTCTGTTAGGCTGTGAAGCTATGGCTGAGCAGAAGAGAACATACTCCCCCCTCGGTCTGTATGTGTGCGTTTGACTATGAGTCAGAGCCGCCTCCACTAGTTATATGATGCAAACCTCAACACTGAGTGTACAAAACATTAGGAACACCTGCTCTTTCCATGACCATAGACTATCCAGGTGAAAGCTATGATCCCTTATTGATCACTAAATCCACTTTAGTCAGTATAGATGAAGGGGAGGAGACAGGTTAAAGATTGATTTTTAAGCCTTGAGACAATTGAGACATGGATTGTGTGTGTGCCATTCAGTGGGGGAATGGGCAAGACAAAATATTTAAGTGCCTTTGAACGGTGTATGGTAGTAGGTGCCAGGCGCACCGGTTTGAGTGTGTCAAGAACTGAAACGCTGCTGGGTTTTTCACGCTCAACAGTTTCCCATGTGTATCAAGAATGGTCCACCGCCCAAAGGACATCCAGCCAACTTGACACAATTGTGGGAAGCATTTGAGTCAGCATGGGCCAGCATCCCTGTGGAAAGCTTTCGACACCTTGTAGAGTCCGTGCCCCAATGAATTGAGGCTGTTTTGATGGCAAAATATTAGGAAGGTGTTCTTAATGTTTTGTACACTATGTATAGTGCACCATATTGACATTGAGATTGATTGCACAAACTGAACTGATGTGATGTACCCTCAATCAGTATAGATCCTGCTTCAGTAACCAGGTTTCCGTCCAAGGTTTTTACTTGAGTAAAGTACATGTCAGATAAAGGCCTGATGGGGAAAAAAGTGTCTGTTTCCAAATTTCGACAAAACTAAATACGCTAGAAAAAGTGGGATCTTTTTGTGTTGGGAAAATGAATTATGCGAGAAATGCGCAAAAATTGATAACCATCATATCGAAGTAAACTTGGAGTCACAATTTATATGGTGTGGTCCTCCCACTGTGAGTCTGGAAACCATGTAGTTTATTAGGCTACAGATTAAATAATTTATGATGAACTTCACAGGGTGGTGAAAGTGTACGGTGACCTTGATGCACCTTCACAATAAATATTGAGGGTCTAATTCTGGTGACATGATGATCAATGATTGACTGCTGATTGACAAATATTCTCTCATCTATAATCTCATGTAGACTATCCTACCTGCACTGTATCTGTGAGCTGTTGGCACATGCTAAGACCAGAGTAGGCACATTTACTATTTAACGCAACAGTTTTTGTGACAACTATCGGTAGAGTTGAAAATGTGATGGAAACGCATTGAATTTTAGGTTTTTATTCGGTACATGAAAAAGTACATTTTGTGTGCACTACGTCATCACTCACTGATTTTTATCCGCAACAAGTCAGTTTGGTGGAAACACACCACTGGTGGGAAAATTTGCATATTTTCTTTATGATTTGAGAATAATTGCATGACAATCTGCCGCCAATTGGATGGAAACCTAGCTAGTGATAATATTCTTTGACTATTACCTCCAAGTTATTATCAAGGATATTAATTAATTAATTAATATAACCTATTTAGAGGAAGTATATTATATGATACTTTCATATCCTGTCGTCTGGGGTTGCCAATCTTATCATTTTATGCAAATAAATGAATTTTTAGGAAAACTTCAAGTGTTCTTGAATAAGCCAGTGCCATAGCAGAGGTGTATCACCTGTAAACCCTATGCCAGTATGTGAATATCACCTTGTCTTTATTCTGTAGTCTCTATTTGATCATTAATGGATGTATGAATGTCAGGTTTAATTATCTCCTCTCAGGTCCTGTTCTCTATTGACCCCAGCACTCTCCCTGAGAGGACTTCATTAACATTTAAACACCTAGAAAAGAGGTGTACATTACCACACTTGAACCCAGGTGATCAAACTCTATAGGCTATATTAACTTCCATTGATTATTAGTTATTTTCTGCTGTGTATTTGTGAAATACTGCTTTTTCTCTGGTACTGTAGGTGTTAGCCAATGGTGTGAAAAGCTGTCATTAGACAGACAGCACTGTTTCCTCACCCCAGGGTTCAGCTCAGCAATGAGCAGTCACTGCCAATTAGCCAGCATCAATGTATTCATGATGGGGCAACTAGTCGGTTTTACAAGAGCTATATCAGCAAATAAGGTATATGAGTAACTAAGATTGGAATTGTACAGTAAAATGTAAGGCCCAAAAAATATTTAACAGTTCCACAGGGATCATGGATTATTCTCTCTACAATACATGTTTAGTAAGTCATACTGTCATTTCTGAGTAATTAAGTATTCTAAACAAAGAGGGATCAATAAACTATTAGTGTTAATAGGCTAGCCTTGAATCCTGGCATGTGTAGCAGTCACTTCAAAATGATTAGGAGATGAGGGCAGGAGTGCCTTGCCTTGCCGCTGTGCTGGAGTTGGTCTGATAAATGGCTTCTATTTTGGGCTGCGACTGCCTGGCTACTTTGAACAGACATAGCTTAGAGTGCAGCTGCTCCCTAGAGGAAATGGACGAAGACGTTCATCCCTCTGAGCCTGGGCTGAGGAGCGGCTGATTAGTTTTATACCACCAACCACACCCTTCTACATTCACTTCCTCAAGAAACAACATGTAGGCATAAATACGAAGTCAGTGTGATGGCACTTTGGGGAAACTCACATCGATTTTGTTCTGCTGCAGTGGAGAACCTCGTCAAGGCTGAGCTATTTATATGTCACAATATTCTGGCAGTCATAATGGGTTGACTCTGACTCATCCTCTCTGCAGACTCTGCTCAGTCAGTCTCTGCTCCTATTCTCACTTATTGTTCTCTTTCTCTGGCTGTTATGTCACTCTGGTATCCCTTCCCTCCTCAGGACCTGCAGAATGAGGTGCAGAAGGAGAGCGGGGTGCTGCACCGGCTGCAGTCTCAGCGCCAGGAGGTCCAGGATGCTCTGGAGGAGCTGGACCAGCAGAAGACCACTCTGGAGGAGCAGCTTGGTCACATCCGCCAGCAGTGCAGCCATGAGAACCAGCGGGTGAGACTACAGGACCTATCAACCAACCACAACTTCACACAGCACCTGGAACACCTTCAGAGAGGAACCAGTCAATAGCAAGTGTATTTGTTGGTCCGATTGTCATCCATTTTGTTTGAACTCTTTTCTCTCATCTTGCTTCTCTTTCTGTGGTGTGTGTGTCTAGATCTCGTCACTAGAGGCGGAGCACGCGGAGCAGGAGCAGAGGATCGAGGAGTACGAGGAGCAGCTGGTGCAGGCCAGAGAGGAACTGCTGCGGCTGCAGGAGGAGACCCAGCAGTTGGAGGAGAAGGTGCAGGCAGCGCGGGAGCAGCTCACCCCCCTGCGGGAGTCTGTCCGAGACTCCTTCTCTCAGGTCTCTCAGGTGAGTCTACTCAGACTCACCATCATTACTGCCATGGTGGTGGGATAGTGCAAAGATTTCATGGTGGCGGGACAGAGCAAAATCGACGATTTCATGGTGATAGGAGTAAATTTAAAGATTTCCCTTAATGTATATTCCTGACATAGGAAAATGGACAAGAGAATATCAGGTAAAGGGTGAGTTAGTGAATCGCTCTCTCTCCCTTCTATCCCTCTGCTCTCTCTACCTCTGTCTGTACTGGGGGCAGGTGCAGCAAAAGCTGAGTGATCTACAGTTGGAGGAGAGGACGGTCACGGCCCAGCTCAGCTGGAAGATGGCCCTAGAGGAGGATCCAGTGCCAGTCCTGGTGAACGGTTCAGCGAATGAGCCGCACCCAGAGGACCAGGCTGAGGAGCTGAGAGTGGAGCCTCCAGCCATCCAGCCACAGATGGAGCCGGCTGAACCGATAGAAGAAGTGGAGGAGGACAGGCCTAAGGCCCCAGAGGAACCGGTGCCTAAGTCTGATGCCTTCAAAGACCTCTATAACAGCCTGTCTTCCACTGCCTGGCCAGTACCACAGGACAACCTTGTGAAGGCAATATATCATACTCTGAAATATCTGTCATTTTATAATTTGTTCATAAGTCTGTATGTGTTCTGTCATGCCATCATGGGGTCTGAAGTTGATGTTTTTCCTTCTCTTTCCTTAGGAGCACATTAGTCCTGTTGCTTTCACTCTTCAGGAGCAGAGAAGTCCTACTTCTGAAGTTGTAGATGAACAGGATGAGGAGTCGTTTAAAGCTAGCACTCCCAAGGTACAATATGGTCGCATCATCTTTAGCCATTGGATTCCTCCCTGGACTCATGCCTGACCACTGGACTGTACTGATCACCTGTATCTTCTCAGCAGGTGGAATCCCCAGAGCCAGAGAGGAGACCAGAGTCAACTGAGCCTCCCCAGGCAACCCCGCCTGCCCTGCCTCCACAGACCACTCCCCCTCCACTCCCTGCCCAGCCTACCTTGTCCCCAACGACCAGCCCCCCTCCGCTCCCTGGCATGGACTTCTTCCAGTCAGACCCCTTCACTGACCGTGAGTTACCCCTCCTCCTAAACCTATGTATTTAATGAAAGATTAATCCCAACTGATTCTATTGTCTGTCTTCTCTTCTGTCTGTCTGTGCAGATGATCCATTTAAAGATGATCCGTTTGGAAAGGCAGATGTTTCCTGTGAGTGAGTCTTGTTAACGCAATATGAGCTCAAATAATGCAGCTATGCATGCGAGACACCAAATAATATTTTAATATTAGCCTATATTTGGAATATTACAACCTATAACATAGCTGTTCTTCAACAGATCCGTTTGGAGGAGACCCGTTTAAGGGCACAGACCCCTTTGCTGCTGACGCCTTCTTCAAGCAGTCTTTGGCCGCCCCCTTCCCCTCTGCTGACCCCTTCACCCTCACTGACCCCTTCAGTGAAAGTGCCAGCCTAGCAGATCCCGATCTGTTTGCAGCTCCGCTCAACAACGCTGCAGGACTGGACCCCTTCAGCTCCAAACCCAATAACAAGGCAGCCAGGGACCCCTTCAGTGCCAAGGTCAACAACGTGGATGCGGATCAGTTTGGATCCAAAATGGACTCCCTGGCAGAGCCAGACCCGTTTGGCTCCCAGGGCACTGCAGGTCCGGATCCCTTCAGCTGCTCCCAGCCAGGCTCTGAGCTCCCCGCGGTGAGTGTTGCCACCATAGGGATCCTATTAAATTACTATAGTATTCTAATTCCTAATTCTATGAGTGCCACAGTGCTGAACTGATCATATGCCTTAGGAACACTCACTCAGGCAGCTACCCAGTTTCCCCCACCAACACTTTGTGTTAATTATGCTCGCAGAAAGACCCAGTCTGTGCATGGTAATGAAGGATGACTGTGCACTTACTCTTTCTGTCCTTAATTATTCTAGCTAGGTTGGCACTGTTTATAGGATTTTAGTCGTAAAACTGACATTGTATGTATTTCTCTCCCAGAAGGATCTCACTGCAGCACCTAATGACCCTTTTGCACCTGGAGGCACTGCAGTAAAGACTGGCTCTGACCCAGGTAAGACTCCAGGGATGGAGCCTCCCTCTGGGCAGTGGGTGGTAGGGCAGATGGTAGTACCCTGTCTGGCTAAACTGTGTGTTGTTGAGTAATATCTACACCTTGTGTGTGTCCTTCAGATCCATTTGCTGCCGTCTTCGGCAACGAGTCATTTGGACAGGGATTTGCAGACTTCAGCGCCCTGGCCAAGGTAAGATTGGGTTCTCTAGTTGTCCTTGGTGTGTGTCATCATGGCTGCCATGTGAGCAGAACTAGGGATCACTAGGGACTTCCGGTTTAACCTCAGTGTCTTTTTTTTAGATAAGGAGGAGTTTGATGTCTGTGGGTGTGAAATGTGAGCATGTCTGGAGAGGACTGCCTGTTTATACATTCACCTCCATTATTCATGCTGTTAAGGAGGAAGGTGGTGGTGTTGCTGTAAACATGAGAGAGGAGAGGAGTCAGTCATGCTCTTCTGGCCTTCTCTGGTTGTTTCCCAGTCTAACAGTTCTGACCCCTTCGCCTCATCCAACTCGTCCAACAACAGCCAGCCCAGCAGCCCTGATGTTCCCCCAGCTTTGCCCCCCAAGACGGGAACGCCCACCAGACCTCCCCCTCCACCCCCAGGTCAGTTCTCCTGCTGCTCCTGACTCTGGAAAGCAAATTTTCCTTCATGCTTTTTGTTGTCAGTGCTTTTCTGGTGCCAAGTACTAGTAGCAGAATGGCATTGGTATTCAAAACATGCAGGTTTAGTACCTAGTGGGGTTTTGTAGTCATTGTTGCACTTTTGTTAGGAGTTCTTCCCTGGGCGCCTCATTCCTTACTGAGCTGAGTGCTCTTGGGTGGTGTGTGTGTGTGAATGTAGGTAAGAGATCCTCAATCTCCAGATCAGAGTCGTCGGACTCGTTCCACAGAAGGGGACCCTTTCTTCCCCAGGGCTCAGGAGATCCCCCTTTCTCCCAACCTGCCAAGGACGCTGCCCAGGACCCCTTCGCCCCATCCTCACCCCGCCAGCCCGCACAGGACCCTGACCGATTTGCCAGCTTTGACAAAGTGAGCACCTCCCCTGCCCCCTCTCCCCCTCCTGACAGCGACTAGGTCGCCCTCCTCTGTTTCCTCGCTCACAAGCCACATCCACCAAACGGCACTCTCAGCCTCTCCTCCATTCATAGCCAAACTCTCTACCTACCTACCTGAGGAGCATTTTAAGGCCTTATAGAAATATATAGATGATGGATTTTACTTTTTTGATGATTTTAAATGCATTCCTTTGTTTTGCTAAAGAGGTCATCTCTATAATTTTGTATCCATTTTTTGTTTATTCCTGCTACCTTATGTATTCCATAGTTATTTTGTTACCAATGTTATGTTTCTTTATGTAAAGGTTTATTTATATCTGTAGTTACATTTCTGTTTATTTCTAAGTTGAACTGGAGTTTAGCCTTGTAATAATTGACGATGTTCCCTTGAATAACTTGCACTGCCTAACTTTACTCATTTAATAGTGTAGATATAGATATACACAGTGTACAAAACATTAGGAACACCTGCTCTTTCCATGACATAGACTGACCAGGTGAAAGCTATGATCCCTTAATGATGTCACTTGTTAAATCCACTTCAATCGGTGTAGATGAAGGGGAGGAGACAGATTAATTATGGATTTTTAAGCCTTGAGACAATTGAGACATGGATTGTGTATGTATGCCATTCAGGGGTGAATGGGCAAGACAAAATATTGAACGGAGTATGGTAGTAGGTGCCAGGCGCAACGGTTTGAGTGTGTGAAGAACTGCAACGCTGCTGGATTTTTTTCATGCTCAACAGTTTCCCATGTTTATCAAGAATGGTCCACCACCCAAAGGACATCCAGCCAACTTGACACAATTGTGGGAAGCATTGGAGTCAACATGGGCCAGCATCCCTGTGGAACGCTTTCGACACCTTGTATAGTCCATGCCCCAACGAATTGAGGCTGTTCTGAGGACAAAAGGGGGTGCAACTCAATATTAGGAAGGTGTTCCTAATATCTTGTCCACTGTGTATATTAATAAACATTCTAATATATTTAAAATGGATAATCTTTTCACTGAGTGACCTTAGTCACCACTAACTGGACTAAAAGCACACACAATCTTCCCCTTCATGACTCGTATTCCGCATAGCCCTCATGAGCCCCGGTTGGCTGTGGATGGAAAGGCTGCTTGCTTTGACTCTTGTGATTTTATTTATTTAGCACAACCACAGAAAGGATGAAAGGCTTGACCGAGCTCCTCCTCCCTCTGACTGCCCTCCACCCTGCATGACCTCCTGCACCCTGCCCTGCACACACTGTGTCCTTGTGTCTGATTGGCTGGTTCCCAATGACCCTCCACATATCCTCCTCTCACTCTGACTGGAATCACTCCTCATCCTGCATCCCTCCATTCGTCCTGCTATCACCACTCATGCCACCCATTAGCACTGACTGCACTGTGGAGGAGACTTCTGCTCTGAGTTTTTACTCTTCTGTTCCTCAGTCGAATAAGCTCAATAAAAAGTCTGAAGGGTACCATCTCCATCTCTGGGCTCCATGTGTATCCATATCCACCAGATTGATTTCCCACAGATTGCTGCTGTTTGTATAACGGAGTTAAGAACGTACCGTAAGCGCACTCCACAGCTAGCTCGAAATGTTGTAGATTGAGCCATCTAATTGGTACCTTTCGGGTGGCTCAACCCGTTGGAACATTGTCAAGGAGAGTAGTCTCGTGTGTTGGCAAAGCAGAGGTCCCAAGTTGGAGCCAGTTTATGAGCCGAAACGGGGGGAAGTGGTACTGGCTAAGAAAGCAGCGTGACGTCCGTAACATTTGCTCCTTTTTATGTTCTAATATGATGCGTCAATTCTGGTGTAATCAAATCCTGGATTCAATTATAATAATAATAATAATAATAATAATAATAATAATAATATGCCATTTAGCAGACGCTTTTATCCAAAGCGACTTACAGTAATGCGTGCATACATTTTTTTTTGTGTATGGGTGGTCCCGGGGATCGAACCCACTACCTTGGCGTTACAAGCGCCGTGCTCTACCAGCTGAGCTACAGAGGACCACATTATGGCTTGAGCTGTAAAAAATTAACAATCGGTTTGCTCTGAATTCACAAACCTAGTTTTACTGGCCTCTGATAAGCATTTATGGATGTTTGTTAAATTGAGTAGCCATTTTATGAATAGAATAGCAGAAGTAAAATGTTTCGGAGGGTTGAAAGGGCAAAGAGGACATCCCGCTTCAGATAAACACTAATGTGTGAATGACTCATGCATTTGGCAATTGTGGTGGTCAGACTACTTCGACTACAGTTAACATGATTGAATTTGTGCATATATTTCTAATTACACTTACAATGGGTTGTTCACCTTTTTGCTTAACTCTCTCTTCAAAGTGCCTTTTTATTAATATTTATGTGACAAACACCAGGCAGTGAACAGGACTCACATGCTCATTATCTAGAGGGAAAGTAATAATGATCTTGTAAAAACTGTAACATCTCCCAGGTCTGACTGTTAACCTTTGTCATCCTTGCCAATGTGCAGCACTCTATAGAACTACTCCTTTCTCGCGCTACCACATCTCTCCTTTTGGTATCATTCACGTGCACTTTAGGTCTAAGAAATACCCATTCTCAATCTCTGAGCCAATAGTCAGCATATTGCAGTACAATACTGTTGTTAATTTGCATTCACATTGGTATAGCTGGGACACCAGCGACACGCATGCTTCTTATTATATTAGGTATGTACTCACTAAACACTAACCAAATTTCGCCATCCCACTCTTTAATATGTGCATGATGTGTCTGTGTTGCTGTTTGAAACAGATTTGTCAATTCTGTCACATGCGAGCATTGTTTTACAACCATGGCGGGGGTGGGGCTAATACATTTGTCATTTTGTTTTTAAACAGTGTGAGGAAATTGCAACAGTTTGCTTTTGGAACAAACAAAAAGTGATATTGTAATGTATAGAATGGAACAGCTTACCATGACCAATGCGTGTCAAGGGGATCAGTATGCTGTTGCTTTGGAGAGACATGGCTGTTTTAATACAGAGAATTACTGACATGCTGTGTCCTTGAAAATGTGTGTCCAAGATGGGGGAGGTTGAGTGCAGTGGATGTATTTGGGGGGAGCATAGTATATCTATTCTGGATCTCTGAGGTGTTCTGATGGGGCTTTGCTGTGTCTATGCGTGTGTTTTCTGTGTGTTTCTATGTGGTGTGACGCAGCAGTACCCTACCGAGGAGGACATGATTGAGTGGGCGAAGAGGGAGAGTGAGCGGGAGGAGAAGGCGCGCCTGGCCAGACAGGCACAACAGGAACAAGAGGATCTGGAGCTGGCCATTGCCCTGAGCAAGTCTGAGTTCTCCTGAAAGTCTCCGGTCACCCCTTGTGATCCAGCACTCACCAAAGGAGGGAGGGGTGGGAAAACTGAACTAAAGGGCCTACTATTCTGACCCAATGAAGAGATTTTGAGTATTGGCTCCACCCACCCACCCCACACATTTTCACCAACCCTCTTTGTTTCACTCATCATTGGCAATTTCAGTTTTGTCTATGTAACAACAAATCCTCATGTTATTTTTGGTGTTTGGCTGAGTAGTGGGTATAGAGCTGTGATTGTCTGTTAGACTTCAAAAAGCCCTCCTTGTACAATAAGTAGACATGGAGATTGTGTAGTGTGTGTGTGTGTGTATATATAGCTGTAATGTCCCTTCATTTCAACTACACAGACCACATTGCTAGTAACAAACTGCAAAAGTTCTGCCCCCGTCTGCATTGCTCTTGCCTGCTCCAACCCAGACCAGATAGTATTGAGCACTTTAAAAAATATATAAACTTTATATGATTAACTCTAACAAGATACGAAAAGAGTAATGTTCATCTGGGTGTAAACCAATGTCAAATTGTAATCCATATGTGATCATTAAGGGTTGCCTGGGGCAAGTGACCTGACCAGTCGTGCAAGTTGACTCTGCTCTGTGGTTGCCCCATTGATTCCTTTCAGACCTTAATGTCATTCATCTGGCTATACACCAGACATCTACAGTATGTGGTGAATTGGATTTCATGTCTGAGCTGACTTGAGGTCTTTCTAGTGCTTGTGTAAAAAAACAATGTTCTTAGATGACCTGACGTATGTCCTTACGTCAGGTTCTACCAAATTAAGTAGCCATTTTATGAATAGAGTAGAAGTCAAATGATCCAGAGGGTTAAAAGAACAAAGAGGACATCCCTCTTCAGATAAACACTAATGTGTGAATGAATCCATGCATTAGGCAATTGTGGTGCTCCGTCTACTTCGACTACAGTTAACATGATTGAATTTGTGCATATAGTTCTAATGACACTACTTACTATCGGTTGTTCACCTTTTTGCTCAACTCTCTTTAAAGTGCCCTTTTATAAATATTTATGTGCTAAACACCAGGCAGTGAACAAGACTCACATGCTCATTATCTAGAGGGAAAGTAACAAAGATCTTGTAAAAACGGTATAACATCTCCCAGGTCTGACCGTTAACCTCTGTGTCATCCTCCTAATACTCTCCATTTAGTCTTAAAGGGGCAATCTGCAGTTGCTATATCCATTTTTACGACAATGTTTGTAAGCAAAGTAAATGTACACAAACACTGTATAGCCTCAAAACATGGTTAAAACTATAATTTTGATATAATGGATGGTCAGTTGCATCCAAAGCTCCATCTATGAATTTAAGTGGCTACATTTCTCCAGCCCCATCCCTTATCTTTTTATCAAAACAGTGGCAGGGACATGCTTTGGTTCAACTGCAGCTGGCCCCTTTAAATGGGTATAGCAGTGCTGAGGGTTGTACAGGTGCTAAAAAGAACTAAACCAGTAAAACCACTTATGTCCAGACCTCTGCACGTAGGCCGCTTTTAATGATCTTGAAATATAATCTACCCCACCCAACACTACCCACCAATACAGTCAAAAGACGTAGTAATGTTGTGTGAACAAATATGAGATGTCAAGATTTTGGAAAGTAGGTTGGTTGTACAGGAAGATATTTGAAATGTATTAAGTTGAAAGATATACAGTGAGGGGGAAAAAGTATTTGATCCCCTGCTGATTTTGTACGTTTGCCCACTGACAAAGACATGATCAGTCTATAATTTTAATGGTAGGTTTATTTGAACAGTGAGAGACAGAATAACAACAACAAAAAATCCAGAAAAACGCATGTAAAAAATGTTATAAATTGATTAGCATTTTAATGAGGGAAATAAGTATTTGACCCCTCTGCAAAACATGACTTAGTACGGTACTTGGTGGCAAAACCCTTGTTGGCAATCACAGAGGTCAGACGTTTCTTGTAGTTGGCCACCAGGTTTGCACACATCTCAGGAGGGATTTTGTTCCACTCCTCTTTGCAGATCTTCTCCAAGTCATTAAGGTTTCGAGGCTGACGTTTGTCAACTCGAACCTTCAGCTCCCTCCACAGATTTTCTATGGGATTAAGGTCTGGAGACTGGCTAGGCCACTCCAGAACCTTAATGTGCTTCTTCTTGAGCCACTCCTTTTTTGCCTTGGCCGTTTGTTTTGGGTCATTGTCATGCTGGAATACCCACCCACGACCCATTTTCAATGCCGTGGCTGAGGGAAGGAGGTTCTCACCCAAGATTTGACGGTACATGGCCCCGTCCATAGTCTCTTTGATGCGGTGAAGTTGTCCTGTCCCCTTAGCAGAAAAACACCCCCAAAGCATAATGTTTCCACCTCCATGTTTGACGGTGGGGATGGTGGTCTTGGGGTCATAGTAAGCATTCCTCCTCCTCCAAACATGGCGAGTTGAGTTGATGCCAAAGAGCTCGATTTTGGTCTCATCTGACCACAACACTTTCACCCAGTTCTCCTCTGAATCATTCAGATGTTCATTGGCAAACTTCAGACGGCCCTGTATATGTGCTTTCTTGAGCAGGGGGAACTTGCGGGCGCTGCAGGATTTCAGTCCTTCACGGCGTAGTGTGTTACCAATTGTTTTCTTGGTGACTATGGTCCCAGCTGCCTTGAGATCATTGACAAGATCCTCCCGTGTAGTTCTGAGCTGATTCCTCACCGTTCTCATGATCATTGCAACTCCACGAGGTGAGATCTTGCATGGAGCCCCAGGCCGAGGGAGATTGACAGTTCTTTTGTGTTTCTTCCATTTGCGAATAATCGCACCAACTGTTGTCACCTTCTCACCAAGCTGCTTGGCAATGGTCTTGTAGCCCATTCCAGCCTTGTGTAGGTCTACAATCTTGTCCCTGACATCCTTGGAGAGCTCTTTGGTCTTGGCCATGGTGGAGAGTTTGGAATCTGATTGATTGGTTGCTTCTGTGGACAGGTGTCTTTTATACAGGTAACAAACTGAGATTAGGAGCACTCCCTTTAAGAGTGTGCTCCTAATCTCAGCTCGTTACCTGTAAAAGACACCTGGGAGCCAGAAATCTTTCTGAATGAGAGGGGGTCAAATACTAATTTCCCTCATTAAAATGCAAATCAATTTATAACATTTTTGACATGTGTTTTTCTGGATTATTTTGTTGTTATTCTGTCTCTCACAGAATAATTATAGACTGATCATTTCTTTGTCAGTGGGCAAACGTACAAAATCAGCAGGGGATCAAATACTTTTTTCCCTCACTGTATATAATGATTTAATTGTTAACTAGAAAATGAATACAGGCTGAGTGTAATACCTGTTGTGTGTGAAAATACTCCCTACTAGAATAGCTGGCTTTGCCCTCTTCTGTAATGTCTGATTCCAAATGTCACAAGAATCTACAATTTGACACCTTGTCTCACCTCTTTAGAGATGCAATAGTTTAGTCGTATTCTGGATAAAGGAGTTTGTCTGTACACTTGCTCAGAAAAGCTCCTGGCCCCACTATGGCAAATTCTAATTTCTTTTTATATACACTGCATTTTTAACACGTCTAGCTTTAGTTGAATGCAGCCGTCAGTAGGGGGTTCTGTTGTAAAGCAAATGGCTGTCGCTGCTCATGTTAGCGTTGTAAAGCTAAGTATCTTTATTTTTTTTAATGTTTTGTGTTTCAATGAGGTGATTCCACAGTGTTTGACTGCATTTCAAAGTCTTAACTGACTGAGGAAAGTATCCTTTGCCTTTTTGTACAAAGGCAGTTCTTCTGTCTGTGAACGTCAGTCACTTGGGGGTTTTTACTTACAAAGCCCTTTTGTGTTGTCAAGGAGAGGCAGAATTGGGAGGGAAATTAAAATTTTAAGGCATGTTAACATCTCAAAGCATACCATATAAAAGTTTGGTTATTTGTTTTCCAGGTGAAATGAGTTAGTATGTCACTAATCAAGAGGGCTAAACGGTGAAAGTACACTGTTGACAAGGGAATGGCAAGGCTCTGAGTGATGTGGGCTGACTGTTTTCTGACCAATGCACAACTTCTGCTTTTCATCCAGGTTGTTTAGGTTAATCAGTAGAGAGCATTCTGTAAATGAGCTTCGTGGTCAGTTATGACTTTCTAATGTTGTTAATTCAAGACATGGTTCTTCTGTTTTTGTAAATACAATGGAGTTGTCCATTCTCCGGTGAACAGCTGCTTCTTTTATACCCTCATCTAGTATTTAAAGGCTATCCGATACTATTGATCATGTCATTTGTATATTCAAATTACAAACCACTTGTGTTTTTAGGCCATCTACATATAGGCTTTTAAAAACTGGCTAATTGTAGGCCTATTTTAGTTTAATTTTTTAACATGTCAGTATTGGGAGTAATGGTCAGAATATGCTATGTGCAACATTTAATTAAACAGAATAATAAATATAAACCTCTCAAACACTGGACTGTTAAATGCTTTTCTGTGTGGGGATGGATATCAATGAAACCTGACAAGTGTATTACCAATATACTGTTTTTAATAAATGTGAAAGCCTACATGTATTTTATCATGGCGAAAAGCAACTTAATAGTTGACTTCCAATGACTTTTTGTAGACTAGCAGTAGTCTGAGAAATCCCAGACCTAGGGCAGCAACAAGTTGGAACATTGGTAGGTCTACATTATTTGGAGGCAACACATCTGACTTGGGGTTCTCCAACCCTGCTCCTGGAGGGCTTCTCTCCTGTAGATTTTCACTCCAACCCCAGTTGTAACTAACCTGATTTCAGTTTATCAACCAGCTAATTATTAGAATCGGGTGCGCTAGATTAGGGTTGGAGCGAAGACCTACAGGACAGTAGCTATCCAGGAACAGGGTTGGAGAGCCCTGATGGAGGGACTAAAAGCGAATTTATGCTTGATCCGAAAATGTGGTCGGAGGCTCCGTATGGAGGATGTGAAGCAATTGCAGAGCCACATTTTTAAACACTGAAAGGCTCTGTATAGCTCTGCATTGACTTTAAAAGGCGCCGCATGGTCAATCCAACATCTGCATTGGCCGTGCAGCATTTAGTGTGATACGGCCTCTGCAGAAGTCAGGGCATTCATACTTATTGCGCTTCGCGGAGCAGCGCAGAGTTGTTGTCAAGGACGTGAGTTTGTGTTTATACAGGACCTCACGCCCTCGCCTTCCGTCAACCAATCATGTCAATGCGGAGCTATAAGGAGCCCTCCGCATTATTACGAAATTTGGGAGGCACATGGCAATGCGGTACGAAGCTCAATTTGACCTCTGCATGCCTCCGGAGGCTCCGCAATTGAATCACATTCTCCATACGGAGCCTCCAACTACGTTTTCAGATCAAGCATAAATTGGCCTTTAACCTAACGTAGCAGGCGTAAAAGAAAGGCCTGAGCAGAGAGCCCGCATCCGGTTTTCAGTGGAAAATGAAGCTAGGTTGAAGATAGCTGTACAGTCGTGGTCAAAGGTTTAGAGAATGACACAAATACTAATTTTGTCAAAGTCTGCTGCCTCAGTTTTGATTATGGCAATTTGCATATACTCCAGAATGTCATGAAGAGTGATCAGATGAATTGCAATTAATTGCAAAGTCCCTCTTTGCCATGAAAATGAACTTAATCCCCCAAAAACATTTCCCTGCCACTAAAGGACCAGCTGCTATCATGTCAGTGATTCTCTCGTTAACACAGGTGAGAGTGTTTTGACGAGGACAAGGCTGGAGATCACTCTGTCATGCTGATTGAGTTAAAATAACAGACTGGAAGCTTTAAAAGGAGGGTGGTGCTTGAAATCATTGTTCTTCTGTTAACCATGGTTACCTGCAAGGAAACACGTGCTGTCATCATTACTTTGCACAAAAAGGCCTTCACAGGCAAGGATATTGCTGCTAGTAAGACTGCACCTAAATCAACCATTTATCGGATCATCAAGAACTTCAAGGAGAGAGGTTCAATTGTTGTGAAGAAGGCGTCAGTGCGCCCAAGAAAGTCCAGCAAGCGCCAGGACCGTATCCTAAAGTTGATTCAGCTGCGGGATCGTGGCACCACCAGTGCATGCTCAGGAATGGCAGCAGGCAGGTGTGAGTGCATCTGCACGCACAGTGAGGCGAAGACTTTTGGAGGATGGCCTGGTGTCAAGAAGGGCAGCAAAGAAGCCACTTCTCTCCAGGAAAAACATCAGGGACAGACTGATATTCTGCAAATGGTACAGGGATTGGACTGCTGAGGACTGGGGTAAAGTCACTTTCCAATTGTTTGGGGCATCCGTAAAACACCTTGTCCAGAGAAGACAAGGTGAGCGCTACCATCAGTCCTGTGTCATGCCAACAGTAAAGCATCCTGAGACCATTCGTGTGTAAATGTAAAATGGGTTGCTTCTCAGCCAAGGGAGTGGGCACACTCACAATTTTGCCTAAGAACACAGCCATGAATAAAGAACGGTACCAACACATCCTCCGAGAGCAACTTCTCCCAACCATCCAAGAACAGTTTGGTAACGACCAATGCCTTTTCCAGCATGATGGAGCACCTTGCCATAAGGCAAAAGTGATAACTAAGTGGCTCGGGGAACAAAACATCGACATTTTGGGTCCATGGCCAGGAAACTCCCCAGACCTTAATCCCATTGAGAACTTGTGGTCGATCCTCAAGAGGCAGGTGGACAAACAAAAACCCACAAATTCGGACAAACTCCAAGCATTGATTATTGAAGAATGGGCTGTCATCAGTCAGGATGTGGCCCAGAAGTTAATTGACAGCATGCCAGGGCGGATTGCAGAGGTCTTGAAAAAGAAGGGTCAACACTGCAAATATTGACTCTTTGCATAAACTTAATGTAATTGTCAATAAAAGCCTTTGACACTTATGGAATGCTTGTAATTATACTTCAGTATACCATAGTAACATCTGACAAAAATATCTCATAACACTGAAACAGCGAACTCTGTGAAGACCAATACTTGTGTCATTCTCAACTTTTGACCACGACTGTACGTATCCCTGAAATCCGGTTGTTGGCAACTCTGCTAAGGGCGAGAGAGACAAGACTAGCAGTATACTGAGCAGCATCATCTAATTAAGAGGGGGTGTTCAATTCAGTTGAGCACCACCAGCCAACTCTCCCCTGGAATGGCGCTCGCCAGCTTGTAGTCCTAAAAAATGGAAATGAGTTGCCTCTGGTTCGTTCAGCCATTCCTATGGGGAAAATGAATAGGGTTTTGGGATAAATGCTGAAAATAGGGTCTGAGGTTGACACAGGCTTAAGAGATCTTCTAAGAGATATCAGTCAATTAACATGATCTTTATGAATTATGAACCCTTTGTGCTTTTTTTGATTACATAAATGCTTCAAAATTCACAAAGTGACTAGCTGATGAAGATTACCATAGAGCAAAACGTATAAGATCTCCTAAGCCGGTGTTTACCACAGACCTTATTTTCGGTGTTTATCCAAAAACCCTACAAAAACTCAATTTCCCCATAGGCTTTGTTCAACGAACAATGGCGGAGGTAGTGCCTTCAAAAATACATTACTATTGCGCTCTGTAGAGTACCACAGTATGAGTCATAATACCCATAACCTAGCGGTCAAACAGGGAAATGGTTCCAATCGTTATTCCACCATTCAATTTTCCCATAGGGGATTTTAGAAACACTTAAAATAAGGACTGTGTTTTGATAACCGTGTAAATCTCTCTAGGACAAGGTGATTTTATCAATGTATTCGCCTGTATTTACCTCCCAAAAATGTAATGCTAATGTGGCTATCATAAAGAACTACAAATGCCATGATGATCTGGACGAGATTGCCGAATCGAGGCAAAGGTAAGAATCTCTGGATTAATGTTAACAAAATGTAGTAATGAATAAATTGACTAAATTTCTTTAAATGGACAATTATGTGAACTGTCTTGTGCAAGTTTTAAATTGACACTACCTGTTAGCAAAGGTGTCAGCTAGAGATGATGTGCAGGAGCTTGCACAGATTTGTAGTTTTGCATGTCTACTTTTATGCGAATTAGCATTTCTGAATCTGAGAGTAAATAGATCAGAATAGTCACCTTGCCGAGAGAGATTTACATGGTTATAAAAACGTCACTCCAGGGTAAGCCTACACAAAACACAGCCCTTATTTTAAGTGTTTCTAAAGTCCCCTATGGGAAAAATGAATGGTGGAAAAACGATTGGAACCATTTCCCTGTTTGACCGTTTTATGGGTATTATGACACCGCCACCGTGGGGCGCTATTGGAGCGCTCTAAGACCTTGTAGCAGTACTACTGACCCACATTCCATTGCACTTTAAAAGGGACCTGATTATAATAGTGATGAGTACATCCACCTTTTTTTTTACTTGGTCAGGAAGGAGGAATATATAGTTATCACGAAGACACGTAGCCTACTGTACTACTTCCTCATACTTTCTCAAACACTCGCAAGAGACATTATCACCTGCGCACAGGTAAAAACCCTTTGTCAATTTAAGGATAATCAGGCGCCGCACTGTTGCTGGATATTCTGCACGTTTACAGTATTTCAGTGCAGTAGAATGAGTTTTATCACTGGTTGGAAACGCAGCGTGAAGAAAAATGGCAGCAAAGGGTGAGTAGCAAAATCCACCGACCTATACAGTAGGCTATTTGCAGTAGCCTAGACAACGTTTTTTCCGAAGAAACCCAGCAATATTTGTATTTACAATCTACAGTAGTCTAAGCATGTTCTATTTGTGGTCACAACAGTAGCTATGTTTCTATTAACTCGTCCATTGATTTTGTTAGTCGACATTTAGAAAGTTTGCATAGAAAACCGATGCAACAATTGCCTGCTAGGGTGCGTTCCCATTTTAATTATCTTGTGTCGATTAAAAACGTCTGGACGTAATGATGTCACACCTAAATCTACAGTGTCGAATAAAAATGAATTGGTTGAAGTGTTTCAATTACCAATTTAGGCAAATCGCGCATTAATAAATTGGCGACAGCCTGTATGCCCTCCCATCTATCTGTGTCATGTCTCAGGTAGCCCGCGAAAGCCAGCATTTTACTAATATTTGCCATATTCAAATAATTATCATGTACCAACGTATCGCCATGGTCCGTGCCATGGTGAAACGTGCACACCTGTAGATCTGAAATAATTGGATGGTGAAATTTGCCAGCAAACCAGAAAAGCATTTTTTTTTTGATTTGATAAACATTGAGTGGTTGTGTAACAGTTATGATTATGATACACGATACACAATTTTTTTATTTGACAGAAATTGGAATGTTATTGCCAGATGTTATATTAGCATTAAGATGGAGACAGCATGTAGTGAGAAATGTAATAGATTTCATTTTCTGCTAAGTAAATAAGAAAATGAAGCCACTTTAGATGACTTTTTCCACCTATCAAATCAGTTGAATTTAATTTATTTTCAAACTCAAAAATCTAGGAATAGCTTCTCTAAAGTATAATCTAGGATACGTTGCTATAAAGTATAATCTAGGGAAAGCACATTTGTAATCACTGTACCACCATGTTGCTCTTTAACATGACATGCCATCACCAGTGGTAACATCTGGAGATAAATGTTCAGTCAAGGAAGTCCAATTAAGATGGGGTAAAATTAGACTAACTATAAAGGAAAACTTTTGTAATAACATGTTAACACATATGTATTGGCAGTTACCGAATGCATACTACTGTTTATTTCAAAAATACAAAAGGGAAGAACTAAACTGCCCAGAACTGCATAGTAACATAGGCAACCTACTAACTAGCTTGTTACAAAGTAATTACACACATTGTTCTACTGATAGTTATTCTGGAGTAAGGCCTATGGAAAAGAAAGCAACAGCTACCAATCCCTCTCAAGTGACTTGCTTTGATAAGGAAAAAGACGCTGAAACCAATTAACTGAAATATAAATAGAAAGTAAACTATAATGGTAAATGGCAGCAAAGAATAACATCTACAATAGAGGCCTTAGATTAGCATTGGCGATCTCTGCACTGGTAAATGAGACACATCCCTAGTACTTACTGTTCTGTCTGTTATACTGTGACCCTAGGGACGCCCTGCAGGCGAAAGAAATCTCAGCCGACCCCAATGGCTCCCCAACACTGTAAGTTTACATGAAAAACATGAACAGTTTCTGTGAAATCTATATTTCTCCTCATTATGCCAAGGCATTGAATGGGATTTGATTCATATAAACATTTATAACAGCATGGTTTGCTTCTAGGTTGTCCGTCATAAACAGTCCAGAACTTGACCCCATCCTCACAGATTTCAAGTAAGTTTTCCCAAATGTATTTCTTAGAAACAATGATCTTTCAACTTCGGTACCCTAGGCATGTTTGACAACAGAGTAACTGAATTCCATTTGTACTTTGTCTCTTTTTATGATACATATTCCATTTTGGTAAATCTGCCCCTGCACTGAAAATATTTTTCAGTGTCAGGATTTCTATGGGTTACAATATTATGTTACTCACACAATAGTACCTATTCAAATAGTTTCCATACTTTGTGCTCACCTTTTTTTCTAAATGGCCTCAATTTTGCCCCCCTGTTTCAGGTTACAGTTACCAGACAACAAAGATGCACTCAACTCTACAGAACCATCAAACACGTAAGTCTCAGAGTCAATGGCTGAGTGATATACAGGATTGAGTAGTTTGTGGAAAGGGTATTGACAGTTCACGGTCAGTGGGAAGGCAGTGACATCACTCCTTCCTGCTGGCAGTAATCTCAGCTCCGGTCCAGGCAGGGATTGACCAAGAGGAAGACCAGCCTATCTTCTCATCCATAGAGATATCATTTGATTTAAATGCCTCTCACCAATGCCTCTCACATGTGGGAAGAAGGCTGTTGTTGTTACCACACCGTTTTATTGACATCACATGATTGGAGGTGGAGCTGTCCCTGAAATAAAATGCTTTCCCATGATCATGTATAACAGAAAGCAATTCCGGGCTCCCGCAGTGCTAGAGGCGTCACTACAGATCCTGGTTCGATCTCGGGCTGTATCACAACCGGCCGTGATCGGGAGTCCCATAGGGCGGCGCACAATTGGCCCAGCGTTGTCCGGGTTAGGGGAGGGTTTGGCCGGAGGGGCTTTACTTGGCTTATCGTGCTCTAGCAACTCCTTGTGGCGGGTTGGGCGCCTGCAGGCTGACCTCGGTCGTCAGGTGAACAGTGTTTCTTCCGACACATTGGTGCTTCTGGGTTAAGTGGGTGGGTGTTGTTTGGCGGGCCATGTTTCGGAGGACGCATGACTCGACCTTCGCCTCCCAAGCCCATTGTTGCAGCGATGGAACAAGAAAAGGGGGTATTTTTTTTTAACTAAAGAAAGAAAGAAAGCAATTCCACTGAAGCAAAAAGAGCAGGAGCCAAATAAAATGTTGGGACTAAATTGAACCCCTAGTTGCTTTCCTAGTGCTCATATATTTAAAAACTTAAACTGATTCAGCTTAACAGATGTCAGTGAGAAAGCTAATAGAACAGTGTGTGTGTGTGTGTGTGTGTGTGCACGTGCGTACGTGCGTGCGTGCGTGAGCTGACCTCTTTGCTTGTGTCTTGAGATTTACAGATGTACCATGTTGCAGATCACTTCTCCTCTATGACCTAATTTAGACAGCTGTCTGAGAGCTCATTCTGATAAGTGGCTGGCTCGTTCCATGGGTCATTCACTTTCAGAGCGATTGGCTGTAGTGCAATTGCTGGGTCTCAGTGGTACTCATCTCTCCTACACACTACACAGCATCCTACTGGCTCTGTCCTACTGGCTCTATCCTACTGGCTCTGTCCTACTGGCTCTGTCCTACTGGCTCTGTTATAGGGGGCAGTGTGTCTGTGCTGCTGCAGCAGTCAGCCTGAGTCCCTACAGTAAAGGCTTCCTTCTTCGCAGGACTCTTCCTCTCACCGGCATGAGGTCACTGTACATCTCTGTACAGAATCTTACTGAGGGATTTTGAAATCTTCTATTCAATATTTTCAGAGATCTGAATTAGTACAGTTCATTTTTGTTCAGCGTCCGAGTGCAGTAGCCTGTCCTCTTCGGTTGTCCTGTGCGGCTAGGCCAGCCCTGCCACTGCCTCAGCCAATCAGTGAGGCGACTGCAGTGTGTAGCGTGAGTGGGATGATGGGAAGAGGTGGGATAGGAGAAGCATTTAGGGACTGTGTGTGTGAGAGCGTTTAGGGACTGTGTGTGTGAGAGCGTTTAGGGACTGTGTGTGTGAGAGCGTTTAGGGACTGTGTGTGTGAGAGCGTTTAGGGACTGTGTGTGTGAGAGCGATAGAGTGTGTATGCATGTGTGTTTGGAGGCGTATAGTTGGGGGGTGGAAGATGTTTAGTTTCCCTACGTGTGATAGTCATCCCAATCTTATTAAGGGCTGCGTTCTTCCTCCCCTCCCCTCTCCTGCCTGCTGCTGTTGCCAGAGGGAGAGACCGTCGGGCTGCGCTGCTGAAAAGGCCTGAGCCAGATAGTCAATTCTCTTCTGCGTTTGCTGTCTTTACTTCCCTCTAGTACTCTGTCTGCCAGATGAAAATGTCAGGAGAAGCAGAAACTCTACCAAACGGGTAAGAGTTATGTAGATACTGCTGCGTGGTGAAGTGATAGGTACTGACAATGTGTTGAAGTAAACAGAGAGATGCTGAGTTTGTGGTTTTGTGTGTGTGTGTGTCTTTGAATGTGATATACTGTCACAATTAATCATTTCTGATTTTGACTATGATTGAGATAAGGGAGGATTCTTTAATTGAGCCGTATCTGGTAAAACTTGACAGGTTTTTTAAAGATCCACCTCATCTCTTTTGTCTGATGATTTCATTGTGTTTAGGAGCAGCTTGTTTTACTGCAGTATTGCTTTGTTTGCCTTTATTTTACTCAGTGTACAGTACTTTAATTCAATGGAAAATAACACTGGTGAAAGCAATCAGGAGGAATGCAGATAAAGCAATGTTTTGTCACTCTGTCTTTGTTTGTGTGTTTGTGTTCACCTGAGTGTGTGTGTGTGTGTGTGTGTGTGTGTGTGTGTGTTTGAGCGTCTCTCAGAGTAGTGATCTCTATTATGCAAGTTGCCCTCCAGAGAAATCATCATCGCAGAGTTGCTGACTTCAATTAATTAATTATCTGGATGTATACTATGCACAACCTTTCAGGAAACAATAGCCTCCATTGTGTGTACATTATCATGCCATTTCTCAGACCCACCTACAGCATGCCTCTATTGAGTTTATGGTTAACAGTCTTTATAAGTGTGCTATGTTCATTCAAATGGCCAGAGTAGCCAATACGCCATTGTTAAACTACATTGTCCTGCTTTAGCACTATCTCTTGAACAAGTCTTCTCGAGTTGTCCAATTTCCATCTGTACTCTCTGCTGGACAAGTTTGCTATCTTTGGTCTGATAAACAACATAACTAGCTCTCCAACATAACAGCCAAGTCACTTGACATTTTTGATGTGCGTCAGCAGGTTTTCTTTATTCAATAAGAAATATCACACTAAAGGTGGTGTGCTGATTGTAGCAACTGATTTGAAACTGGGCCTTATGGACCATTTAGATGGAAATACAGAAGCTACTAGAATGATTCCATCTTTATTTATCTTAATACTGCATTACTTTTCAGGTATTGCTTATACACTTCATTATAACTAAGTGAATTGAATACGTTCATGACTGTTCCTGCTCACCAACTGTGCAGGAAGTTACAGGCTGGTGCTGGTCATAGATTGGATGGATGGCATGGTCATCCCCATGTCATTAGCCTGTGAATGAGTGGAAATACAGGCTTGTTGTTCCATATGATCCCTAATGGACTCATTACAGTTTGAGCGATTTCAACCATGGTCTAGCACAGGGATGGGCAACTGGCGGCCCTCCCTTTTTTAGGCCCGTGAATCAATTTAGGAAATATAGAAACTCAGTCACGGGAACAGCAGTTTTTCTCTTGTTATGTCAGTCACTGACAGTCAATCAATTAGCCCATGTCAGCATTGTTTTTGTAGTAATCTAAACTTGTAGTAATCATGGTCGAATTACAGACCGGGGGGCCCCCATTGATTTAGTTAGTCACGCTCACTCAGATATCATATTAAAAACTGTAAACATTTCTCTCCATCCTATGGCAAAATGTGTAGAATTGCAGTAAATGAGCTGTAAAACGGCTAATCTTTCTCTCCGTCTCATGACAAAATGAGTAGAATTGCATGAAGTTAGTTATAAAATTGCAAAATCTTCTCTCCGCCGATGGCAAAATATGTAGAACTACAGCAAACTTGCTGTAAAACAGCAACATTTTCTCTACTCCCCATGGCGAAATGTACAGAATTGCAGGAAATTTACTCTAAAACAAAAAAAATGTCTCCACTGTCAAGAGCAGGGCCGCTAAAATGTTTGGCATGCAAGGTGGGGCCCCATTTTGGCCCCCAAAAGGCTAAGGCCGGCTCTGACTGCATGTGTGGGTATGGATGTGGGTACACAGACCCTCGAGTCACTTCGGCCCCTCATGATGAATTCAGATTTTTTGTGGGCCCCACCCCATCAAAGTTGCCCTGGTCTAGCATAAAGAAGTCCTCTGTATCACTGATCTGCAGGAATGTAAAAGGATGTCAGTTAGCCATCCTCATAGTAGAGATTCTCCTCAGTTGTGTAGGCCAGACTCCATTGTTTGGTTCAATACATTGTGTATGAAAAAAGTATGAAAATGTATGCACTCACTAACTGTAAGTCGCTCTGGATAAGAGCGTCTGCTAAATGACTAAAATGTTTTAAAAAATGGTGTCCATGAGCCCAATTTGCTGAGAAGACATTATGTCAACTTTGGGACTGTTAAGCTTGGGGTGTTTTAGGTATGGTACAGTTTGGCAAATAGTGTGACGAACCACCACTTTGTTGTGAACTTCAGAGCCCTCAGCCAAATTGTTGCTGTGTCTTTTTGGGTATAACTTCGGACAGTTTTCTTGTAACCTTTTTATGAAATGTTACTGAGGGCACACAGTAGCTTCAGAGGTACCTACTGTACCAGTAAATATCTGTTGTACACAAACATCAAAAATGTTAATCAATGAAAGTGCATAGTGCTCTATTGTTTGGTGCTCTATTGTTTTTAATGGAGAGGAGCCTTGACATCACCAACAGAGATTTGTTTGTTTGGGATGAAGATTCTAGCTTTATATGAAAAGATGTGGTGAACCCCAACTTATTTGGATTAAATCACCCATTTGAAAGACCCATAATTTGATGCCGAGCGAATGAGAAAGCTGCTCACTGAAGAAACTGAAAATAATCCAATAATCTTGTCAGATAAGAAAAATTTAGCTTTAGGCTGATAGCAGTAAAATAACACACACACTAGTAGATAGAACAGCAGTGAAAACCATGTACACTGAACAAAAATATAAACGCAACATGCAACAATTTCAAAGATTTTACTGAGTTACAGTTCATATAAGGAAATCAGTCAATTGAGATAAATAAATTAGGCCCTAATCTATGGATTTCAGATGACTGGGAATACAGATATGCATCTGTTGGTCACAGATACCTTAAAAAAAAAAAAAGTATGGGCGTGGATCAGAAAACCAGTCAGTATCTGGTGTGACCACCATTTGCCTCATGCAGCGTGACCTCTCCTTCACATAAAGCTGATCAGGCTGTGGTACACGTCGATCCAGAGCATCCAAAACATGTTCAATGGTGACATGTCTGGCAACAGCTCTGGTGGACCTTCCTGCAGTTAGCATGCCAATTGCACACTCCCTCAAAACTTGAGACATCTGTGGCATTGTGTTGTTAGACAAAATTGAACATTTTAGAATAGCCATTATTGTCCCCAGCACAAGGTGCACCTGTGTAATGATCATGCTGTTTAATCAGCTTCTTGATATGCCACACCTGTCAGGTGGATGGATTATCTTGACAATGGATAAATGGTCACTAACAGGGATGTAAACAAATTTGTGCACAACATTTGAGAGAAAAAAGCTTTTTGTGCATATGGAACATTTCTGGGATCTTTTATTTCAGCTCATGAAACATGGGACCAACACTTTACATGTTGCATTTATATTTTTGTTCAGTATAAAAGCCTGCTCAGATTGGGTGGGAAAGTGGGACAATATCATGACCTGCGCTCTTCACAGAACGTTTGGAGGTTGTCCGTGTTCCTCTTGCCCCCCAATAAATACAGAACAGGGGCACTTCAGCAGAGCTGCCTGGGAGAGAAAATAAGTGACGTGGCTCTTTTTAAAGATATCTGTTAATGTAGATAGCCAGTGAAGTGCTCCTTTGTAGTTAAAGCTGTGTCATGCTACTTTACAGACTGCTACTCTACATAGAACTCAGACATTTCACCTAGTTGACATGAAAAAACAAATAGGTTTTGTCCTGGGGTTCATTCATAAAATAATAGAATACATTTAGGTCCACTGGGAAGTTGGCAGTAATCAGCTTCTTTCATTCAACAATGTAAACCTAATTTATCAGAGGTAAATTATTTACTTTTCTGAGGGGATGTCAAGAATATAATGTGTTATTCTAACATTTAGGTCCTGCACTGGGAACCAATGGGTAGGTACTTAATTGACCAACCCTTCATCTCTCTCTTTCCCCTTTCCCCCTTTTCTGTATCTCAGGTCCCTGAAGTCGGACCTGTCTTTGGCCCTGGAGGACTGCATGGCAGCAATGGACCTGTTCCTGAGGAATGACTTTGAGGAGGCCCTGTCCAGGCTTCGCTGCAGGTGAGAGACTTGTGCCCTGGTCATGTGTGTCCACACAGCTGGCTGGTGGAAATACACAATGTGAGTGGTGCTACAGTGTACACTCTGGGCTAGTTTAATAAACACCACCACCTCTCCTGTTTGACACCCCTTCAGCATTGTGTTCAAACACACCATCATCAGGTTTCTTACATTTCCCCTGTGAATTTTCCCCTCCATTATCATAACCTTCTCAACATTCAATCTTTTCTCTTCTTTGGCCACTCCCGAGTCCCAGTTTCTCTCCAGCCCTCCCTAGTGTGTTTTCCATTTCTCATCCCTTCACTGTTTCACAACTCAATGGATGCCCTTTATCCCTTTCAGTTCCCATGCTGATATCCTGTCTTAGTTCTGAATACATGGTAGCCTAGTCTACGTATACAATTAAGGAAATATTTACCCCAGAGGATAATCTCTCCAAACCTCTGGCTCTTACCACCCAAGGCTTGGCATATTCTGTCAGCTGTCACCCTGGGGCGAGACAAGGGGAGTGATGGTAGACTGAGTTATGTAGGCAGAGCAAAGGTTTAGGTACTTAAACTCCCCTATGGCTTCCTTTGTTTGCTATTCCAAGAAAACCTTTGTGAGAAAAGCCTCAAGAAGGCCTCCACGTCATCAGCATCCTAGTGTGTAATATTACCTTATGTGTTTGTTGAGCATAGGTTTACACAGCATTATGTGGTAGAACAGTGATTAGAGAAAATCTACGGAAGGAAAAAACCTGTAGAGAAAGCCTGCGGTGCTGAAATAGCAGTGACTCGCTCTCTCTATCTCTTCTCCCCCCCCCCCCCCCCCTCCCATATACTAAACACTTTTTTGGTTACTACATGATTCCATATGTGTTATTTCATAGTTTTGATGTCTTCACTATTATTCTACAATGTAGAAAATAGTAAAAATAAAGAAAAACCCTGCAATGATTAGGTGTGTCCAAACTTTTGACTGGTACTGTGTGTATATATATATATATATATATATATATGGGTGGTTTATATTTAGGATAATATTGTACAGCTTTTTCATTCTATTTTTGTGTTTTAAAATCTTCTTATTAGATTTGGTTTTAAATATGTGACAAGGCCACACAGAGGGCCAGAGATAATTACAGAAACCTGTGATAATCTGAAGTACCCAAAAAGGCCTATAGATGTCATCTGATAAAATTCCATATATTCCTTTAACGTTACCAAAATTCTGATAGTTTAATAATAATAATAATAATAATATGCCATTTAGCAGACGCTTTTATCCAAAGCGACTTACAGTCATGCGTGCATACATTTTTGTGTATGGGTGGTCCCGGGGATCGAACCCACTACCTTGGCGTTACAAGCGCCGTGCTCTACCAGCTGAGCTACAAGTTTACAGGTAAACTTTGAAAGTTTCCAGTAATATACCCTCCCTTTGCAACCCTACTCATGTTGGTACTTTCAACAAGTCATTAAACGTGAGGGCTGTCAGGTTATGTCATTCACACTGAAGCATGTGGAGAAAGAGCCACTTTTCTACTGCTGGCTGTCTCTTTTGAAGGTAATGTTTTTTGCAGGACGTTAGATTAGATTTACCAGTGATGGTGATTAGGCTTCAGGAGATAGGAGTTTAGGCCTGTCACAGTCACACCACCGGCCCTTGTCCATCTCCACAACAGTCAACAACAGAAGGCAGGCAGGAGGCACAAACATCCCAATTCATGGCCTGTTTTTACCATTCTGCTCTCCTGACTAAATATCTCCTGATTTATGTCTCCCCTTTAAATAATGTGTATGGTTTTTTTATGTGACATACATTTGATGATAAAGTGTATATTTACACATTGTGAAAGTGAGTCACACAAAAATAAAAACTTTATTTTCGATAGGTAAGGAACCCAGGACGACACTACTCATCTTGTGGCTGATAGACTAATGATTTTTTAAGTGCTGCTTCTTTTTGTACAGAAGTCTTCTCAGTTGTCGCATGAGTTGTTTTGTGGTCTATGGCAGTCAAATATCAGGCATGCAGACATGCGACATTCCAGTGAAGAGACCTTTGTCGCACCAGCATTGTCCTATAGCCACTGGGACTATGGCGGAACTTGCTGGGAACCAGTCAGACCAGCACTCTTGGGTGTGCATTGTCAGACCCGCAGTGTCACATTCAGGGACTTAACATGGGCCTGTTTCCAAGGGAACATATAACTTAGGGTATTTTCACATATAGTTATATTTTTAAAAAATGATCTCAGTCCTCTTTAAAGTGAACTCTCGGGTAAAAAAAAAGCAAAATAACTCTGTTCTCTTTGCATTCACACTGCCCTTGCCTTTGAATGAGGACTCAACTCTTTTGCCAGTTCACTTCACCTATTTTGTGGTCTGTCCTGTTTGCATTCACAATGCTATGTTTAGAAAGGAACCAAGATCTTTTTCCACCATTCACTCAATGCACTCTGGGTTTTTACAAAGTGCAGGACAAGCCATTCCATCAGAATGTGTTATCGGACAGCTAGATATACCTACTTCTAATAGATTGCATTTAGTTAAAAGATTACACATAATAATTGTAATCAGAAGATACTATTAACATGTAAATATTATTGGTAACAGAATAAATAGCAGAAGAATAACTGCAGATTAAATAATGCTGTAATCGAAAATTGTACACCCAATGTAGGCTACTGCCCCTTTAAGAGCTAGAATGAATTTTGTACCCTATGTTGCGATTCTCATGCTATTCAAACACTACAATCGAATAAACAGCTTATGAAGCTCTCTTAGCCTATAGATCACATATTGCAAACAAATAATCTGAACTAAAAACTCCACACGTGTTTTGGAATTTCTGTGCATCCTTGACAATCGCTAATCAATAGGCCTAACCAAAAACAGCACACGTTTTTTTCTGCGAACATGCACATCATCATCTTCTCTCTATTGTGGCTCCAATGTGAGAGGGTTTATGGCAGGGGAAACGGTGTTGCAATAGTCTAGTGTGTGGTGCGGGAATAATGACAAGCAAACCTGGGGAGCTTTTATGTTCACGTTTCCCTAAAAAAGGGAACCGGACTGCGGAATTCAAGCGAACCGAAGTCAGACCACCTCTCGAGATGGTCTCAGTTCAGTTCGCTTCAGGGGCTCTTTTGAGGGGTCTGAGTTCCTTTGGTGTGTTCACACTGCACAAAAAATTAAGCGAACTGAGTTCAGAAAAAATTGGTTGAAAGGGACCAAGTGTGAAAACACCCTTAACTTCAAGTAGCTGGGCTTTTAAAGAGTATTTGGTCAGAAAATACATTAAATATACTACATATTGAATGTCAATGATTATATACTTATACTTTGACAGTAAGGACCATCGGGTTCTTGGTCACCTCCCTGACCAAGGCCCTTCTCCCCCGATTGCTGAGTTTGGCCGGGCGGCCAGCTTTAGGAAGAGTGGTTCCAAACTTCTTCCATTTAAGAATGATAGAGTCCACTGTGTTCTTGGGGACGTTCAATGCTGCAGAAATTTTTTGGTACCCTTCCACAGATCGGTGCCTCGACACAATCCTGTCTCGGAGTTATACGGACAATTCCTTCGGTTTGGTTTTTGCTCTGACATGCACTGTCAACTGTTGGACCTTATATAGACAGGTGTGTGCCTTTCCAAATCATGTCCAATAAATTGAATTTACCACAGATGGACTCAAAGTTGTAGAAACATCTCAAGGATGATCAATGGAAACAGGATGCACCTGAGCTCAATTTCGAGTCTCATAGCAAAGGGTCTGAATACTTATGTAATTAAGGTATTTCTGTTTTTTATTTTTAATACATTTGCAAAAATTTCGAAAAACCAGTTTTCATTTTGTCATTATGGGGTATTATGTGTAGATTGCTGAGAAAAAAAATAATTGAATCCATTTTAGAATAAGGCTGTAATGTAATAAAATGTGGAAAAAGTCAAGGGGTCTGAATACTGAATACCATTTTTTGGGACGCAATGCGCGTCATGGGAAAAACCATTAAAAAACCATTAAAATAAAAACAGAAATATTTACTACACAACAAACATAATAGGATAAAAACAAAAGAATAGCAATAAAACTCAAAGACTCAAAAACACCTTAAGGTGTGACTTGTTAAGCAAATCTTTTCTCTCCAACTTATTTAGGCATGCCATATCAAAGGGGTTGAATACTTATTGACTCAAGACATTTTACATTATGGGGTATTGTGTGTAGGCCATTGACAAAAACAATTATTTTAAAATCAGGCTGTAACACAACAAAAGGTGGAAAAAGTCAATCGGCATGAATACTTTCTGAAGGCACTGTGTACTTGAGCTCCTCTTTTCACGACGTGCAAAGGAATCTTTTTTGTTGAGTTATCTGATTTGCATTTTGAGAAGGCAACAATAGCTGCTAAAAATAGAGCTGAATATTTCTGTGCTGTCTTTTTTTTCCCCTTCCTAGAACCAAAGACAGCATGTACCATGCGCTCACATACGCCACCATACTGGAGATGCAGGCCATGATGACCTTTGACCCGGAGCACATCCTGGCAGCTGGCAACACCATGAAGGAGGCTCAGGCAGTGTGTCAGCGGTAAGGCTCATTTGTAAAGGGTCCACATTCTAAGAGCAGGAAAATGTCTCAGCACACACTTCCAGTTAGATGCACATTTCTGTAATTGTGGATGAGCTTTCTTCAGTCTACCTTCATCAGAGCATGTCTCCACAAACAATAGTGGGACAGATAAGGCCACACAGTGAGCCAGAGGTAATTACAGACACCTGTGGTAATCTAAAGTACCCAAAAGGGCCACTAGATGTCATAATAGCAGATAGAAATACAGTACAAATACTAGATAGAACAGAACATATTATAGATGTATTTCTACTAGAACAAAATGCATGTACAAATAAAACATTTGGTGTTAGTATAAGGAACCCATACTCTCAAAAAGTGAGCAATACAGCCGAAAAGGGGCAACAAAAAAATGGGTCCACATAAACATTATTTTTATTTAATGAATTCAAAAACAAAAGTTTAGACTCAGTGGTAAGGCTCCCTTATCATATCTATTCAATCATGAAGAGAGGAATCACATGCTCTGATCAGGTGTAACCACTTTGTGAATTGCGTAACACGTGTTTATAACCAAATAAGTCACATTTAACTCTCATATTATGAACAACAACAATATACAGAGGAAATCCATTTGGCTCTGGATAAACCCGGCCATTCCAGTGGGGAAAGCCTCTGGCTATTTTGGGAGATGTCCATCCTGGTCTGTGGTGGCTGGTGAGCTCCATGTTCTGTGAGATAATCACAGAGCAGATATCACCCAGGTCCTATCAGATCTTGCTGGCTGGGGGAGTTTGAGTGGCCTGTAACAGTGAGCTCTGGAGTTGTGAAAATGTCCTGTACGGACACACCTTTCCAAAGGGTGGGACACACACACAAACTCCCGGACTGGGCCTGCCACACCTTCTGAGACCCTGAGGGGGCAGGGGAACCCCATGACACAACCAGCTGTCTGGCTACGAGGCCCAGGACCCTGTGTTCATCTGGGAGACGCTCTACATTTTATCAACATAAGCTATGGAATGTGGCTGGGCCACACTGATTTGCATGAATTGTAGATATTAAACCTCCTGTAAAAGTTGTACTTGCATAGATGTTTTCCCATAGATCACTAATCGACAGTGGTTACAGTAAACCACTCATTATATGTGTGTATCTACCTTAATCCATATTATTCATCTAATTCAGATACTGAAACCTGATTTTTGTTAGAAATACCTGTCAATGTCTCTCTGAATGTGGTTACTACATGTCACCGTTTTTCAATATCCAAGCACAGGAATGTGTTGAATTCCCAGATTCTTAGCTCACACATCCACAGACTGGTGTTGAGTTGTTGTGAACCAACTCTGCTATGTCTGTCTCATCAAACACTGTAATGTGGCATGTTGGATTTGGTGTGTAATGAAAATAAAGTGAATTCTCTCCCAGGTTCCGCAAGAAGTCAACCTTTAGCAACAGAAACTCCACAGAAGGTTAGTATGGTTGGAACATACTTATTACTTCAGTACATTCCACTTAGACATAGACATATTGTTTTACCACAGGCCTCTTATCTTATCACTCTTATCACTAGTGTAAATGTAACAATGTTTTTTATAGTTGTGTATTCCTAAGTAAATTAAACACAGCTACTGTGAAACTGGAGAATATACTCTGTTTTGAGAGATTTTAATTTATTACACCTTTACTTCAAGCCATCATGGTTGTTCACTAGTTGAGAATACAGTTTAAAATGTGTTTCTTGTCTGTGGGTTTATTGTGCAGCCCCCTGCTGATGTAGTGGTTTCAGGATGTCAGATGATAATAAGTGTGCTGTCATTTTCACCTCAGAGGAACTCCATGCTGAAGTGTGCTATGCAGAATGTCTCCTGCAGAGGGCAGCACTCACCTTCCTTCAGGTAACCCACTTCTACCGCAACATCAGCAACACACACCCACTGACACTCACTATCTCGCTGAAGCGAAGCACTGATACAGATTAAAAAAGTTAATTGTGCATTTATGATATTGTTCTTTGTATCCTTAAACATTTTCTTTCCCCCTGTTTTTGTAGGATGAAAACATGATCAGTTTCATCAAGGGAGGAATTAAAGTGAGGAATAGCTACCAGACATATAAGTAAGTACTCTTGATGTAGTGCATGGCCCTTATAGTGCATTCCCCTTATGTCTCAACTCATTCTATAGTAAAGAATGTATATCTGTATTTCAGAGAGCTTCATACGGTCCTCCAGTCCTCTAGCTACGTCCATGGTGACAATCATGGGCATTTTGAAGGCGGGGTCAAGCTTGGAGTGGGAGCCTTCAACCTGGTGAGGGAAATGCTTCATGTCAACAATGTTTGTGGTCCAGTTTGCTGGGCTGGTAGACTGTAAAGAAGGACCCTTTGGGGTGTTATGGTTATAGCTACTCTGTGTAACTCAAAGCATGGTCCTGATTGGTACAATATGTAATTGTATCTGGCTCATCTTCTCACTCTGTGTTCTTGGGTTGTGTACAGATGATCTCCATGCTGCCCACTCGTACCCTCAAGTTGCTGGAGTTTGTGGGTTTCTCTGGAAATAAGGTAGGTTTCCTACTGTTAGCCAGGTGGCCCTGAGATTACGTGTGAGATGCTGGGCTAAGCTAAGCCCCCTGTGTCCTGTGTTGTGTGTGTCTGTAGGAGTTTGGCTTGCAGCAGCTGATGGAGGGCTCAGCAGGGCAGACGTTCAGGTCCTTCCTATGTAATATGCTGCTGCTGTGCTACCACACCTTTATGAGCTTCATCCTGGGTGAGAGAAAGACTGATGTTACCACACATCAAATGTTACCACACTGACCTTTTCAACTGCCAAAACAAGCTCTATGCTGTAGCCTAGCCACATTCTGGTTGGTGTTCACCTCTCCGGGAAAAAGGAAAACCCTGGTCATATCTTGCACGAATGTCCTAAACTAACATTAAATAACACCTCCTTACGGCTTGCAGGCACTGGGGAAGCGGATGTGGAGGATGCAGAGAAACTCCTTCAGCCTTATCTCAAACAGTATCCTAAGGTCAGTGAGGACATTGTAGCATGTACACTGAGTATACACCTGCTCTTTCCATGATGTAGACTGACCAGGTGAATCCATCTTATTGATGTCACTTGTTAAATCCACTTAAATTAGTGTAGATGAAGGGGAGGAGACAGGTTAAAGAAGGATTGTTAAGCCTTGAGACAATTGAGACATGGATTGTGCCATTCAGAGGGTGAATGGGAAAAACAAAAGATTTAAGTGCTTTTGAATGGGGTATGGTCGTAGGTGCCAGGCACACCGGTTTGTGTCAAGAACTGCAACACTGCTAGGTTTTTCACACTCAACAGTTTCCTGTGTGTATCAACAATGTTCCTAATGTTTGGTATACTCAGTGTACAGTTAAATCATATTCCATTTGTATTGACTTTGTGAAACTACTGTGAATTATTTAGTGCATAGGCTTGTACACACACTCATTCCCATCAAAACAGTTCATAGTGTGTTGTTTTTAGGGATCCATCTTTTTGTTCTTCGCTGGTCGGATTGAGGTTATCAAAGGACACCTGGATGCTGTGAGTGTGCATCAATGATTCTGACTACTACCAAAATGATTGTGTTTAGACTACAAATCTGGCCAGCTGTCACATGTATTCATATGTGTGTGTTTGTAACAGGCTATAGAGCGCTTTGAGGAGTGCTGTGAAGCTCAGCAGCAGTGGAATCAGTTCCATCACATGTGCTACTGGGAGCTGATGTGGTGTTTCACATACAAGAGACATTGGAAGATGGCCTACTTCTACGCTGATCTGCTCAGCAAAGAGAATGCATGGTCCAAGGTGGGACATTCTGCAGTAATTGTATTTATGCATATCAGTTCTATATAGTGCAGTATGAAGGACATCTGTTTCAGTACACTAATGGTTGCATTATCTCGCTGGCAAATGCGACAGTCTTAACAGAATATAGATTTGTTTGTTTAACAGCTTTTAATGTATTCCACTTAGTCTCTAGAGGGACAAATCTATGTTGATGCTTACAGAGTTACAGTAGTAACACATGCACATTTCCCTCCAGGCAACATATGCGTATATGAAAGGTGCCTACCTCAGCATGCTGACCAGGGAGGAATGCCAACCATTCAGGGAGAGCGAGGTAGCGCTATTCAGGTAGGTCACTGCAACAAACAAACCCCTGTGTCACCAAACTGTTGGAAAAGATTGTTTGACCAAAGACCATGCTATTTCTCTGTAAACAAATGAACAACAGACTTTCAGCATGCTTATAGAGAAGGGCGCTCAACATGTACTGCACTGACACAAATGACTAATGATTGGTTGAAAGAAATGTATAATAAGAAGATTGTGGGAGCTGTACTGTTAGATTTCAGTGTTGCCTTTGATATTATTGACCATAACCTTTTGTTGAAAAATATTTATGTGTTATGGCTTTTCAACCGCTGCCATATCGTGGATTCAGAGCTATCTGTCAAATAGAACTCAGAGGGTTTTCTTTAATGGGAGCTTCTCTAATGTCAAACATGTAAAGTGTGGTGTACTGCAGTGCAGCTCTCTAGGCCCTCTACTCTTTTCTATTTTTACCAATGACCTGCCTCTGGCATTAAATGAAGCATGTGTGTCCATGTACAGAGCATTCGGAAAGTATTCAGACCCCTTGACTTTTTCCAAATTTTGTTATGTTACAGCCTTATTCTAAAATTGATTACATAATTTTTTCTCCTCATCAATCTACACACAATACCCCATGATGACAAAGCAAAAACAGTTTTTTTTATAAATGTTGCAAAAAAACAGAAATACCTTATTTACATAAGTAAATTGATTGGACATGATTTGGAAAGGCACACCCCTGTCCCGAGACCCTTTGCTATGAGACTCAAAATTGAGCTCAGGTGCATCCTGTTCCCATTGATCATCCTTGAGATGTTTCTACAACTTAGCCTGTGGTATATTCAATTGACTGGACATGATTTGGAAAGGCACACACCTGTCTATATATGTCCCACAGTTGACAGTGCATGTCAGAGCAAAAATCAAGCCTTGGGGTCGAAGGAATTGTGCTTTGAGCTCCGAGACAGGATTGGGTCGAGGCACAGATCTGGGGAAGCGTACCAAAACATCTCTGCAGCATTGAAGGTCCCCAAGAACACAGTGGCCTCCATCATTCTTAAATGGAAGAAGTTAGGCGCCACCAAGACTATTCCTAGAGCTGGCCGCCCGGCCAAACTGAGCAATCGGGGAGAAGGGCCTTGGTCAGGGAGGTGACCAAGAACCCGATGGTCACTCTGACAGAGCTCCAGAGTTCCTCTGTGGAGATGGGAGAACCTTCCAGAAGGAAAACCATCTCTGCAGCACTCCACCAATCAGGCCTTTATGGTGGAGTGGCCAGACGGAAGCCACTCCTCAGTAAAAGGCACATGACAGCCCGCTTGGAGTTTTCTAAAAGGCACCTAAAGGACTCTCAGACCATGGGAAACAAGATTATCTGGTCTGATGAAACGAAGATTGAACTCTTTGGCCAGAATGCCAAGCGTCACGTCTGGAGGAAACCTGGCACCATCCCTACGGTGAAGCATGGTGGTGGCAGCATCATGCTGTGGGGATGTTTTTCAGTGGCAGGGACTGGGAGACTAGTTAGGATCGAGGGAAAGATGAACGGAGCAAAGTACATAGAGATCCTTGATGAAAACCTGTCCAGAGCACTCAGGACCTCAGACTGGGGAGAAGGTTCACCTTCCAACAGGACAACGACCCTAAGCACACAGCCAAGACAATGCAGGATTGGCTTCGGGACAAGTCTCTGAATGTCCTTGAGTGGCCCAGCCAGAGCCCAGACTTGACCCGATCAAACATCTCTGGAGAGACCTGAAAATAGCTGTGCAGCGCTCCCCATCCAACCAGACAGAGCTTGAGAGGATCTGCAGAGAAGAATGGGAGAAACTCCCCAAATACAGCTGTGCCAAGCTTGTAGCTTCATACCCAAGAAGACTCGAGGCTGTAATCGCTGCCACAGGTGCTTCAACAAAGTACTGAGTAAAGGGTCTGAATACTTATGGAAATGTGATATTTCAGGGGGGTTTTTGTTAGTGTTTTTGCCAAAAAATAAATAAAAAGTGTATTTGCTTTGTCATTATGGGATATTGTGTGTAGATTGATGAGGGCAAAAAAAACAATTTTATCAATTTTAGAATAAGGCTGTAACAAAATGTGGAAAAAGTCAAGGGGTCTGAATACTTTCTGAATGCACTGTATGCTGATGATTCAACCATATACGCATCAGCAGCCACAGCTAATGAAGTCACTGAAAACCTTAACAAAGAGTTGCAGTCCGTTTTGGAATGGGTGGCCAGTAATAAACTGGTCCTGAACATTTGTAAAACTTATAGCATTGTATTTGGTACAAATCATTCCCTAAGTTCTAGACCTCAGCTGAGTCTGGTAACGAATGGTGTTGCTGTTGAACAAGTTGAGGAGACTAAATTACTTGGTGTTGCCTTATTGTAAACTGTCATGGTCAAAACATATAGATTCAGTGGTTGTAAAGATGGGGAGAGGTCTGTCCGTAATAAAGAAATGCTCTGCTTTTTTCACTCCACAAAGCAAGTCCTGCAGGCACTAGTTTTATCTTATCTTGATTATTGTCCAGTCATATGGTCAAGTGATGCAAAGAAAGACCTAGTTAAGCTGCAGCTGGCCCAGAACAGAGCGGTACATCTTGCTCTTCATTGTAATCAGAGGACTAATGTAAATACTATGCATGCCAGTCTCTCTTGGCTAGGAGTTGAGGAAAGACTGACTGCGTCACTTCTTGTTTTTATAAGAAACAAAAAGATTTGTTGGAAATTCCTAATTGTTTGCACACAGACACAGCGCTGACACACACACTTACCCCACCAGACATGCCACCAGGGGTCTTTTCACAGTCCCCAGGTCCAGAACAAATTCAAGGAAACGTACAGTATTATACAGAGCCATGAGTACATGGCTCTGTATTCCATCTTACAGTTGAAGTTGGAAGTTTACATACACCTTAGCCAAATACATTTAAACTCAGTTTTTCACATTTCCTGACATTTAATCCTAGTAGCCTTCAAACGTTTCGGGTAGCCTTCCACAAGCTTCCCACAATAAGTTGGGTGAATTTTGGCCCATTCCACATGACAGAGCTGGTGTAACTGAGCAAGTTTTGTAGGCCTCCTTGCTCGCACACGCTTTTTCAGTTCTGCCCACACATTTTCTATAGGATTGAGGTCGGGGCTTTGTGATGGCCACTCCAATACCTTGACTTTGTTGTCCTTAAGCCATTTTGGCACAACTTTGGAAGTATGCTTGGGGTCATTGTCCATTTGGAAGACCCATTTGCGACCAAGCTTTAACTTCCTGACTGATGTCTTGAGATGTTGCTTCAATATATCCACATAATTTTCCTTCCTCATGACGCCATCTATTTTGTGAAGTGCACCAGACCCTCCTGCAGCAAAGCACCCCAACAGCATGATGCTGCCACCCCCATGCTTCACGGTTGGGATGGTGTTCTTCGGCTTGCAAGCATCCCCCTTTTTCCTCCAAACATAACGATGGTCATTATGGCCAAACAGTTCTATTTTTGTTTCATCAGACCAGAGGACATTTCTCCAAAAAGTACGATCTTTGTCCCCATGTGCAGTTGCAAACCATAGTCTGGCTTTTCTATGGCGGTTTTGAAGCAGGGGCTTCTTCCTTGCTGAGCGGCCTTTCCGGTTATGTCGAAATAGGACTCATTTTACTGTGGATATAGATACTTTTGTACCTGTTTCCTCCAGCATCTTCACAAGGTCCTTTGCTGTTGTTCTGGGATTGATTTGCACTTTTCACACCATCTCTAGGATACAGAACGCGTCTCCTTCCTGAGCGGTATGGCGGCTGCGTGGTCCCATGGTGTTTATATTTGCTTACTATTGTTTGTACAGATGAACGTGGTACCTTCAGACGTTTGGAAATTGCTCCCAATGATGAACCAGACTTGTGGAGGTCTACAAATGTTTTTCTGAATTCTTGGCTGATTTCTTTTCATTTTCCCATGATGTCAAGCAAAGAGGCACTGAGTTTGAAGGTAGGCCTTGAAATACATCCACAGGTACACCTCCAATTGACTCAAATGATGTCAATTAGCCTATCAGAAGCTTCTAAAGACATGACATCATTTTCTGGAATTTTCCAAGCTGTTTAAAGGCACAGTCAGCTTAGTGTATGTAAACTTCTGACCCACTGGAATTGTGATACAGTGAATTATAAGTTAAATAATCTGTCTGTAAACAATTGTTGGAAAAATTACTTGTGTCATGCACAAAGTAGATGTCCTAACCGACTTGCCAAAATTATTGTTTGTCAACAAGACATTTGTGGAGTGGTTGAAAAACTAGTTTTAATGACTCCAACCTAAGTGTATGTAAACTTCCGACTTCAACTGAATATAGCGCAAGTGAAGAGCAAATCTGGTTTCAAAAAAATTAATAAAGCAACACCTCATGGCACAACGTCTCTCCCCCATGTGACCTACTTGTGTAGGTATGTAGTGTGTATGTAGTGACATGTATGTGTAACTGAAAGATGCACACACACACACACTACATGTTCATGTTTTTAAATGTATGTAAATTGTAACGTTTTTTGTCTGTAATGCCTTTTTTCGTTATGTCAGATCCCAGTAAGACTAGCTGTCGCCATTGTTAATGGGGATCCTAATAAATAATAATACATTTAAAAAAACATAATGCTTTGTACTCTATTCATTTATTTTTACCCAGACATTTGAGATAATCAAGTTATTCTATCCAAATGAATCTATATCTTATATGTATCTATTGTCTATCCATTCCAGGCAGGTACATGGGCTTAAGCAGAAAATTGCTGGAAAGTCTTTGCCAACTGAGAAGTTTGCCATCCGAAAAGCCCGTCGCTACCTGACTGAGAACCCCGTAACACTACCTGCACCTCCTCTGGTCAGTACAAGTCTCCAAATCCCAACCCTAGGTGACTCTTTTGGCATAGAAGAACTGAGTCACTGCCAATGTCACTACCTTATCCGCTTAAATAAAATCCAAAATGTAGCTAGCAAGGTTATTGTTAATGAGTGCATTTCGCAAGTGGGTAGTTTGCATCAACTACCTTCACTAAAACAACTGGAATGGTTTTGCCTGCAAACTTTGGTTTCAAATCGCAACGTTCTGGCATGTCTGCCTCGTGATTTGTTGGGAAAGTTGTCTGTCTGAAGAGGACCCATCACAGAATTTATTTTCTCCATTATCGAAGTTGCCAAAAGAATCCGTCATTGAAACCAGACCCTAGTCACTGTTGCCTAGGGTCGGGTTTTCAAGACTAGGTCAGTACTGCGTGGTCTGACCACATGCTCACTATTAAAGTGTAACTGTGACACCCTGTGGCCTTGTCTGTCCTCTGCAGGAGATGATGTACATCTGGAACGGCTACACAGTCATCGGGAAACACAAAGACCTGACAGAGGGCATGCTGAAAACACTGGATGAGGCACAGGCAAAACTCAAAAGTAGGCCAAGTAAGTAACACAAACTCATGTCCCCCTGGAGAGTTGATATTGCCTCTACACATTCATTTAGGAACATCATTAATGCTTGGAGTCTAGTGTGTGAGAGTGATGGGGCCTGAGTGTTGTATGTTGTGTTCCTCAGGGACCGAGTTCACCATAGACGACCAGTGTCTGGTGAGCCTGCTTAGAGGTCTCTGTCTGAAGCACCTGGGACACCAGGAGGAGGCTGAGCACTACTTCACCCACGTCCTCTGCAAGTGAGCTCAACACACACCAATATTCAGCACACACTCACATTTTCACAATATGACAGTAGAAGATACCTACTCGATTACTATTCCTTACAAGTTTAGCAAATACCTCCTTTCTTGTTTAAATCCTGATCTCTGCTGTATTTTTACTCTTGTCAGTGAAACACAGATCAAGTTTGATCACTACTTGGTTCCCAATGCACTGCTGGAGCACGGGCTGCTATGTCTGGAACAAGGGAGGAAGGAGGAGGGAATCAAACTACTGGAGACAGCCAAGTGAGTGTCTTGGTTCTTACACAACATAATTATCTCTACCCATCCCAATACAGTAGTTCATTGGAATTCTTAAACATGACTTATTTGCAATAATTCTATAAGAAAAGACAGTTAAATCATCTGGTCAATCTTTTTAATTGTTCTGCTCTTTCCCCAATATTTACAGGCAAAATTACAAAAACTACTCCATGGAATCACGGACACATTTCAGAATCCAGGCTGCTTTGCACAAGGCCAAGGCCACAGGCGAGAATGGAATTCACACCATGCCCTCCAGCCCGTAGCTGGTGTGGGCAAAACAGGGCCAAAGTCCAGCCATCCCAAAGTGCACAGCCCAATGCAGCAGGGATGAGGCAGAGTACCAAACCACCCACTACCAGCAACAAGTGCTTGACTTGCCAGCCATCGAGCTTTCAGAAAGACACACAACACTACACAAGCATTCTGTACACTAAACAGTCAAAAGCATACAGACACTAGTATTTACTCAGACAAAGAAATTCTACGCAATATATAGAAAATACCTCACTGATGGATGGAGATGTACAGGGTCACATCCGTCTATTGCAAAAACCTATTAGTTACCAATGCCTGAATATTCTCCCTCTAGTATAAATACATACATTCACTGACAAACGGGTATTTTCACACCTGTCACAAGGGTTTCTGCAACATATAGTATTTGAGTGGTTAACGGTATTCTCCTTCCTGGGTTTTTCCCTCTGCTCGGAGCTAATGACTAAAATCACTGTGGCCAATCTTGGACAATGTCTGTCTTGGGTTGACCATGTTATATGGCAGATAACCTCCTGCCCTAATGCCTTGATCTCTGTGATTATTCTACTGGATTTATTCTTATTTCTTCATTTTCACCCTCCTTTCCCGACTCTGAACAGCTCAATGGAAGTTTTGGCACATTGGAAAATAGTGCCCACTGACTGCACAAAGTTAAATCATCCAGCCATGCAAACTCACATTGCAGGAATACACGTGATGGTAGGGGGTTATTTTGTCTGTGTTTATGTATTAACTTCAATGGCGACTTTTACAAAATTGTCCCGTTTTAAGTGGACAGATGAATGTGTCTTTTAGAAAGGCAGACTCCTTCCTTGTTATCTTCATGTGGACACAACCCAACAGTACTTGAGCACAAACAAACAAGTCTTTCAGATTGACACAGGAAAACCAGGCTGCCAATTCCATCTGTAGTGAGTGAAGCTTTGACAACCACTAGAGCCTTCCATATATAAATATACAGCTCCAACATCAACCTATACAAGAATGGCTTATAGGAAACTATTATATATTAAATAGTTCCTTTCCTGTGTAATAAATTAGCTAATAGACTGTGTATGACCAATGTTATTTGTAATTAGAAAAAGGGTTACCTTTTTTCATGTTCTATGACTATTTAAACTCTTATGTACAACAAGATGAGTATCCAAACCCAAGCTTCTAGAATGGTGTCTCAAGTTTAAATGTTGTAATCAGAACTGATTTATTGATACTTAGAATACGGTTTTAAGTGAAAGCAATTGACCAGGAGTCCATTTAGACTTTTCTAAAGGGGAGAGGAAATGTAGACATTGATTTATTTTAAATATAGAGATGATTGTAGTTTGGGATGTTCTAATGATTATGTTAGACATTTTCTTGTTTTGTTCCATGGTTTTATTTTAATTAACTGACATTAGTACAAACAATCTTATTGGCACTGTGATGTTGAGGTCAGCATATTATATGGGTCATGGCTACTAAACAGATTGACATTCCTGGACCTGTACATGCTGAATGTTTGATTTGTAATTTAAGATTAAATGATCAAATAAGTAACTCAAATTTAGTCTGGTTATTTTTTTTACTTTTGTATGACCCCTTTGCTTTTGGATAACTTGATGAACTGCACTCTGAACACCAAGCTGCTGTCTGGATTTCAAATTGGTTATTGTTTGTGTATGTATTTCATATAACAGTCTAAAGTGACTAAGAACAGTCAAAACTGCCATATTGCTTTCACTTATAACAGATGCAGCGCTCCTAGTGGCCGGGGACTTTAATGCAGGGAAACTTAAATCCGTTCTACCTAATTTCTACCAGCATGTTAAATGTGCAACCAGAGGAAAAAAAACTCTAGACCACCTTTACTCCACACACAGAGACGCATACAAAGCTCTCCCTCGCCCTCCATTTGGCAAATCTGACCATAACTCTATCCTCCTGATTCCTGCTTATAAGCAAAAACTAAAGCAGGAAGCACCAGTGACTCGGTTAATAAAAAAGTGGTCAGATGACGCAGATGCTAAGCTACAGGACTGTTTTGCTAGCACAGACTGGAACATGTTCCGGGATTCTTCAGACATCATTGAGGAGTACACCACATCAGTCACTGGCTTCATCAATAAGTGCATCGATGATGTCGTCCCCACAGTGACCGTACGTACATACCCCAACCAGAAGCCATGGATTACAGGAAACATCCGCACTGAGCTAAAGGGTAGAGCTGCCGCTTTCAAGGAACGGGACTCTAACCCGGACGCTTATAAGAAATCCCGCTATGACCTCCAACGAACCATCAAACAGGCAAAGAGTCAATACAGGACTAAGATTGAATCGTACTACACTGGCTCTGACGCTCGTCGGATGTGGCAGGGCTTGAAAACTATTACAGACTACAAAGGGAAGCACAGCCGCGAGCTGCCCAGTGACACAAGCCTACCAGACGAGCTAAACCACTTCTATGCTCGCTTCGAGGCAAGCAACACTGAAGCATGCATGAGAGCACCAGCTGTTCCGGATGACTATGTGATCACGCTCTCCGTAGCCCATGTGAGTAAGACTTTTAAGCAGGTCAACATTCACAAGGCCGCAGGGCCAGACGGATTACCAGGACGTGTACTCCGAGCATGTGCTGACCAACTGGCAAGTGTCTTCACTGACATTTTCAACATGTCCCTGACTGAGTCTGTAATACCAACATGTTTCAAGCAGACCACCATAGTCCCCGTGACCAAGGACTCTAAGATTACCTGCCTAAATGACTACCGACCCGTAGCACTGACGTCTGTAGCCATGAAGTGCTTTGAAAGGCTGGTCATGGCTCACATCAACAGCATTATCCCAGAAACCCTAGACCCACTCCAATTTGCATACCGCCCCAACAGATCCACAGATGATGCAATCTCTATTGCACTCCACACTGCCCTTTCCCACCTGGACAAGAGGAACACCTACGTGAGAATGCTATTCATTGACTACAGCTCAGCATTCAACACCATAGTGCCCTTTAAGCTCATCACTAAGCTAAGGATCCTGGGACTAAACACCTCCCTCTGCAACTGGATCCTGGACTTCCTGACGGGCTGCCCCCAGGTGGTAAGTGTCAGGTTCGAGCGTGGATGTGGTGTGGAATCAAGCGCAGGACAACAGAGGCTTCGTTCAACAGTCTTTAGTGAAGACACGAAAACAAGACACACGGCTAAATCCAAGCCGGAAGGCAAGCGAACTTTACGCACACTGAGTACAGTTCAAAATACAAAACAAAATGCGCACACTGTGCGGACACTCTCTCCAAACAAACACGAGAGAGAGAAGTACTAGCAGCCCTTGCTGACATAAGAAACAATTACACACAACACATGACAAAACCCAAGAGAACTTATAGGACACATAATTAACACTAACAATGAACAGGTGTACAAACAGACCAAACCAAACAAACATCGAAACATAGAACGGTGGCAGCTAGTACTCCGGAGACGACGACCGCCGAAGCTTGCCCGAACAAGGAGGAGGAGCAGCCTCGGCCGAAACCGTGACAGTACCCCCCCATTGACCCCGGCCTCGAGGACGACCAGGAGGACGCGGAGCAGGGCGCGTGGGATGACCACGATGGAACTCGGTCAGAAGAGACGGGTCTAAGATGTCCCTCCTCGGCACCCAGCACCGCTCCTCCGGGCCGTACCCCTCCCACTCCACGAGATATTGGAGACCCCCCCATCCGGCGTCTCGAATCCAGGATGGACCGAACAGTGTACGCCGGAGCCCCCTCGATGTCCAGCGGGGGCGGAGGAGTCTCTTCTATCTCATAGTCCTGGAGTGGACCAGCTACCACCGGCCTGAGGAGAGACACATGGAACGAGGGGTTAATATTATTGTAATCAATAGGCAGTTGTAACCTGTAGCACACCTCGTTCAACCTCCTCAGGACTTTAAAAGGCCCCACAAACCGCCGACCCAGCTTCCGGCAGGGCAGGCGGAGGGGCAGGTTTCTGGTCGAGAGCCAGACTCGATCTCCCGGTGCGTACACCGGCCCCTCACTGCGGTGGAGATCGGCGCTCGTCTTATGTCGACGGATGGCCCGCTGCAGATGGACGTGTGCAGCGTTCCACGTCTCCTCCGAGCGCCGCACCCACTCATCCACCGCAGGGGCCTCGATCTGGCTCTGATGCCAAGGTGCCAGAGCCGGCTGGTACCCTAACACACACTGGAACGGAGTTAGTTTAGTGGAGGAGTGGCGGAGAGAGTTCTGTGCCATCTCGGCCCAGGGAACATACCTCGCCCACTCCTCCGGCCGGCCCTGGCAATACGACCTCAGAAACCTACCCACATCCTGGTTTACACGTTCGACCTGCCCATTGCTCTCCGGGTGGTACCCCGAGGTAAGGCTCACCGAAACCCCCAAGCGCTCCATGAACACTCCAGACTCTGGAGGTAAACTGGGGGCCTCGATCAGACACTATATCCTCGGGTACCCCGTAATGCCGGAAGACGTGGGTGAATAGTGCCTCAGCGGTCTGTAGGGCAGTAGGGAGACCCGGCATGGGAAGGAGACGACAGGCCTTCGAGAACCGATCCACAACGACCAGGATGGTGGTATTCCCCTGTGAGGGGGGAAGGTCTGTAACAAAATCCACCGAGAGGTGAGACCAGGGTCGTTGTGGAACGGGCAGGGGTTGTAACTTTCCCCTGGGCAAGTGTCTGGGCACCTTACACTGGGCACACACCGAGCAGGAGGAGACATAAACCCTCACATCCCTGGCTAACGTTGGCCACCAGTACTTCGTGCTAAGGCAGTGCACTGTCCGGCCAATACCTGGATGCCCAGAGGAGGGTGACGTGTGAGCCCAATAAATGAGTCGATCCCGAACCTCGAGCGGAACGTACGTCCGACCCACCGGACACTGTGGAGGGCTAGGGTTGGTACGTAACGCCCGCTCAATTTCAGCATCGACCTCCCACACCACCGGTGCCACCAGACAAGACTTCGGTAGTATGGGAGTGGGCTCAACGGACCTCTCCTCTGTGTCATACCGCCGAGACAGGGCGTCTGCCTTTCCGTTCTGGGACCCAGGGATGTAAGTGATCTTAAACACGAACCGGGCTAGAAGCATAGTCCACCGAGCCTGGCGAGGATTTAGTCTCCTAGCTGCCCGAATGTATTCCAGGTTACGGTGGTCAGTCAAAATGAGAAAAGGGTGTTGAGCCCCCTCAAGCCAATGCCTCCACACCTTTAGGGCCTGTACCACGGCTAACAGCTCCCTGTCCCCTACGTCATAATTTCGCTCCGCCGGACTGAGCTTTTTCGAGTAAAAAGCACAGGGGCGGAGTTTAGGTGGCGTGCCGGACCGTTGCGAGAGAACGGCCCCGATACCGGCTTCTGACGCGTCCACCTCCACTTGGAATGGTAAAGCGGGATCCGGATGCGCCAGCACCGGAGCCGAAGTAAACAGGTCCTTCAGTCTCCCAAAAGCCCTGTCCGCCTCAGCTGACCACCGCAAGCGCACCGGACCCCCCTTCAGAAGGGACGTTATGGGAGCTGCCACCTGTCCAAAACCCCGGATAAACCTCCGGTAGTAATTCGCAAAGCCCAAGAACTGCTGCACCTCTTTAACCGTGGTTGGGGTTTGCCAATTACGCACGGCTGACACACGGTCAACCTCCATCTTCACCCCTGACGCGGACAACTGATAACCCAAAAAGGAGACCGA